CATGTAGTTATCATCCATTTATCGTTATTGAGGTGAAATCTTCAAAATACCGTGATAGTGATTTTAGGCCGTATCGCCCAGCCCTAAGGGAAATGCTAGGATTTGAAAATCCCCACAGATCTACATCACAATGTGAAGTAGCATTAATGCACTCGCTCATCTTAATTCATGACAGGGAAGGCTGTCGTTATTTTAGCATCCAGCAAATAGCAGCGGATGCCTCGGCTAGTTTAAGCTAACTGTTAGTATTAGCAACTTCACTTCATGGCAGAAGTCCTCCAGGCTTATGTTATTTGTGGAGAGTAACAGAGTTGCAAGTCAGTGGTAGTGTCATGTTGCTGTTTTCCAATCTGGGGCAAGATGTCCAAATATCAGGAAACAAGACTCCAAATTCTGTCGTCTGAAGCTCAGCTGTGATGCTGCAGACTTGGCCTGCCGAGACAGGGATCTGTGGGCTTTTTTGTGCCCTGAGTTCTGCCTGCAAGGCATTCATTCCTTCTAGAGACCACTGCGTATGTATTGATTAAACATGTATTCCATACCTTTAAAGCAAATGCCACCCCTTTTAGAGCATATTCTCATCTGACTTTGCATCTTCTGAGCAGACTCATTGTAGCCCTTTAACAGATGTTAACTGCGTGTTTTAATTTGGTTGGTATATTATGGATATGCTATTATATTTTGTTTTGTTTTGGTGCTAAGTGTAAGTATGACTGACTTTTGGGTCTCAGATGTGAGAGAAACCAGCATGATCAGACTTTGGTTGACAGTATTAGAGCACATGACAAGATTTGTAGATCATATATTTTGCCATACCGTACCATACATAAACATAGGTATTAGGGATGTGTATTTGTGAGATGTTGGCGATATGATACATATCTCGATACAGGGAGGACGATTAAATGTAACACAGTATATTGCGATACATTCAGTCAGACGTTATTAGCGATTTTTTTAAACTGAATTTATTGTAGGAAAATTAAATAAACAGTCCAAGCTGATACTTAACATGTTTAACATGAGGTATCTGAACCATAATAAAGTTTACATTTCAATGGTGGACACAAAACTCATCGCACACTGCTGCCAACTAGCGGTTGATGTTTGAATTGCACCAAAACAAAAGAAAATACACAAGTTTTTGCATGTAAATTCTTCCAAAAATTAGATACACGGCTTTTGAGTATCGATCTAATATTTCAGGAAAAAATATCACGATGTATTGCCATATCGATATTTTCTTACTTCCCTAATAGGTATGGTATGGTATGGTATGGTATGGTATGGTATGGTATGGTATGGGATGGGATGGGATGGGATGGGATGGTATCATATATTTTAACAGATCAACTCAAATAATGTCATTAAATGAAAAATTATTTTATTTATTGTGATAAAATATTATGATGTCAAAATAGTTTATTTTTCTAGTGGTAGAAGACCTATAAATACTGGTGGTGATCACGTGGCTCTTTGTCTCATAATTTATTGAATACATTGTTACATTTGTAAATCAAACCAGCCATCAGAAAGGGCACGGTCCTAAAACAGCTGCAGTTTGAATCAGCCGAGAGCAGAATGTGAGTCGGAATATTTTGTTGAAACTCGAGGTGTGTATCTTAAGCTCAACCACGTCTTCAAGTTATTCGACATCTGGAGAGAAACTCTATTCATTAAAAGCTGAATAATGAGGTCAGGCAGAGCCAGAAGCAGCTGCTGAAATTACATTCTCACCGACTGTATTTTCTGCCAGGGATCTCTTTATAAGAGAACCTCTGTTATAACGGAGTGTAATACTTTGGCTGAACAAATAAATCCTCTGAAGCATAATTTGAAAATATCCTAGAACCTTAATATTTTTGCAATGTTTCCTGATGTTATGGACTCACTAGTCACATGATGCCTGACCTTTGTAAAGCATTGTGTTAAAAGCTGTTTAAAAAAGATTTTTTTAGACAGCCTGAACATTTATTGTTACTTTTCTAAACTGTGAAGGATTTATTGACTTTTTAACAAAAGACAGTCAGACAAAAGTAAAAGAAAAGCGCTGCACACAAAGCTATTATAGTGAAAATGGTGCAAAATGTTCCTGCTGAACAGATGTAATGAAGAAGAAAAAAACAGCTGACCATTGGAGCATTGTATAATTTTCAAAGCTGTATTAATGACAAAAACAAATCTCTTTATTTCTGGGCTGTACTAGATCTATAATCCTTAGTTCACCCAAAGTTTTCACACGAAAATATTCTATTTAAATACAAATTCCTGTTTATTTGCTTCAGAAATTAGCAGCAGTGCTAGCTGTTTGTTGCACTTGTAGATGGAATTATTTTTACTGGAATAATTAATACATAATTTATCGTAATGTAAAGTTCATGCAATAGCATATACTGCTAGATTTTTTCTAGATTAGACTGGTTGAGGACGATTCAGTAGCCACCAGCTTGTCTGTGTCATCACAACTGATCTGTGAGATAAAGAGCTAACCTAATTTTTTCATTACTTCATCACTAGAAAACTGCGTCAAAAGATTGTATCTATCCTTTAAAGGTGTGGTTCACTGAAAAAACATTTTAATGATTATTTGTGATTATAATAGGTCACTGAGTTTTTCATGCAGGCTGAATATGAAAATAGTCTCCTACACCTATCTCCTGCATTAGCTTCTGACAGAAAATAGATGGTTAAACTCTAGGATTGGAAAAGCCTGATAGATCTATGTCAAGTGGTTGCTTGGACCCATCCATACTGGCTTGAAACGAGGAAGGTTGTTGTTTTAGCGTCGAGAAACAGCAGAGAATGTCTCGGCAAACCTAAGCTAACCGTTAGCATTGGCAACTCAACCACATGGCAGAAGCTCTTCCAGGCTTGCGTTATTTGTGGAGATAAAACATTCATGTTGCAGAGCAACTAGTTAGTTGTAGAGTACAGTGTTTCCCTTACATAGGCGTAGCCGTGGTGGGCTGCCATGGCTGAAATCCCAGCGCCACGCCTACAAGATCCCAAGTTTAATAGATTTTTTTTTCTTTTGCGCTGTTTCCCGAAGAAGCAGCGGGAACTACTCTGTTGTTGCTTGTGATTACAGCCGGCAGGCAGCAAGGAGGAGGAGGCAGGGCAGGGTGGTTACAGCTAGGGATGAGCCGGATACTCATTACAGACTAGTATCCGGTACGGATAAAGCATTTTTGACGAATACGAACATGAAATGAGTAAAACTCGTAAATATCTGTAATCGTGCTGAAGGAAAATCCTCATTGGGTAACTGACTGTCTTCACGCTCTGTGATTGGCCAGTCACGTAGAGCGCCCGCCCCTCCCTACACACAAAACTGCAGCCGGGAGCTCAGTCCGTCCGACCCATCCATGCGCGCGCACACACACACACACACACACACACACACACACACACACACACACACACACACACACACACACACACACACACACAGTAACGGAACTCTCTGTGCTTGCTTCACTGTTGCTCACGTTTCTTCAGTGCTCCCTAGGTTTTCTTCAGCTCGCCTCTTTTTCGGTTTAATATTTAAAGTTACTTTTTTCGTAACGTATGTGGTGCATTTGACAAGACAGAGCTGAAAACGGCTCGTGCATGCGTCGGTCACTGCCTCCGCTCCGGTCGGGTTTTAAAAAAAAATTATTTTAACTCTCTCTCCCTCTCTCTCTCACACACACACCTCAGTCAACATTGTTTTGTTTAACTGTGTGTGGGAAAAATGCCAACAACGTTAGGAGAAAAATCTGTTTAATCAAATTAAAATAAAATGGTTCAAGTATTTCATATTTCCTAGTTCCTACTGCAGTTCATATGCATTAATTCATGCACTTAAATAATAATGTTCTGATTTTACTGAAAAACTTGTTCTGTAATAGTTCCTTTACTATTGTATTCAAAAATATTTAATCTCAATTCTGAGGCTGCTCTGTAAATACAATACACATAGCAACTTCTGATCAATCCAAATAAATTTCAGATTTAAAATAATGTATTGATGTAAACCACACCCACTAATTTCCAAATAATAAGTTGCGTTCATCTGTGTATCTCCTTTGATCCGCATTAGTGATATTTTCAGCACCAGAACAATGAAGCAAAGAAACAGATTCCTGAGTTTATGTTAGTAATTTTATATATTTGGTGCATCTGACCTGTTCTATTTTTCTCTGAATGAGATCAAATCAGTGCTTCTATGGGTTGTCTCCTCTCTGCACTAGAAAAATTTACTTTATTATAATGTTCACTGTAATGCATCTTGATAACAAATAAATTAAATCAAATATATTGGTCATTAATGCCAAATATGTAAATTTGTGTTTCAGTCATTTTTATACTAGCTTAAAAATACTTCATTAAGTCTACTAAGCAGGGGTGTAGAATGTGTTTAATAGGGCCAGCCCAGTAATGATCTTGGACCAAAATAAAGGGGGCAGAAAGTCAAATAAAGGGGGGCAGAAGGTGATGTTTTACCAGACGCCAAGAAAAATTTAATGCCAAATCCCCCTGCAAAGTGTGTCACTGAGAGTTTAAAACAAAAATTATTTTTGTGCAAATATTGGTGTATTCACCTTTAGTACTAGTTATTAAAATGCAGCAGTTGCTGGATTGGTGCAGTTCAAAGTGGAGTGCATCACATAAAACAGAAATAACCCTTTGATGCATGAATTATGAAATCTTCAACCATGATTTTTTAAACAATTTTTTTCATTTATCTTTAGGTGTGAATGAAAGTAGTTTCATATTTACATATTTTTGTAACATTTAATTTACAAATAATTTATTACATGTCCGCCTCAGTGGACAGCGTGCATTCTGAACATGAAATATGTTGGCTTGACTTACTGAAATCCAAATGGAGGGGCTCAAATGCAATAAAGTCTTCAACAGCTGTGCTTAATAGCAAAAATGAAATTAAATAAAAAAAAAACAATTTTGAATACCTGTCCACTGTAGTGACCATTATGCATCAAAGGGTTAAGGTGAGACATGTCATAACCCCCCCCCACCACCACCACCACCACAGCTGGAAAAATTCCTAGGGGAAACACTGGAGTAGCGTCGTTTTTATCCAAGCTGAGGCAAAAGGTCCAAATATCAGGAAATTAGACTTCAAAACCTGCTGTGTTGAGCTCTCCACTGATGTGGCAGACTTGTCTGTGGTGATGCAGGTGTTTCTGGGGTTTTTGTGTCTCAAATACGGCTTGCAAAGCATTCATTCCTGCCAGAGACAACTCAAATGCATTGATTAAACAAGTTTAAATGACCTTCAACCTCAACCAACTTCAACCATTATATCCTGAACATACACAAATTGTAATATTATCTAACAGTTACAAAGTTAGAAAATCAAAAACTGGTACTACTAATAATAGAACCAATCATACCCTTAGACTCGTTTGAAGTTATCACCTTATCTTAATGCAAAGCAAACTGATTGTCTTAAAGCTTACACTACACAACCTTTGACTATTGGCGAGTGTTGTAATGATTACATAAAGGTAATTTTGAAACCAGTAAGTCTTGCAGACTACTGACCCACATTTGGGACTTCATCGGGGGGAAAGCTAACCAGGAAGTTGTTAAAACACACACACACACACACACACACACACACACACACACACACACACACACACACACACACACTCAGAGAAGAAGTGCATAGAAGGGAACAACAAAAACCCTCAACTTGTTTGGATGATTGTCATATTTTTAGCTGCTGCTTATTTAGCCCCATTTGTAGAAATGAAGTGTTATCTTGATCTGCTCCATTTTTATTGCAGGATTTATTCTGAGTTGCTTTACACATTACTTTATTTAAGGGAAAATATTATAATTTATTTTTAATAATTATGGACCTCGTACTAGACTAGCTGCTCTTGAGACAGTATCATTCAGTAACATTGCATCCATAGTGATTTAGTGACATTTAAAAGGATGTTATTTATGCATCAGGCGCATGTTCAAGATTACAATCTGCCCTAATGCTTGTCGCCGCAGGTTTCTTTCACTTGTGTTGCACAGCCTCTGCTCAGACCTCTGCCGTCGTTAGTATTGAGCTACCAGATGACCTACTTTCTGTGCTCTCAGCAGCCCAGTCCTGTTTACAAGCCTCAGCCAGCCGAGGATGTGGAGTACACTACCTGGAAAACTAACACACTAACCCCGCAACTAAAGCAGGAACCTGGAAGGCAGGAAACGAAAAAACTAGCAGACAGTTGTGGATAAATCAGAACTCGTTTGGAGCACACGGTGATTAACAACAGCTCATTAATAACTTGTTATGCAATTTAATGCTTTGAGTTCTCCCTACTGCTTCAGCTGGACGTTTCTAGTTTAGCTGCTATGTTGTAATTGTATTGGGAAAAAATGTCGGAACCATTGTTTAAAGTGAAGAGGGGGACTTCATTTATGGACACTCGTTCTTCGGGTATGTAAAGCTCAGATTTTCTCCACGGGATTCTATTTGTACCTCATGTTGTTTAAACTGCAGCCTCTTCTCAGATTAGAACTGGTCTGCTGCATTATTACTTCTAGTTGCTCTTTTTTCCTCAGTAAAGCCAAACAGCCCTTTTTCTTGGTATTTGTAACAGGAGTCTAGAAGTTCCAAGCTCCCCTGAACGCCCCTCACATGTTTTCAGCTCCGACTATGTCCTGGTTACTAGGTTGAAATAACCTATTTTTACCGCCGTGCCCCCACTGGCATTCGTAGCAAACATGAGAGAAAATGTTAAATATAAAAATAAAAGTAAAAGAAGTCTACTTATCCAGCTTGGCAGCACTAACTCTTTTGATTCACAGTTTTCCTGCCTGCAGATAATGTCAAAACTGGGGTTTTGTTACCAAGAAAATTTTCTCTCTTTGAGAACTTACAAAAGAAAAATTTTTGGTCTAATAATTAGGAATAAGTTGGATGATCATTGAGTTGCTTCCTGGTTTCTGCCCTAAATCACTGAAAAGTGAGACTTGACACATTTAAATAGTAAAATGGTCAGATCGACATTTAGAAAAGTCTTACTGCATCTTGAATTAGACATATGTATGTCTATTCTGTGTGTATGCATTCAGATTTTTGAGTTTATGTAACATAAATTTGTGTTTTAATTTTGAGCCATTGAACAAACCTAACAATGCGTATAATTAAAAATACCCAGCCTGAACAAAACAACCTGCTTAAAGTGACTGAAACAAAGCAAGTCCATGCCCAGTTAGTGTTTACTCAACCCGGAGCCTCCAATACAGCAGCACAGCTGTTGTTTGGACCCCAGACTCCGTTTCATTAGCCGTTATCTTGAACTGGTCTTTCAGCACATGAACAACAAGAACAGTGTTTCAGCTCTGACTGGCTGCAGTATTCTGTAGGCAATGTTGTGATTCAGAAATTATCTTCTCATTAGCGGTGTTTTACCTGAATTCATTTTTCTCTCTATTAACATATTTTAATTGTTTTTTTCCAGGATTGCAACATTAACATGAAATGTGAAATGGCTTTATAATTCACAGCTCTGTGACTCAGCAGGAGGAAAAATGGCAAATACTCAACTGGCAGTGTGATCAACGCTTGCTGTATTTTGAGCTTTCATTTTGCAGAATAGATTTCTGCTCATATTTAACACATTGCTTGATATTCTTTCAAATTTTTACATCATATCCAAATTTGCATTATAAGTTAACTTGTTAATCACTGATAACTAGAGATGCACTGACTCTGGTTTTAAAGGCTGATACCAGCTTCTGATTCCTGTACTTCTCTGACCTTACAATACTTTTAAAGCAGAAATGTTCCAGATAATTAAAACATCTATTTAAAATTATTTTTTAATCAATATTTAATAATGTAATATAATAAAAATTTCTTGAGTTTTAATGTGTTACTTGCAAAGTAAACATACAGGTCCTTCTCAAAAAATTAGCATATTGTGATAAAGTTAATTATTTTCTGTAATGTACTGATAAACATTAGACTTTCATATATATTAGATTCATTACACACAACTGAAGTAGTTAAAGCCTTTTATTGTTTCAAATATTGATAATTTTGGCATACAGCTCATGAAAACCCAAAATTTCTATCTAAAAAAATTAGTATATCATGAAAAAGTTCTCTAAACAAGCTATTAACCTAATCATCTGAATCAACTAATTAACTCTAAACACCTGCAAAAGACTCCTGAGGCTTTTAAACACTCCCAGCCTGGTTCATTATTCAAAACCGCAATCATGGGTAAGACTGCTGACCTGACTGCTGTCCAGATGGCCATCATTGACACCCTCAGGCAAGAGGGTAAGACACAGAAAGAAATGTCTGAACGAATAGACTGTTCCCAGAGTGCTGTATCAAGGCACCTCAGTGGGAAGTCTGTGGGAAGGAAAAAGTGTGGCAGAAAACAAAGGTGACTGGACCCTGAGGAAGATTGCGGAAAAGGACCAATTCCAGACCTTGGGGGACCTGCAGAAGCAGTGGACTGAGTCTGGAGTAGAAACATCCAGAGCCACCGTGTACAGGTGTGTGCAGGAAATGGGCTACAAGTGCTGCATTCCCCAGGTCAAGTCACTTTTGAACCAGAAACAGCAGCAGAAGCGCCTGACCTGGGCTACAGAGAAGCAGCACTGGACTGTTGCTCAGTGGTCCAAAGTACTTTTTTCGGATGAAAGCAAATTTTGCATGTCATTCGGAAATCAAGGTGCCAGAGTCTGGAGGAAGTGTCAAGTAGTCAGTGATGGTCTGGGGTGCCATGTCAGCTGCTGGTACTGTGTTTTATCAAGGGCAGGGTCAATGCAGCTAGCTATCAGGAGATTTTGGAGCACTTCATGCTTCCATCTGCTGGAAAGCTTTATGGAGATGAAGATTTCATTTTTCAGCACGACCTGGCACCTGCTCACAGTGCCAAAACCACTGGTAAATAGTTTACTGACCATGGTATTACTGTGCTCAATTGGCCTGCCAACTCTCCTGACCTGAACCCCACAGAGAATCTGTGGGATGTTGTGAAGAGAAAGTTGAGACGTCAGACCCAACACTCTGAATGAGCTTAAGGCCGCTATCGAAACGTCCTGGGCCTCCATAACACCTCAGCAGTGCCACAGGCTGATTGCCTCCATGCCACGCCGCATTGAAGCAGTCATTTCTGCAAAAGGATTCCCAAGCAAGTATTGAGTGCATAACTGAACATAATTATTTGAAGGTTGGCGTTTTTTGTATTAAAGCAATTTTCTTTTATTGGTCGGATGAAATATGCAAAAATTTTTAGATAGGAATTTTGGGTTTTCATGAGCTGTATGCCAAAATCATCAATATTACAAACAATAAAAGGCTTGAACTACTTCAGTTGTGTGTAATGAATCTAATATATATGAAAGTCAAATGTTTATCAGTACATTACAGACAATAATGAACTTTATCACACTATGCTAATTTTTTGAGAAGGACCTGTAGATTTAGCTGTTTTCTCACCAGTCCTTACAGTCACTGGGTGAGGGGTAGAGTAGAGTACACCCTAAACAGGTCACCAGTTCACCACAAAGCGGACATACAGACACACAACAGACAATCATACACACACTTCAATATAAATCAGTATATAGAACCGAGAGTTAACCTATTACTGTTTTAGAACATTAGGAGCAAACCAGAGTAGCTGGAGAACATGGATGAAATGAAATAAACATCATAGCTTGTTGTATGTGAGGCAACACTATTAACCACATGTTCCACCGTGCAACCCTCATCCTGATCTTGACGTGGGTAGATTGTTTCATCTTTGGTTTTACAGACTTAAGAGGAACACAGAGCTATTAAAAAAAAATCTGTAGTCAACTTTTTTATCCCGTAATAGTTGCATTAAAGGTTGAATATGGATCAATTAAATTAAAAAAGCAGCTGCTTCTGAGGCCAGAAGATGTTGGTAATAGAAAGGCTAATGTTAAATACTGTTGTAAAATAAACATATTAGTAGAAATTAGTCCTTACACTGTACAATTCACCATGGTGACATGACATGGTGCTGGCTGGTCACTTCACATATCCGCAGCAAACCTGGCATCCCGTGGGCTGGACACCTTGTGCTATTGTTGCACTTCAACCTCCACACACTAGAGGTCGCATTGGTTTTCGTCTTCCATATTCAACCTTTAATACAGGGCAAGGGTGCTGATCCAAATCGGTGTCACAGAATGCAGCACATTATGTTCCATGATCACCTTTAGACAGGGCTGTTGGACTCAGAGATGACAGTTATGAGTTATTTCCCCAGAAGGACCTTGAGTCTTTCTAGGAAACCACAAGTTTTTACATCGAGCTTCCTTTCAGGAATGTTCTGTGCAAGCAGAAGGAAAACCATCATCACTGTTGCTCTGTCCTCTATACCATGTTCATGTAACGTGTTGATCATGAACTTTACCCTCAGTGATCGGGAGTTCAGGTTTCCCTTCAAAAGCTCCAAAGGCACAAATGTAAGCAAACGCTAATGCGGTTTATCTGTTAACCCTGTGAGGTGTGGTTTAACCTCCACACAGCAAAGGAACAGGGTTTCACTTTACCACTGAGAACACATACACACACACGCGCACACACAGTTAAACCGCTAAAGTCATGTGATTTTTATTTGATTTAGCACACTTTTTGCTAAACAATTCAGAATCACACCTTTTCTGTTACTCCCGTACTACAAAGATTCTCAAACACAAAAACTAGTGATCCCTCAGCCACTGCAAAGGTTTATTTGCTGAACATAAAAATTAAGATCAACTTGGGAAACATTAGAATTAAAATGGTCCTTTTAATGTTATGCCTGACTTGTCTGTAACAGCTTGTTATTCCACTTTTATTGTTCGTTCAGGAGGATTTTAACAATCTAGGTTTCTCTTGCTGTTTTTCATCTTTGTGGTATGTTTTGATAATTGTGGGTGGAAAGAAAAGACTGGCTTATTTTCAATAATTAGGACTTACATGAATATATCATTAATAAACTGGCTTCTTAAGTGCTGTAGCATCATATTGAGAGCGTTCTTCTGTAGTGGACAGATCGAACTTTATGGAAAGATAAGAAAATCAGTCGGCTGACTAAAAATATAGCTCTAGGTTAGTGAGCTGGAGTGGGAGGCATGGTGTGAAACTGCCTGAAGTGTTTGAGTGAAATCTAAGGTTACTCATCCACACTGTACTGGAACTGTTTGGAGGAGTCTCATTTCAGCAAAGTGCAAATTAGCTGCCCCATGAACAAAACAGATGAAATCTAAAGCGTGCAGCAGGAACGTGCAGCAATCATTAGTGGTAAATATCTCTGCCTCACAGTTACAGCCTGCTCTGCAGCTTCCTCATGCTTCTTTACTTTATTAGCTGCATGACCCATTTCATGCTCTGAATAGTAAACTGAATTCACAGCCCCATAATTAAAAATGAAAGAATGTGTGAAACATAAAATGAATGTTTCATATTTTTTCCTCCCGATAACTATTTTGATTTAGCTGTAAAATAACTCATGATTTGAAATTGAATTAAAACAACTACCATTGTATGTTATTTGATTTTGTTTATTTCTAGTGTCGCACCTTCTAATCCAAAGTTAAAGGAAAGTTTGTGTAGTTAAATCACTGGAATGTGACGCTAATTTGAAATAAACAACGGCTGTTTGAGTTTGACTGAATTTCAGATGAATGGACCAACACTTCAGACACTGTTGAGCAAACAAATCTAGCATTCTTGATCATCTTTTGCTGCCTAAAGTTTCACATATCAGTTTTTTTAAGGTGTTGTTCACTAAAAACCCATTTTTAAATGATTATTTCTGATTATAATCAGTCCCTCTGAGTTTTTCATGCAGGCTGAACATGAAAATAGTCTCCTACACCTATCTCCTGCATTAGTTTCTGAAAGAAAATAGACCAAAAAAAAAAGCTTGGTTCAGAAAACGCCTCATAGATCTACGTCACACTGTCACTTAACATTCGTGGACTCACCCATCTTGACTCATGATGGAGAAGGCTTTTGTTGGTTTAGCGTCCAGGAAACAGCAGAGAACGTCTTGGCTAGTAGAAGCTAACCGTTAGCATTAACAACTCCCCCACACAGCAGAACTCCTCCAGGCTTGAGTTATTTGTGGAAATTAAACATCAGCATTGCAGAGCAAAATGTGTCGGTAGAATCGCTTTGCTATTTTCCAAGCTGAGGCGAGATGTCCAAATATCAGGAAGTAGGACTTGTCTGAAGCTCTCCTCTGATGTGGAAATTTTCTAGGGATGTCCCGATCGATCACATGATCGGAAATCGGCCCCGATCACGTGGTTTCAGACTCGATCAGGACTCGGGCTTTAACTTCCGGATCCAAGCCTAATCCGGACTCGGATACTGGGTTCAAATTACAGGAGAGCAACTTGGTTCTCCTTAAAGGTTGTCAGGCTCTCCTAATGCCCTTAACTTACACACCCAGAAGGAGCACAAAAAAGATCCAGTTTCTACTCATATTATATTATATTATTTACATGGACTCAGTGTAGCGGGGATTCTTTTGGGCAGAGATGCAGAGCGGCAGGCAGACCGCTGATGATTCATGAACTCCAGCTGCGTACATTAAATGTAATGATCAGCAAGATTTCTAGAGAGAACTTGGCTAAAATTTACAAGTAAGAAATGACATAAATATTAACTGCAAAACATCTATTAATGGGGCATTATGGAAGTTTGACAGCCAAAACATGTATAGAAATAATAAATTTCTTCTTCATACATTCTCCTGTAATGCCCTGGTCCTGTAGAATGAGCCCTGGCATTTTTACTGTGATTGCCTGTTTTTCTGTAAAATCACAGAAAAAGAGAGCTGCTCGGGTCGAGCAGGCTGCTTCATGCACGTTCACACTCAGGCATAGCCCGTAGCATTTGCTATCAGTAGCTTTAGCAGCAGAGAGTGAGGTAGTGCCAACTCAGCGACTTTGTCGCTGTTCCTAACGCCTAGTGATGAACCTAGCTACATTTCTGAGGACCCTTAGCTACTTTCTTTTAGATATCTCCTGCAAATTAGCAACAAAATAGCCATTTTCGCTCCGAACCGTTCTTTGAACGTTGTTTTAGCTGTAATCAAGGATATAAATATTATATCCGAACGGCATTGAATTCACAGATAAAAAAGATGTTGGTTCAACTTTCATTTTGGAACAATTTTTCAAGCAAGGGAAGGGCATGATCTGAGCATGCAGGAAGACTGACCCATCATAAACCTTTGTTGGCTGTGCTGAAGAGAAAGGTACAGAACCAAATTATTTAATTAATTAGCTGCGTGTTCTCCTGTCCTCTCTCCTCCGGGCCACACACACACACACACACACACACACACACACACACACACACACACACACACACACACACACACACACACACACACACACACACACACACACACACACACACACACACACACAGGACTGTCTCAGCTGTTATTTTAGTTAAGGAGTGTGCACGTACATCATGCGCGCCTCGTGCACGAGCCTACTATTGAAGCCGCCATTACGCTTTTGGCCTGAGGGGGCAATCGCAAGCATAAAAATTCAAAACTCCGTAAAGTCCCTTTAAAAGGTCCATTTATGTTAGTAGAAGATTGTAATAATGGAATTTTACTCACAAACAAAACCTCCATGGTGTACTTTTCTCAAACATTTAAATGAAAGTTTATCCTCTGGAACAAGATGAAGCTAAGATAAATTTCCATCTGTTTCCACAGGTTTTGGTTTTCCTTCTATGGCTGTAAGAAGGTGGTGGACACCTGGTCTCTGCTAGATTTAAACAAAACAAATGTCGAACAAGATTGGGGCTGATGGCACTGTTGAGTCTTCATAGATGGCCTGGTTGGGAGAAGGAGTGACTATGGACAACCTTTCTGACTTTGACGGCCCATGTCCATCCAGCCACAGGGAATGGGAGTGAGTATCATATCCTATTTTTACGTACGATTTTTCTTGTTTTCTGTAACATTCATTGATATTTTACCTTTAAATATGTAAAATACAATCATTTATTATTTGAATGAATGCCTTTTATTCGTTCATCCGTTCTTTAGGTGGGTAACAGAGGTAAAAACCTTTATTGTAGCAAATGATTTGTTAAATTCAAGCCGATTGCTCGTACTCCATATTTTCCTGTAAAAATCGGGAGACAACCAGGGTCCTGCAGCAAAAGGGTTGCAGGTTTGACACCCAGCTATGGATTTCTTCACTGTGTGTTCTTCTCATGCATGAGTGGGTTTTCTCTAGCCGTCTAAAATCATGCATGTTTCATTAATTGAAGACTCTGAATTGGCCTTTCATGTGAGTAAGTGGTTGTTTCTCTCATGTGTCTCTGTGAGGGACAGGAGACATGTCCATAGTGTCTCCCGCCTATTACCTGGTGACTGCTAGAGAGCTGGTCACCAGCTTCCTGTAACTCTCTGGAATTCTCAAAATGAATGAAAAAATAAAAATTTCTCCGTAAAATGGTTAAGTGATAGTTGGTTTAGTGACACAAATCTGTTGCAGTTTTGTAACGTTGATGTGAAAATTCACTATTATGCTTTATTGGGAAGCTTGTATAAATCTGTCATTGTTAGTTGTGTTTTTTAAGCAACACATACATTTTCCCACTATGATGTCTTAAATTGGCTGAGAATAAAAGCCTGTGTGAAAGAAGGGATCATATTATCAGTCTTGTGTAACAATAATGTAAAAGGATTCAGAACAACATTTTAACAGTGTTGTTGTGTTTTAGTACAAACAGCTGTGTGGAAGATTTGATGGATGAAGATGAGAAGGACAAGGCAAAAAGGTAATTAAGCCTCTGTGTTTACATGTTTAACCTTTATACATAAACATTGCATGTGTGTCTTGGAGTGAGCAACCGATTAAACAAAGGTGTGCACAAGTATTTTGCAGACTTGAAACAGAAATGTCAGTCAGACCACTACCGCCCTCTGTGGCCAGAATCTCACAACTTCAGACTGGCGGGCTGCTCTATTGGGACTTAGAAAAAATTTAGCTGACATACCCGACGCTTCTATAGAAACCAGTGAGAGATTTCAGCAGTTCGATTAAGGTGTTAAAAAGAACGCACAACGAAGAAGTTTTTGCTTTCGGTTTGACCGGAGAGAATTAATAACGAACACTAGGGGGAGCTAAAAGCAAGCAAAACTGCCACGTGTGCCTTTAAAAATGTATACAATTTCTCTGAGGCAGAAGCTGAACAACAGATTAATCTGGAGGAAATCATCTAGAATTACAAAAACAAATACAAAATATAAGGTGAAGATTCACTTTAAAATATGTCATTAAAGTTGAAGCTAACATGGAATTGAATAACTAAAACTGGTCATTTAAGTTTCATCTCTAACACAGTTTAAAGTTGTGCACCAGATCCATGTGTGCAGTAGCCTGGCAAGCCATCCACTATATGAGATATAGTCTATTGATGGCTCTTACTCGTGGGGCGGGATCTACAGTTGTCTTTTAAACTGTCTACACATGCTATTGGATAACGTAATCACAGTGCTGTAATTGGACCATCACATATGTCAATCAACAGGGCAGTCCACCACACATTGTGGAAGAAGCAGGGAAGAAAACGAAGATATGTGTTTTTTTTCTAAACAAACGCACTGATTGGCCAGCCACAATACTGGTTGGGGCTGCGGAGGTTCCAATGGAGCTAGATCAAAACACAAAGCTAAATTATTTTGCTTTGACAAATGACTGTCTAGATTTTAGGCTATGTGTGCAAAGCAAAACTATCTTTTCTGGATCCATTTGAACAGGAACTGTGCCAACACTTAACATTTTAACCCTTAAACCCTTCAACCACATAGAACCAAATTCTGTTTACACCTTTTGGTTCTAATGGTTTGACTTTGGTAAATGCAGTATGCAACTCCAGTGGTTGTATACAGTATGTGTTGTAAATGCTTTGTTTAGGTATTATTATGTGACATTTAGTGTCCTCCAATGAGGTCTTATTGATATGAAGGTTGTTTCTCCACAAAAGATGTTTATTCTCTCTGTTTTTAATGGTTTATTCTAAGCTTCATTGACATGGCGAATGGAAAGAATAAACCTAAAACTGCTATATTTGATTTTTTTTAAACCCACACTCCCTCTGATTTTATTTTAAATGCATTTTCCTTCTGCTTCAGGGCATCTCGTAACAAATCAGAGAAGAAAAGACGAGACCAGTTCAATGTGCTCATCAAGGAGCTGTGCACCATGCTGCAGGGTCAAGGCCACCCGCGCAAGATGGATAAATCTACCATCCTGCAGCGGACTATTGATTTTTTACAGAAACAGAAAGGTAGCAAACTGTTATTTTGCATTTGCAAAGATTTCAGTGTGTAGTTTAAACAATTTGTGTTTAATTGAGTCATTTATTAATCTTTTATCATTGACTTTTAATTTCAACTGAACCTTTTTTCAGACATCACAGCGCAGAATGAAATTTGTGATGTGAAGCAAGACTGGAAGCCCTCGTTCCTCAGTAATGAGGAGTTCACTCAGCTAATGCTAGAGGTAAAACTCATCAGGATGGGTTCCTGCAGCAGGTGATTTGGTGTTAAGACTGACTATAAGAAAAAAAGAGAAAGAAAAATGATTCCAAAATTGACAAAGAGTAGGAATGTTATCATTTTGTTCTGGATTCCTGTTTAAATGAATTTATTCCAGGCCAATTTTAGGTTTAAAAGGTCCAAAAATGATTAAAAATAAATATACACATTTATTCCCAGTAATTTAATTTCTAACAATAAATGTATTTGATCAAAAACTTGATCGTCCTGTTGGATCGTCTCCTTTCAGGCCCTGGATGGTTTCCTGGTCGCATTAACGACAGACGGGAACGTCATATATGTATCTGACAGTGTGTCTTCACTTATTGGCCATTTACCGGTGAGTTACTGAGTGAAATATTTCACCTGTTGATGTTTCTCTCTCCACATCTTCATTGATCAGCATGTATCTGTTACTTTAGTTTTTATCGCTTCCTATGCAAAAACCAAATCCTTCAACTGCAAATATGGATGTGATCTATACGTTTTAGAAACGAAGCATCTGTTTAGAAGTTTTTTAAATTAGCAACAGAAGACTGACTGACTGATGTGAGTGCGTCCCCCCGTTTTTGTACCAGTCAGATATGGTGGACCAAAATATCTTGAATTTCCTCCCTGAGCGGGAGCACGGGGAGGTATATAAGCTGCTATCATCCCACATGCTGATGACTGACCCCATTGCTGCCGACTTCCTTGACAGTGAGTATCCTGCTGAGCAGACTCCCTACACACACACACACAGACACACACGCACGCACACACACGATCGCACAACCTGTGTTTGGGTCATCGTGTTTGAGCACAGCAGTAGTAGAAAAGATTGAAGCTCAGAGATTGTCTTCCACTTTAAAAAAAACTTCAAAATCTAAGCATCCCCTTTTTGATTCTTAGCAGAAAATTCAGTATTTTTGTAAATCTATCATGTATAAAAATAAACATTTCAATCCTGTTGACCATCCAGTTTGTTCTGACTGAGCTCTGTATTTTTAGAGGAAGTGGACTGTGGTTTATTGGATTGCTGATTAGTTTGTGTCTATGATTAGACTTTTGGCTAATAATAGGAGCTAGCTTAGTATCATAGTTGAGACTTTAAATCACTGTTATGTTAACACATTAATCCAGAGCAGTGTGCCATGGGAGGCCAAACACTCTGACCTTAATCCGATGTTTCTGTTGGGCTTTTCTGAGAAATAGAGACGGCGATTCACCAGAGTCTCAGGATAATGTTAGATAACTTTAAAAATGTCCCAAAACCACATTTGGAGCAGTCGTCGTCTTAGTTGGAAATCTCTCCGTTGTAAGGACATAGCTGATTAGGATGTCACTGTTAGTGTCTTCATTTGTTTACGATCTGTCCTAATTTTATTCATAATTTGACTATCAACTCCTATTAAAGTTTTCCAACATTTCTGACACTTTGACTCAGAGAAACTAAATTAAGAAAGGTTCAAAGTGTCTGCAGCAACATTCTGACTATTTTGAGAGGAAAACTGCTGCACAAACTCTTTGAACATGTTCACGTTTTGAGACATCTTGGAAACTCTTGTGCTTGCTGTTTGCAGTTTTTTTTTACCAACAGTTGCAGCTGTAAGCTGGTATTTTTATGCTTTAGCAGTCAAACCCGATATCTTCTTAAATATATTTTTTAATCTTTTTGGTCAAATACAAACAGTTGATATCCAAAACACACAAGCTTGTCATTACCAATGCTGGATTACTCTAACAGCACCAGTGTGTTGTTTCAGACTTTTATACCAAATTTCATTTGAGGTTTAAATCACTTTTCATATTAAGCATCACCACTGCCCATCATTCATCCATCTATCCATCTGTTCATTCATTTTCCTCCACTTAATCGAGGTCGGGTTGCGGGGGCAGTAGCCTAAGCAGAAAGGCCCAGACTTCTCCCCAGCCTCTTAGGCCAGCTCCTCCGGGGGAATCCCAAGGCATTCCCTGGCCAGCCAAAAGACACAGTCACTCCATCTTGTCCTGGGTCTTCTTTTAGGTCTTCTCCCGGTTGGACCTGTCTAGAAAACCTCACCAGGGAGGCGTCTTGGAGGCATCCTGACCAGATGCCTGAGCCACCTCAACTGGCTCCTCTTGATGTGAAGGAGCAACGGGTCTACTCTGAGCCCCTCCCAGATGACGGAGCTTCTCACCCTATCTCTAAGGGAGAGCCCAGTCACCCAGTGGAGAAAACTCATTTCAGCCACTTGTATCTGTGATCTCGTTCTTTTGGTCACTACCCAAAGCTTGTGACCATAGGTGAGGGTAGGAACGTAGATCATCCAGCTCAGCTCTCTCTTCACCATGGCAGACCAGTACAACTCCCACATCACTGCAGACGCAGCACCAAATACTCCTGTCAATCTCGCGTTACATGTTTCCCTCACTCATGAACAGGACCCCAAGATACTTAAACTACTTCACTTAACCCTCCCACTGTCTTTATGGGTGACCCCGCGAGGAAGGTTGACCATTGAGCAGGATTGATGGTTTATCCCTGGAGGTCCACATGGCAGGGGTGAGGTGGTGCTCACTCCTCACCCCTGCCACATGGACCCAAGGGAAAAACCATCAACCCTGCTCAATGGTCAGCTTTCCTCGCCGGGTCACACCCATTAGGACAGTGGGAGGGTTAAGGCAGGACCTCGACCCTGACCCGGAGAAGGCATTCTTCTTTTTACCGACTCATACAAACGTCTTTAAACTCAGGACAGCTGCAGGGACTCACACAACTTTCATCCAAATAGAGTCCTGTCAGGTGTCTGAAACCATTTTCCATTTCATTTCTACAAGTCTGAGAGTGTTACAAATGTAAACTATTCTGGGAGAGGTTGGAGAGCTTTGAAACCAAGTTGTGACCAGTTGGAGACAACATCAAGAATCTGATATTTTTAGACTGACAAAGTTGAAAATCAAATTAGAATGAATTGAAATTTAGGACATAATTATGACACATTGTGACTAAATTGTGATGAGAATTTCACAATTTATTTGCTGTTGTGATCTAAGCTAGTGTTGTGTGTAAAACTATGATTCCAGAAGAAAACTTGTGTATTTAGTCACAATTTTGTTATTGAAATTAAAAGGATTTCAAAAAGAGGAATCATTCTGATTTTAAAATAAACGTATTGTATATAACCAAGATGATTTTTCTCTTCCTTTAGGTGAGTCTCATATTGAATTTTGCTGTCACATAGCCAGAGCTAGCATGGACCCAAAGGAGCCGCCTGTATACGAGTATGTCAAGTTTGTCGGAGATTTCAAGTTTCATAACAATGGTAAGACGTTGTGTTTTTGTTTTGTTTTGGGAGTGGGTTAGATCAGATCTTTGTGACTAAAGTGCCTCCTTTTGTCTCACAGTGCCTACGTCTTCTTGCAACGGGCTGGAGCTGACGTTACCAAGAAGTTTGCAGTCGTCGCTGGAGGAGCAGGTCTGCCTCATAGCTACTGTACGATTAGTCACGCCTCAGTTTCTGAAGGTAAGACCTGTTTGGTTCAGACTCGTTCCTTTGTTTTACAGCTTGTACTGCAAGCGTTTGTCATTTCCAACAGGAAAACAAAACGTGACCCTGAGAAAGTGAAATATTTGACATTGAACTCTAATCCTTTACTTATTAATAATTTCCAGTGACAGCTCTGACCAGAATTAACTTGAACTTATATTTTTTCCTCCTCTGATCCCAACAGATTCGAAGCAAATCCTTGGTTTAATTTTCTGCTCTTGAACTCCCATCACTTCACCCTCGCAGACTAATTCCAGTTGTCATTTGCTTTCCTTCACAGTATCTGTGCTCAAGGTCGCAGCTGCTTGGAAACATTCAGAATATTCAATCTGTTTAACTGTGACATGCAAATATGAGCACAAAATGATTTAGTGTGAACAAAACTGTGAGGAAATGTTGCCAAATTCTTGATGCTGAGGAGCAACATGCCGTAGTTTTGAGATAACACCTAGTCTGATTATTGCAATCCTGCTAAAATAACTTTGCGTGAAAATATATAATTGAGAATTTTTCATGAGTAAAATTGTAAAAAGAAGATATAATTTATTTTGGTTTGCTGTTAAGATCCTGTCTCAGTAGTTTTGTTTTGGTTTAGGATTTGTGTAATGTGGAAGATCCCTGTGATGAATTCACATCCAGACACAGCCTCGAATGGAAGTTCTTGTTTTTAGATCACAGGTAAGAACTAAACATGATCCATATAATCATCAGTATTGATTTATTTAAGTTTTTAAAGTGTTTATGATTATCTTTTGTGTTTCAGAGCATCACCCATCATTGGCTATTTACCTTTTGAGGTTCTTGGGACTTCTGGCTATGACTATTATCACGTGGATGATTTGGAGCTTATAGCCCAGTGCCACAAGCAATGTAAGAGTCCCACAGGCAGACTGACTAAGCGTGAGCAGCGCTTGTTTTATAAAAGCATCAAGCAAAGTTGGCTCCTTCTCAGCATCAGAATGTAATGAGCACAGTCTGTGAGCGGCGTCTACTCTTCTTTAGCACATGATAGCTGTTGTTTTTGTCTTTGATAGTTGGACTTTGTCCAGCAGGCACAAAAGTAGCAGAGATAAATAAATGTTTCTTCACCGTGAACTGCAGGTCTTAAAGGATGAAAAACAAAGTTGCCCCACCTTATGATTACATTTCTAGTTTAGTAAAATAGTTTTTTTTTCTTTCCAACACCATACATTCATTACCTAATGCATTAAAACAACTATTAAAGGGCCCTTAAATATGACTCAAAACAACAGGGTGTGCACTATGTCTTACCCTTGCTCTCAGCATTGCATCCCACCTTCAGATGTAGAGTGTGGAAATTTATCAGAAATTATCTGAAGTGTAGAAATGATAGATTTGAACACAATAATGTGTGCTTTTTGTTTGCTCTCAGTAATGCAGTTTGGAAAAGGGAAATCCTGCTATTATCGGTTCCTGACCAAAGGACAGCAGTGGATTTGGCTGCAGACTCATTACTACATCACTTACCACCAGTGGAACTCCAAACCAGAATTCATTGTCTGCACTCACACTGTTGTTAGGTTAGTGTGTTTCTTCTGTCCTAATAATACACAAACACGACAAAACGAGACAAACGTAAATCTGTCTGTTTGCTGTTCAGTTACGCTGAGGTGCGAGCTGAACGGAGAAGAGCTTTTGGACTCGAAGAGTTGTCTCCACCTGAGATAGCGCCCTCCTCTGTGAAGGTCAGAGTCAGGAGCTTTATTACGTACGATGTGACGTTCAGGTGTTTGAGGCTCCGTGCTGAATGTTGCTCTGTCTCGCAGGCCCAGGAGCTGTACCTGGACATCTGCTCCACTCTGGACGCTACCCGCGACAGAAACAGCGGTGCACGTTCGGTGTCCTCCCACAGCTCTCGGAAATCCTCCCACACGGTGCAGTCAGACTCTTTGTGTGAGTCATCCTCTGCTTCCTAAACTGCTAACTCACTAAGCAGCGTACTCTTATGTGAATAAATCATATATGAGGTGAAATTGAGCTTAAAAACGGTCAAATTTCAAAACTAAGCATCATCCCCATGTTTGTGTGGGTGAAGATGCATCCGTGAGGAAATGTTCCCATGGTTTACTTTGGCTTTCCCCTGTTACTTTGAGCCTTCAGACTCGCTGCTGTTCCACCCACCATCACCTCACTTCCATCTGCATATTTATGAAGACAACAGCAGCTGTTGATAAAAGCAAACATAGAGCTGAAATCTTAATGCACACACCAGTGCACTTTGACAGCTGCTGGTTTCTTGTCTAGGTTGATTTGTGGGGTTATAACGAAAACAACTGAATTCATCAGTTTTTTTGCTCAGTGCAGTGGCTGAATGAAGTAGCAATCAATGAATCAGCAGCTGTGCTATACATCCAAAGAAAATAAGTTGTTTTGGTTTTATCCCAGCAAAGCTGTTGTTCCTCTGCTGATGCACGGAGCTTCCTTTTGGGGGGGGGGGGGGGGGGGGGGGTAAACCAGTAAACACAAAAATAGCTGCAACTCAGCCAGTTTTAAATTTGGTGCGCTGGTGGCTGAAAATCCTCCACAGCGTAGATTTTGAGTGCTAACAGATTGCATGACTTCTTATAATGTGTCATGTGATTGGGCAAATGATCTGTTTATCTCCTGAGTGTAATTGACTCATTAGAGCTCGTTGGAAATGTGTTTAGCTAGCAAGAGAGAAACAATGATGGTAAACTAAGCGAACATGTCGTCAGACAGCCTGTAAGTGACCTGTCTCCTCTGTAGCTGCAAACTCCTTCACAGAGGCCTGCACGCCGTCATGGCAGGCTGCTTCTGTCGGCCCCGAGAAGTCATCTGCCAGACTCCAACCCAGTGCTTCAAAGGTCAGTTTATACTCCTCCAACACCAAATCTGTCTGTGGGGGGAAATCGGTCGGTGCAACAACGACTGGTGCTGGGTTGTAAACTTCTGCGTTTTATTTTCTCCTGTAGAATTTGACTCAAAGACAAAAGTCCTTTGACCTTGTTCCCCAAATGAGCCTCTCCCTTTCTCCAACCTGCAGCAAGCACTCCCCCACAATGGTTGGTGCTTAGACTTCCTGTCCTACCAGTTGCCCTCATCTGTTCTGTGTGCTGCATCTGATAGTTATGACTGTTGCTGTCATCTGTCTTCATATCATCTGCTTGTTAAAAAAAACATAAAAAGAAGAGAAAATGGTTTTCTCTTCATCGTTTTATTTGGAATGTAGTTTTTTTCCCTTAAAAGTTTCTAAAGAAATCGTTCACGTTACGTAACAGTAAATGGCTTCTATCACCACAACACCACGCTCAATAACTAGCAACCGCATTTTTTTGTTTTCTTTTTTGAAAAAAAATCATGAGTGGCAAAAAAGATAATTAATGAAACTTGAATCAAGTATAAAATAATTTATTTTTGATATTATATACATTTTTTTCTCTGCAGCAGCAATCCCAGCAGCAGCAACAATCCCAGGAGCAGTCCTCGGTGTATCAGCTGCAGCAGCCTCAGCTCGGTGTAATGAACCAGCTGAAGGAACAGCTGGAGGAGAGGACGCGCATTTTGCAGGCCGACATTAAAACCCAGCAGCAGGAGCTGCATGATATTAAGGAGAAGCTTCATCTCGCGAATCTGCAGGTAGCAATCCCACCAAAGGAGAAAGAGGACCCTCAATCTACTATTCTCTAAAGAAATGTCTTCATCAGAAGACAAGCATAGAGGTTTTTTATTTATGTAAAATTAACTAGGTTTCATAAAAATACATAATCAGAGGTTTTGTCATATCTTTGAATAACATTTTGCACGTGGATATTAGGGGTAAGGAAATAAATTAGCATCCTGGTACCAAATCCTTCCTGTCGTGGTAGATTGTCTCCACCTAGAGGCTATTTTGTGTACTACATGACCCGTATAACATTCTGACTGGAAGTGTGTTCTGGATGTTGGTGAGCTGATGTGATCATGTGATCACCCTACAAAAACTAATTTTGTTAGTGCTCAAACTGAAATAATTGAAGAAGGATTTGCATAATGCTAGTTTTTAATCTTTTCATTTGGGTTTTATTGGTGTTTAACATGCAGAAAACGTCAGTATAATTTATATGAAAGCCAAACATTTTTCTGAAGGCATGAATAAACAAATATATTACTTTCTGTCTTCATCTTAGATGTTGTTACAGCAGCCGATCCACAATGACTTTGGTCAGGCCCAGCAGCAGCCGCAGCAGCAGGGACCAGGAAGGCCGACCCAACAGAACCAGTCAGGGGTCATCAGGCAGCTCTCAGGCCAGTCAAAGCCTGCCAGCTGCAGTGCTCACAGTTCATCACCCCACTCTGGCCTGAGAGAAAACAGCTCACCCTCCACGCAGGTTCTTAAAACGAGATGGAGCTTTTAAAAGCAGACATCCGATCACGTTAAAGTCTAAATGTTTGGTTTGAAGTTTCTCTGAGGAGCTTTTGTTCGTTTTCAGGTTCAGCAGAGGACTGCTCGGGGCAGGCAGTCGGTGAGTTTGCCCATGCAGACGAACACAAGTCTGACCACGCCCTTCTACAGCAATCCCATGATGTTCTCCCAGACGAACACAAGGCCTCAGCAGGATGCAAACCAAAGACACAACCAGTTCAGCCAGGATGGACAGCTACAGTGAGAGCCCTAAACACACACTGGTGTCTGCTTAGAGATGGGATGAAGAACTAACAGCTTCTCTTCCCCTGCAGGATGCTCCTGAACCAGCCGGTGCAGACTCTGGTTCCCACTAGCAGCATCACCTCACAGCCCTCCCAGTGCAACATGGGAATCTCCCAAACTCTGTGAGCCAGCACACCCAGTCCGTGTTTGTATCACATAGTTTTGTACCGTTTCTGAGCTCTTTGTTGTTTTTTTACTTCACAGATACAGCTTGGACCAGCCGATCATCGCCCCCTCTTTTACAATGCAACAAGTCAACTGTAACGCCGTGCTCGTGCCATCCCCCGTCTTCACGTCCCCCATAATGATCCCACACAACACCTTCATCACACATCAGTCCCAGTCAGCCCACCCCACTCAGCCTCAGGCCTCCCAGCACTCGGTGCAGCCTCAGCAGCCCCAGCAGTTCTTTCAGGTACCATACTCATCATCATCACAACTTTTATCACATTTCTGGGTCAGTTCGCTGGATAACATTTATGCTTTCTTGTTGTCCACAGATGACTCAAGGGCTTGTCCACAGTGGATCGACTCCAACTTTCCTACACACCACCAACGTCCCACAGCAAAGCACCGTGGGATACATTCAGCAGCAGCTGCCAACGCAGCAGCTGCCTCTAGCACAGCAGCAGCAACCGCAGCAGCAGCAAAGACAGTACCAACTTTCCCAAAATCGGACAGCCAGCATTTCAGATTTTCGGAATATGCTGACTCGGTAGCACCAAGGACTTTCTGGAGCGCTGAGATTCTGCCTTTGTGGCGCCGCCCTGCAGGCGGCAAAACAATGTGGCACTTAGAAATCAAACTTGGATGGCGAGTTCAGAGGCAGCTGGTTCTATACAACACCAGGCCGTCCTGGCTCCGCCTGATCCGAGGAGAGAGGCCACGTGACGCTCACTGAGACCGCCAGAATAAGTGGATTATCCAGGCTCTGAAGATGATGCTTTTACGCGTCTGCTTGTTGAAGTTTAAGTGTCTGTTTGCACTTTGACACCAACCCATACCGTAATGTAGAATATTTATAATTTTTCTGTGGTCGATTGTTTCCTTCTGTTTGATTACTTTTCAGATCTACAGCTCAGCGCCCCTTCCCTGGAATATCATCCTTGCCTGTTAAACAGGGTTTGTTTGTGTGATAATTCTACAGCGGCACCACATTCTGTTCCAAACACGACGATTCAAAATCGGGCCTGAAGCGACAAAAGGGATTTCTTCTCATTATTATGAAGGTCCATCTAGATTTTTAAAGCCTCAATCTGGGCCTGAAAGAGTGGCGCTGTAGCTGCCCCAGAACTAAAACAGACATTGCTCCTGACGAGCTGCGAGTCCTCGTGTGATCCAACAGGCAGAGGAGGGGTAATCGTGCCTTCAACCGTGATGCATTCATGGTCTGGTTTGATGGTTTTTGTCTGATTACGGCTTTAAAAATCCAGCTCAGGTCCATTTGGAATAGAAATGGTATATTTTCATAAAAGAATGATTTCTACTTTCTGCGTCAGATAGAAATAGGGAACGTGTAGATTTATACTGGACAAATTACAACCATATATATTTAATATATATGCACTAGAAGAATTTCTACTGCAACCTCAACATGCTCAGTAGATCCTGAACAGTTTCATCCGTGTGGTTCATCCCTATTGCTTATTTAACAAAGTGTGGCATAAAGAAACAACAGTTATTCTACCACTGATCTGTGTTCTGCACAGAGAGAGTTTGCATGCAGCCTAGATGAAAACAGTATTCTAATGTGGTCGACGTGTCTGTTGGATTGTTTATTTGAACAATTTATTAAGACAGAAAAATCTGCTTATCGGCCGATACTCCAAAAAGGTCTGTTCTGTCATTTATTTAGACATTATGAGCTTTTGAAGCAGCTTTCCGACTCTTTCTTTGACAATCTTTGGAGTTAATTCTCAGACTGTTTAGATTTAAGGGTGAACCGATGCTATTGATGCTGCACTGATGATACTCGGATTACAGTTGTGACACTAAGAAGATTGAAATGTTGACGCTTGACAATGAGCTTAGTTCAAGAAGAAAAAAAAAAGACCATATGTGCATCTAAACTAACGAAGACAATCAGCTAATACATAAACAGCACCTGCATTATAGTTTCAGTTTATTATTCAGACTTGCAAATCTTAGCTTATTTTCCACTTAGCACGACAAACACGTTTTCGCTCCACTTTATGAAAAGCAGCCCGTCGTGCTCCAAATGCGACTTCTTTTGGTGTTATTAAAATATTCCTGTTGAAGACTGGTGCTGCTCCTGTTGCACACTCAGCACGTATGTTTGGTGCCGTTTTACGCTTTTCTATGTGCAATGTGGATTTAAAAGAAGAATGTTAATTTATGCAGTTTTACCTGTTTCAGAACAGCGTTGCCGTGTAAATAGGGCTGTATTATAAACACATGTACCAGGTAATTTATATGGAAGTATTTTATTTTCTTTGAATGAAAACATTCCTTCTAGCAGTATTTTATTTTAATATATATTCACTGAAGGGGGGTTTGCACAGGACTTAGCATAAGTTGTACGGGGTTAAATGAGTCAGAGCTCCTGCTCCGCCGTTCATAAACATTTAAAAATACTCAAATTCAAAGTGCAATTATTCTGCATCAGTAACAAACTCTGAAGGATGAAGCTAACGCTAGAGCCCTGTTATTACTCACTATTCTTCCATAAGTTTCACATGTTTCTGCTTCGCCAGCAGCTCAAGAGGTGCCATTCACAACTTTTTGTGTTTCTTGTCTTCATTTGTTGAGCATTTCTCAGTGAAAATGCTCCAAATCACATGATTAAAGACAATTCATTTATAATCCTGCAGAATATCAGCCTTTTAGGCAGTGAAATAGGTTATATGAGATTATTTTTCTTCTGAACACATCATTCAGACGATGTTGGATTTAGACGAAGCATCTGTTACCGTTTAGTTTGCCTTCAGAGGTGGTTGAGGGAAACTCGGCTCATTAAACTCATCTGACTTGAACCTAAATCACCTACTAACATCTGGATTACTTCACAAAGGTTGTAAATAATTTGTTCGATTGGTGTTTTGTTTCCCTCCCAGCCACTCTTTGGATTGCTGTTCTCGTTCGTGTTTTTTTTTTCATCATCGTTTGTTCTTTTTCCACTTGATGGGATGTGAATTTGATCACATTGAACTTCATCTATATTTTCTGATTTGCAACATGTGACACGTGACTGTGGGCAGTCAGATTAATGCTTTCTGTGCAAGTTACCAGAACATGAACAAAACAACACAACCCTTGCGTTCAAGCATTTCTGCAGTTTCAGTGCAGGAAGTAAAAAAAGAATAAAGATTATATTGTATTATAGAATGTTTAAAAATGCATTTAAAATATTTTAGGCCACATAGTTGTTTATTTTCTATGTCTAATAGATTGCATATGTATGTTACATGATTTAAAATTAAAGTAATTTTGTAACAGATTAAGAGGTGTCTTATTAGAAGAGGTGTTGTTTATTTTTGGACCCAGATCGGTGTTGCAGTCACGTGTACAGCTCGTTTTCTCTCTCTGTATTTTACCATGAAAGATAAGCTTTTAAAAAAAATGAACATTTGTTTTAAAAGAATTAAATTGAGTTCAGCCTAAATATTAACTACGATATATTGAATTATATATAAATCAACTTGAATATTGTGAAATATCTGAGAAAAAAAAATTCAAAATACCTGTTATTCCTCAGCTGCATGACCTGAAATCAAGGCTTTTATTTCTATAATACACACGACACAGCTGACTTCTCAAAATTAAAGCTGCAGAATTTTATTTTCTTGCTCATTATAAAAATACAAAAAGAAAGCAAAATTTTGTACATTTTTAACAGTTTTTTGCAGTTTCTAATCAGGGAAAACTTCTGTGAATTTATAAACTTTGTTCATCAGGACTTCCACTTGATTCCCACCCAAATGGCAAAGATCCAGGACGCACACCAGATGCATGTCTTCCAGCTCTGAGGCCGTCACCAAGATCTCCTCTGCAAGATGACGACCACACATTTAGTTTGAAGCGTTACGACCTGCTGGGACAACGTTTGTGTTGTTGCCTCCTACCGGGCTGAGGAAGGGCTGCACCGCTGAGCGGGAACAGGAAACCAGATGAAAGGCAGGACAACATGGTGTTGTTGTGTGGATCTTGAGGAAGACCAACAGCTCGGGGATCGCCGACGTTCCCGACAGGGAAAAACGCAGCATCGACAGCCATCTGCTTGTTAATACCTGTTGGAAATTTAAAAAATTTTTCTTTTATTATTCAAGAATTAAGAAAAGCTCCTGACATGTAGGTCTTTATGACACGGTAAAAATAAAAGAGCAGAACACATTTAAAGAGGCAGATCCACCTTAACAACAGAGCTGCATGAATTCAAGCTTTTTTTAAGGTCACTCAGACCTCTGACTGTGGAAACTGGGTTTCACTGACAGCAAGTCTTCACCTTAGAGTGACTCAGCGATGATGTAAATTTAATAAAATATAAAGGTCAGGTAGCAGTGTTTGTTCCAGACTGAACACAAAAGGACTCTTCTGTCTCGGTGAGGAACCCACTCATAAAAAAAGAAGAAGCCTGCATTTTCGCAGTGAGTCAGACAGATGCTGAAAAGACTGGAACACTTAAGAGACGGCGTTATCTTTGGTCAGGGAGCATCTGTTTTACCTAGAATAGTCAGCTGGTAGTATCCGGGACAGGAAGCAGGTGGAATGGGGTCGGCTATTGGCTCTGACGTCCACTGCCCCGGCTGAAGGTTAGACCACTGCATCAGGGTGATCCTCTCATCAAACACAAACTTGCGAAAGATGCTGTCCTGGTGCAGGCCGCCTTGACACAAACGTTCAGAGAGTTCTTGTTGCTGTATGGACCAGCCGCTGATTTCCCAGAAGGGAGCGTTGCAGACTGGGAGAAGACAAATGCATCATTGTGAGTATCAGAACACACACACAGGCACAGGAGTGAAGGTGAAGCTCCAGTAACTCACCCTGACCTTGATCCACCTCCTCTTCCTCCCTTCCATGTGTATTTCTGTGTCTGAAGCAGAGAAGAGATGAAAAATGAGCTCAGAATGAAAACATCATGTTTAGATTTAAAAACTACCTTTTAGATGAAGCGCTGCCACGATTCAGGCAGGATGGTGTGGTTTCACTGAAAAACACGAGTTACCGCACATTTAACTCAATAAATCAGCCGTTTGCCATCAAGGTACAACAAATAAATATAAAGGTCAGCCATACCTCTGATGATTTTTTATTTTCAATATGTTTGCTGAGCTTCTGTCAGAGGAGGGGGATAATGAACCACCTGCAAATGTTTGCTTAACTGTTGGAGGAGAAGCTTGTTGTTCTGGTCCAACTTGTTCTTGCTCATCATCTGAAACCTAGAAAAACCTTATTTTTACATTTGAAACACTCACCATTCTTAAAAATAATCACTGTAAAATTACATCTGTCACCTCATTGCCTTCCATTGTTTGAGTCTCTGAGGATCTTGGGGCTTCTGTGTAACGTACTGCTGTGATCCATCCCTGAATAGCAACTCTTTTATGTTCTCTGTATTGCAGAGTCTCCAGCTCCTTCTTCAGGTCGGCCGCAGAAACCAGAGGAACTTTACCATAAAGCACAAATCAGCAGTTTTTATCTTTTCGGGAATGATGTATGACTTTTTTGAAATCCACAAAATTATGGTCCGACTGTTGTGTGATAGCGCCTAATACAGGTGCTGGCCAGTAAATTAGAATATCATCAAAAGGTTGAAAATATTTCAGTAATTCCATTCAAAACGTGAAACTTGTACATTATATTCATGCAATGCACACAGACCAATGTATTTCCAATGTTCATTACATTTAAATTTGATATTCATAAGTGACAACTAATGAAAACTCCAAATTTGGTATCTCAAAAAATTAGAATATTCTGAAAAGGCTGAATATAGAAGACACCTGCTGCCACTCTAATCAGCTGATTTACTCAAAACACCTGCAAAGGCCTTTAAAAGGTCCCTCAGTCTTGTTTTGAAGGCACCACAATCATGGGGAAGACTTCTGACTTAACAGCTGTCCAAAAGACAATCATTGACACCTTGCACAAGGAGGGCAAGACACAAAAGGTGATTGCTAAAGAAGCTGGCTGTTCGCAGAGCTCTGTGTCCAAGCACATTAACAGACAGGCGAAGGGACGGAAAAAATGTGGTAGAAAAAAGTGTACAAGCTCTAGGGATAACCGCACCCTGCAGAGAATTGTGACGACAAACCCATTCAAAAATGTGGGGGAGATCCACAAAGAGTGGACTGCAGCTGGAGTCAGCGCTTCAAGAACCACCACGAGGAGACTCATGAAAGACATGGGATTCAGGTGTCGCATTCCGTGTGTCAAGCCACTCTTGAACAAGAAACAGCGCAAGAAGCGTCTCGCCTGGGCCAAGGACAAAAAGGACTGGACTGATGCTGAGTGGTCCAAAGTTATGTTTTCTGATGAAAGCAAGTTCTGCATTTCCTTTGGAAATCAAGGACCCAGAGTCTGGAGGAAGAGCGGAGAAGCACAGAATCCACGTTGCATGAGGTCCAGTGTAAAGTTTCCACCGTCAGTGATGGTGTGGGGTGCCATGTCATCTGCCGGTGTTGGCCCACTCTGTTTCCTGAGGTCCAGGGTCAATGCAGCCGTCTACCAGGAAGTTTTAGAGCACTTCATGCGTCCTGCTGCTGACCAACTTTATGGGGATGCAGACTTCACCTTTCAACAGGACCTGGCACCTGCACACAGTGCCAAAACCACCAGCACCTGGTTCAAGGACCATGGTATCCCTGTCCTTGATTGGCCAGCAAACTCGCCTGACCTTAACCCCATAGAAAATCTATGGGGTATTGTGAAGCGGAGGATGCAATACGCTAGACCCAACAATGCAGAGGAGCTGAAGACGACTATCAGAGCAACCTGGGCTCTCATAACACCTGAGCAGTGCCACAGACTGATCGAGTCCATGCCACGCCGCATTACTGCAGTTATTGAGGCAAAAGGAGCCCCGACTAAGTATTGAGTGCTATACATGCACATTCTTTTCATGTTCATTCTTTTCAGTTGGCCAACATTAGAGAAACAAACATTTTTTCATTGGCCTTTAGAATATTCTAATTTTCTGAGATACCAGATTTGATGTTTTCATTGGTTGTCACCTATAAATATCAAAATTAAACGTAATAAACATCGGAAATACATTGGTCTGTGTGCATTGCATGAATATAATGTACAAGTTTCACGTTTTGAATGGAATTACTGAAATATTTTCAACCTTTTGATGATATTCTAATTTACTGGCCAGCACCTGTATATATTAGGGATGCACGATATATCGGCATCAATATCCAGGGTTCCCACTCTTTTTTTGAACATGATTTTCCTGGACTTTTCCAGGACATTTTCAAGACTTTCAGCTGCTACAGTAAGGCTCAAGTTATTACAACTAGGGCTGGGTAATATCATTTTCATGTCAGAATGTATTAGGGCTGGGCAATAAATCGAAAATTTATCGTTATCGAAATTTCTGACTTATCGTGATAATCTTTCCCATGTCAATAAATCTGGCAATAAAAAAATGAAAAGATGTGTGTAGGTTGGCAACGTTCATGTCCCTTTAAGAAGCTTTACCACCTTGAGTCACGTAAAAATGTGACTCGACTTAATACATGTGACAGCCCCATCTAGTGGACAACTTTTGTTTCTGCGCTTACCTGTAGTTATCGTCCATTTATCGTTATTGAGGTGAAATCCTCAATATATCGTGATATTGATTTTAGGCCATATCGCTCAGCCCTAGAATGTATTTTGAAACAGATATTATACTGTACCTATACCGCTATATCGATTTTATAGTTGTGCAAAGATTGTTGTTTTTCACTTTAGGGACCCTAAGTCTCCTCCCTTTCCGGTCGGCTCATGAGTCCCCGGAAGAACGAAAAAATGTATGCAAGTCAATGGGGCTAAAAGAGCACCCTGGATCACGCATATGTTGTACTGCAATTTAAATGAAAACTAATGATGGGTGTTTTGGCCATGTACTTTGAGATTTATCAGCTTGTAAAAGTTCGTAATTAGCATGACTACACATTAGACCTCGGCACGTCGCATATATGACGTCACCACAGAATCTCCTCTTACCACATGGCCAGATTTATGGTGGTTCTTTCCTCCTGAAGGAAGGATTTGAAGTTTGTTGAACTTACATCCATTTTCCCTCTGTTTTTCTACGTGTCTGGTTCGATGACGTCACTTCTGTAATGCGCATTTGTAGTCCTGGACTTATTTTCAAACAAAACCTAAAATAACGTTTCTCCCCGTTCAAAAATGAGCGCTTTCTTGGTATTAAAATGTGTCTTTAAAATTCATGGACATAATATGTGAAAGCAACTGTGAACCCACCACCCGCAGGAGGAACACGAAGGGTCCGGTGCAGTGTGGATCGGGTGGCAGACCAAGGAGGGAGCCTTGGCAGTCCGATCCCCGGACAAGGAAACTGGTTTTTGGGACATGGAACGTCACCTCGCTGGCGGGGAAGGAGCAGGAGCTTGTGGCAGAGGTTGAGCGGTACCGGCTAGATATAGTCGGACTCACCTCGACACAAAGCATTGGCTCTGAAACCCAAGTCCTTGAGAGGGGTTGGACACTCTCCTTTGCTGGAGTTGCTCCGGGTGAGAGGCGGAGGGCTGGGGTTGGCTTTTTGTTAGCCCCAAGACTCTCTGCCTGTGTGTTGGGGTTTATCCCGGGGGACGAGAGGGTAGCTTCCCTGCGCCTTCAGGCCGGTGAACGGGTCCTGACTGTTGTTTGTGCTTATGGGCCAAATATCAGTTCAGAGTACCAACCCTTTTTAGAGTCCCTGGGACGAGTGCTAGATAGCGCTCCATCAGGGGACTCCATTGTCTTGCTGGGGGACTTCAATGTTCACGTGGGCAATGACAGCATGACCTGGAGGGGTGTGATTGGGAGGAACGGCCCGTCTGATCTGAACTCGAGTAGTGTTTCATTATTGGACTTCTGTGCAAGCCGCAGTTTGGCCATAACGAACACCATGTTCGAACAAAAGGATGTCCATCGGTACACTTGGTACCAGGGCAGCCTAGGTCGCAGGTCGATGATAGACTTTGTAGTCGTATCATCTGACCTGCGGCCGTATGTTTTGGATACCCGAGTGAAGAGAGGAGCGGAGCTGTCAACTGATCACCACCTGGTGGTGAGATGGATCAGATGGCTGGGGAAGATGCTGCGTAGATCCGGCAGACCCAAATGCATAGTGAGGGTCTGCTGGGAACGCCTGGCAGAAGAACCTGTCAAGACGGTCTTCAACTCCCACCTCCGGCAGAGCTTTGACCGCGTCCCGAGAGCAGTGGGGGCATTGACTCTGAGTGGGCCTTGTTCCACTCTGCGATTGTTGAGGCGGCTATTGCTGGCTGTGGTCGCAAGGTGACTGGTGCCAGTTGTGGTGGCAACCCCGGTACCCACTGGTGGACACCAGAGGTTCGGGGAGCCGTCAGGCTGAAGAAGGAGACCTACAGGGCGTGGCTGGTCTGTGGGTCTCCGGAGACAGCAGACAGGTACCGGATAGCCAACCTGGGTGCAGCAGTAGCAGTTGCCGAGGCAAAATCTCGGGCGTGGGAGGAGTTTGGTGAGGCCATTGAGAAAGACTATTGATCGGCTCCAAAGAGGTTCTGGCAAACTGTCCGGCGCCTCAGGAGAGGAAGGCAGCAACTCACTCACACTGTTTACAGTGGGGATGGGGAGCTGCTGACATCAACTGGGGCTATTTTCGGACGGTGGAAGGAATACTTTGAGGAGCTCCTCAATCCCACCTACGTGTATTCCGAGGAGGAACCAGAGCCGGGAGACCTGGGGATGGACTGTCCAATCTCGGGGATAGAAGTTGCTGAGGTAGTCAAACAACTACACAGCGGCGGAGCCCCGGGGGCGGATGGCATTCGTCCTGGGTATCTCAAAGCTATGGATGTTGTAGGGCTGTCGTGGTTGACACATCTCTGCAACATTGCGTGGTAATCAGGGGCAGTTCCTGTTTAGTGGCAGACCGGGGTGGTGGTCCCCATTTTTAAGAAGGGTGACCTGAGGGTGTGCTCCAACTATAGGGGGATCACACTCCTCAGCCTCCCTGGAAAGGTCTACTCCAAGGTACTGGACAACAGGGTCCGATCGATAGTTGAATCTCAGATTGAGGAGGAGCAATGTGGTTTTCGTCCTGGCCGTGGAACTGTGGACCAGCTCTATGCCCTTGCAAGAGTGATGGAGGGGGCATGGGAGTTTGCCCAACCAATCCACATGTGTTTTGTGGATTTGGAGAAGGCTTATGACTGTGTCCCCAGGGGCACCCTGTGGGGACGCTCCAGGAGTATGGGGTGGGTGGCTTTCTGTTAAGGGCCATTCAGTCCCTTTACCAGAGGAGCGTGAGTTAGGTCCGCATAGCCGGTAGTAAGTCGGACCTGTTCCCGGTGAGGGTTGGACTCTGCCAGGGCTGCCCTTTGTCACCGGTTCTGTTTATTACCTTTATGGACAGAATTTCTAGGCGCAGCCGTGGTGTGGAGTGTGTCGAGTTTGGTGACAGGAGAATCTCGTCTCCGCTTTTTGCGGATGATGTGGTCCTTCTAGCTTCATCCAGCTCTGACCTTCAGCTCTTGCAGGGTAGGTTCGCGGCCGAGTGTGAAGCGGCTGGGATGAGGATCAGCACCTCCAAATCTGAGACCATGGTTCTCGACCGGAAAAGGGTGGCTTGCCCAATCCGGGTCGGGAGAGAGGTCCTACCTCAAGTGGAGGAGTTTAGGTATCTCGGGGTCTTGTTCACGAGTGAGGGTAGGAGGGATCGGAAGATCGACAGGCGGATTGGTTCAGCGTCTGCAGTGATGCGGACACTGAGCCGATCTGTCGTGGTGAAGAGGGAGCTGAGCCAGAAAGCCAGGCTCTCGATTTACCGGTCAATCTACGTCCCAATCCTCACCTATGGTCATGAGCTTTGGGTAATGACCGAAAGAACGAGATTGCGGATACAAGTGGCCGAAATGAGTTTCCTCCGCAGGGTGGCCGGGCTCAGCCTTAGAGATAGGGTAAGGAGCTCGGACATTCGGGAGGGACTCGGAGTAGAACCACTGCTCCTCCGGTTCAAAAGGAGGCGGGGGACATTGAGTCCAAATGGGCCCTGTTCCTTGCCTCCATTGTACCCGACTCTGGATAAGTGGAAGAAAATGGATGGATGGATGGAAATCTTGAACTGTGTTTTGTTTGTCAATTATATTGCTGAAATTGCTATACATTTCCGAACCTGCGTAAAAGTCCCGCCTCCTAGTTTAATTGACAGCAACAGGCAGATTTCTCCACACAAGTTTATGCAAGACTTAAACTCAAAACAGGAGACTGTCAATAATGCGGGACACGAGTTTCAATTTAAGGGATGTAAGAAAAGTCATAAGAATGCAGGACTCTCCCGCTCTGGTCATCATAGTGACGACACAACACAGCTCTCCGTTTGCTCCTCTGTCAATTAACAGAAAGAGGGAGAAAAACCTCTCACTCGATACATTGCAATACAGCAGCACTCTTTAACTGAAAGTCGCTAGCTTTGGATCTTCTTTGGAGAAATAAATCTTTACTTGAGTATGAAAAATTGGTTAATCTAGCAACAAAGACAGATGGACACACTGGGAAGCAGAACTGTTCAAAGCAATTTGATTGGTTGGTAGCGTCACGTGGGGCGCTGTGCCGGCTGAATGCAGAAATGAAAGCAGACAAGCGCTACAGCCAAATACCCACTGAACACAGCTGAAAACAGAAATTCATGCATAAAATGTTTACCCCTTTGTATTCATTCACAAGGAGGGAAAATAGATTTCCAGGACAACTCAAATATTTCTAGGACATTTTCCTTTTTTTCGCATTTTCCATGTGTTTTCCATGACTGGAAAATTGATCCACGATTTTCCAGGTTTTCCAGGACACGTGGGAACCTTGATATCGGTGGTAGTCATTCTTTAAAGAGCAAGTCACTCCAAATCAACATGTTTTTTTTGCTGATAAACTATATAAATGAGTGTCTGATTGTGCTGTAGACAAATGTAGTCAATAACTCGGCACTTTAGTGCATCTTAGTTAAAATTTAAATATTCTGCCTAAAACTGTCAGCACTGCATTTGAATTTAAATCTGCCATCGCTATTGGCTAAGAGGTACACTATGATGTTAGATGGTACATTATGATGTCACAATGTCATGAGTGTGTGTATTTGTTAGCGGCTCCGCCCTCTCGGTCTGCTAAGCGACAGCATTTGTTGCATTTTTCAAACAGGAAGTGGGAGTTGAGTAAGAATCTGGCAGGGGATGACTTGCTATTTATCATATCGGTCCGATAAGTAAAACTGGGCAGATATTAACAACTGATATTTTTTCCATCTTGTCTCTGCTTGTGTATCTGTTCCAGAGGGTGTGGGGGGTGATGCTGTTTAATAGTTTAGTCATGTGAGAGTGATGGTAATCATCTCAGAAGCATAAACATGTGAAGATGGATATATATATATATATATATATATATATATATATATATATATATATATATATATATATATATATATATATATATACCATAACCACACCATAAAAACTCATGCACCATTTCTTTTACCTGGTGATTTTGCTGCTGTCTGTTTAAAAAACCGTGGGGGGTGAGGATAGCAGTAATAGCCACCAACAGTGGACTTCTGCATGACTGTGTTGTCCTTCAGAGTTTTGGTCCACTGGATGAAGCTTTTCACCCTGGGGTCACCCACATATGGCTGGCCCTTGTGGTAACCTGTTGGTGGTGGTAGAAAACCAGTGATCTGGTGATCTGAACACAGAGAACTGCTCTACCAGCTGCAGTCACCTGTGATGAAGATCTCTGTTCCACAGCTGCTTGAGAGGTAGGGCTGTGAGCCTTCCACTTTACAGACTCGCATCTGCGTGCACACCAGGTAGGTCACTGTGGACAAGAAGACGGGACATTAGAGGAAAAATGTCCCACTTACAGCATGAATTAGTCAGCACAGATCAGATATGAATTAATCCAGCTCACTTGGACAAATGTGACCAAAGATTTCAGGATGAGATGTGGAAAACAGCTCCAAGATGAAAGGCTGGTCAAACGTTCCATCCACAGCGTGGACCCAGCGATAGCTCCAGTATTTATCAGGACCTAAACGGGAAAAAATATAATTCACTAAATAACAGACAAAAGGTAAATGACAAGTTTCAGCAGAAAGACGAAAGATGAACATGCCTTACCTTTGTTGCCTTTGCTAATGACTCTTTCCACACGGCCAGCAAATGTTACCAAACCAATGACATCACAAACATAATCACCGGGCAGATTCTCCAACTCAGACCTGTGATAAACAGAAACAACATCAAACAGTATGAATAACTGTTGTAATCATACAATCCCATGTAAAACGACAGTGACAGGGTAGATGCAGGATCTCTGCACATTGCAACACCTTTTCAGGACTTTAAGGTCTTCTAAATAAAAAATTTGACTTCATCACAACTCGCCTGTAACTAATAAACTGTTTAATTTTGACATTCAGATAAAACGAAAATTGTTTTGCAATTAAACCTTTAACCAAAGGCAAAGTTTATTCAATTTTGCCAAAGTATCACAGCATGACAAGTGAGTCCAACAACTTTTTATGGTTTTCATTTTTCTTAAATTAGTTGATTAACTTTCAATACTTTTTTTGGGCTGCATGGTGGCGCAGTGGTTAGCACTGTTGCCTCGCAGCACGAAGGTTGCAGGTTCAAAACTCGGCTGTGGCCTTTCTGCGTGGAGTTGCGTGTTCTCCCCATGCATGCGTGGGTTTCCTCCGGGTACGCCGGTTTCCCCCACAGATCACTACATGCCCTATAGGTTTGAAATTGTAAGTCGCTTTGGATAAAAGCGTCTGCTAAATGAATAAACATAAACATAAAGTTTCAATACTTTTTAAGCCCCCTAAATAATAAAAACACAGTATCCATCTGGTTACCTGCTGGTGAACTGGTAGGAAACCTCGGGGAGCCCCCACTGAGGCTGGACACTCTTGGGTGAGACTATGGTGATGACAGCAGCCGGCTCACGATAGTTCAAGCTGATTTCTTAGAGAAACACATTAACAGGTTGAATAAAAATGAATGTGGTAAAGGTTTGATCCAAATTCTAAAAGCACCAACATTCCAGCTTTTAACCTTACTCTAGGAAATGCAAATATTTAAAATCTGAATGTGTTTTCTGTTTAATATGTTACAGGCTTGACCTCTTTGCTGAGATTTCCCTGAGTCTGGACGAGCAGCTGGAACATGTTTAATTAAACGATCTACTGGTAATAACGAGGGAACTATTAAAGATATGTTATTTCTAATACAATTTATCTCCAGAAGCATGATCACCTTGTAGGTGACAAGAGAATCTTTTGTGTTTTGAATCATTATATTCCCCAAACTTGTGAAAAACAAAGGCTTAGTTAGGGACGTACCAGTAGAGGTGAAGTTTGTCATTCCGTAGTGGCTCATTTGTGGGCGTGATTTGTTTGAATAACTCTTCTTCAGGGCGTAATTTTGGAGATACAGCACCGTGCCGACACTCAATCTCTGGTAAAACTCGGGACAAAGATCATTCCAAAGCACAAGCGACATTATGCCACTCTTGTCAGCAACCTCAAAGTACGCCTGAAACGTGACAGATTTACACACTTTGGTTATAATAAAGATCTAGATTATGAAGATTACATGATGATCTTATAAGTAACTGAATGGTTAGACTCACCTGATAGGGGTAATGAATCTTGAGTCCCGGCCTGCCGTAATACCTTAACCTGGATTTGTGTATTATTTTTACCAGGAGGGGATAAGGCTTCTTTGAGTATCTGAGATAGGACTCCAGACCACCTAGGAGAGCGACCTTTGACACTGACATAAAAGATCATTAAGGTTTTCACTGAATATTTAGCTCAAGTCAACATAAAATATTAAAATGTATAATAAATTATGACATACTTATAAAAGAGTATACAATTTAATAAGTAGTTATGTTTTATATTAGTAATTTTAGCGTAAAGGTTGGTGGACTAAGAAAATTAGTTGTGTGGGAGAAAGTAATAAAGAACTTTGTAGGCAGATTCTGGATAAAATCTTAAAACACAAGTGTAAAGCCAAAGTTTGGACAGGTCAGAGGTCATCCTACCGTCCAGCACTGTTTCAGAGGAGGGAGAATCTGACATCCAGATGTCCCCCTCTGGATCGTCGTTGTTCCACAGGGGCAGGTAGTGTCTGCAGTCCGGCTGCAGAGGAACATCACTGTGCAGCAGCATGCTCCTCTCCATGCCAGGCTTCACCAGAACTGGTAATGACCGGATGTCATCAACACCGGGCAGAAGAGCGGACTTCTCTGCGTCACAGACCAGCGCCTCAACACAAATGTAACCACATCCCAGCCTCCTCTCGTTGTAAACATAGGAGCACTGCCTGACGCTGATGTCACTTCCTGTCCTCAGAGTGTTGGTGTGCACAAGGTGGTTTAAACTGGGGTGAAGAAAGCATTTGGCTCGCCAAGATCCGTCTGTGACCGTCACGTCGTAGCTGTAGAAGACGGGCTGCTGCTGATCCACAGCCTGCTCAGACAGATACCTCCGAAGGGCGATGACAGCGACAGGAGGGGCCTCCTGAGCGCTGAGTTTCAGGCACGGAGTGTTGGATAAGCGCTCCAAAGTTGACAAAAGGAAAGACGGCTGACGGGGCGCAGAAAGCATAGAAGAACAAGACGAACTACCCTCCATTGGTTTAGAAACCCACCCTCGATAGCATCAAGTTAGCTTGTGGGCTTTTTGCTCCCATAAGTTATAAACTACTAAGATAACTGTGAAATTAGTAAAATAACCCAAATGTACGTCAACATCACAGTTCGCCACGAAAGTTGTTGCTTGCTTGACGCTGAGACGTTGAACTTACCGCTAAATTCTGATGCAGTTTGATGGCGTCATCATTTCGCTCAACCACCACACCGAAAACAGCTAGTTTTTTAAATTACATATTTCATGTTACAATGTGAAATAAGTGGTTTGACTTTATTTCCTTGACCCAAAATGTTTCGGGATATTCTTTATTTTAAAAGTCGAGCTAAAAATGCAATTTGAAGTGACGTCATTTGTGCGCCGAGAAGGCGAGGACCTTTTTTTTAATTGATGAAAATAACATTTTCAAAACTAGGAGCTTGACATTGATTATTATAACAATTTCAGGTGCAGAGAGTTTAAGTGAGACATTTCTACAAAGAAAAAAGGAAAACGAGTAATATGGCTTAATTGTGACAAAAGAAAAAAAGACAACAATATGACTTAATTATGCAAGGCAGGTCGAATTATGCAATTTTTGGTAAATTATTGCAGTTTCCTTATTAAATCTAGAGAGGCATTAAAGTGACTTAAATATTGTGTTAAGTAGTTCAAAATAAGGAAAGAACAGATGTAGTGTTCTTCCGTAAACTATTTACACAAAATAATTACAAGGTTTATCAGAAATATCAAAGTCCAAATTGTCCATGTAATAATTAACATCTTGTAAAGGAAGGTATGTTAGAGATTTTGAGCGAGATTTAACAATAAATGTCAGCCCAAGACCATAACAGATTAATGATGATGATGATGATGATGATGATGATGATGATGATGATGATGATGATGATGCATTTTTAAAGCGCCTTTCAGGGAACTCAAGATCACTGTACAAAAAAAAATCAAGTCAAAAGGGTTTTTGTTCGTCACACTGAGATTTTTCTGATAATCAAAGAGAGATGGCAATTTTTTTTAAATGTGGGGATTTTCCTACATGTATTTGCTGACAGACTGGCAAACAGAAACAGAAAAATCTGTGTTCTGGTTCTAAAACAGATGTCGTCATTAATGAGCGACAAGTTACCAAAGATTTTGCCTAAATGAGTTGGTAGATGAGTAGATCGTTTTGGACAAAGTTGTATTAGATTTCAACATACGACAGGCTGAAATACTGTAATTTTCAAAACACAGTTATTTTCGTCAAAGTTAAAATATATACTCTCAAGATCAACTATATGAGCTAGTTAGTTAAGTTAGCATTGATTGAAGTTCAAAGCAATTATTTCTCTTGTAACATTTCAATGTTTAGTATAGTTAATGTAATTTCACCAAATTACCACTAGAGGGCGTAATTTTCTAAAAGGCTAAAAGCTACAAGAAATTTATCGTTTATTTTTTAAATTTCCCTTCCTAAATTAGCCACCTCAGCTGTACAGCAATCAGACGAAGCTTTTGTTTAAGTCATATTAGTCGTTTTATTCTTATTTTAATTATTTATTTATTTGCATAGATGACTCCTTAGAATGTGTTTGTTCTAATTTTACAATGTTACCACAAGAGGGCGACACTGGTGAAGCTGAAATGAGCCCAAAGTCAATCACATGAAATTTCACCTCTTTGTTATTTTCCTCCATCTAAAATAAGCCACCAAATTTACACTACTTTGGTTTGAAACGTACTTTAAAGTATTACAATTACGTCATAAAACACATTTTAGAATTACATTAGAACCAACAGTTAAAGCGAATTTGTTGTTTTATTATTTGTCATGCACTGAACCTTGACATAGTTTAATATTCAGAGTGAACTGAAAAGGCTGAACGAGTTGATTCATTTATTTTTATTTTGCATTAAGTTTTGTTCCAATGGAGACAGTCTGTGTTACTTCGTACACACAAATGTTGGATAGCAGTGTTCAGAATAATGTGTTATTCCGAAATGTTACTGCCTTAACTCGATATTAATCATTTGACAATAGTTAGATAGTTTATGTTCACACTCGTTTATTCACATCTTTTATAAATATTTAATAATAAATAAACACTTACACCTGTGGTACTCCTTCGTTATAAATGTGTGTTGTCTGTTTATTTGGTGTTTAGTATTTGTTAAAGCAAAATCTACTCAAAAAATCCCAAAGCCAGTAAAAATTGTCTTGGAAGAAATCGTTTTCCTTTATAAACAAAAAGCTTGACATTCAGATTTTGTAGGGGTTCATAGTAATTATCACATTATTTTGGGAAAACAATGTATTTATTTGTATTGATTTGTATTGATTTTATATATTCGTGCTTAAAATGTCAAATATTTGGTTTTTATGGAGCCTAAAACAGTAAACAAACTGGGCCCGTGTCCTCGGCAAAAACTACAATCCCACAATGCTTTGCGCTTTTGGCAGCATTTCTTGTCGACGTGGGAAGGGAGGGATTCGGACACAAACAAATGTCTTCGGTGTTCTTGTCGGGGCTTTTTACAGCTGACCGTGACATGTCAGGTGGATTTGTTAGAGAGCTTCGTCACGTTTGAAACATGTGGCTGAAACCTGAGGAGATTCTGCTGAAAAACGCGTTTAAATTGTGGGTCACCGAGAAGGATAACGAGTATTTCGTGCTGCAGAGGAGACGAGGTTACGGAGAAGGAGGTGGCGGGCTGACAGGTAACGTTAGCGGTTTGGGTTTAGCCCCATTGGGGAGTCCAGAACTGCTGCCGCTTCGAGAATAACGTTTAAACACAGAAGAGTTATTTATAGAATAATGTGTTCATAAATGTTGCCTAGCTTAAGAGCGGTGAGTCGTTGGGAGGGAGCTAATGCCTCCTGTTTGCAACAGGTAGTCAGAGTGAGCATCTAACAGCTGCTGTTCAGTTCAGAGAGGATGAAGTGTGTGTGTGTGTGTGTGTGTGTGTGTGTGTGTGTGTGTCAGCCAATCTAATGTGTGAAATCACCTGGAAACATTTAATTTAGCCTGAATATGAAGAAAATAAACACAATCACACTACAGCAGCATAGAGCTGCATCAGCAACACTAGTGAGGAAATGGATGATTTTTAAAAACAGTTTCGCACTAAGTCCAGTTCACAGCTTTGCTAAAATCTCGTGTTTTATTTTTAACCATGAGTTAAAGTCATTAAAGTGACTATAAGGAAGTTTGACAGCCAAAACATGTATAGAAATAATAAATTTCTTCTTCATACATTCTCCTGCAATACCCTGGTCCTGTAGAATGAGCCCTGGCATTTTTACTGTGATTGCCTGTTTTTCTGTAAAATCACAGAAAAAGAGAGATGCTCGGGTCGAGCAGGCTGCTTCATGCACGTTCACACCCTTAGCATTTGCTATCTGTAGATTTAGCAGCAGAGAGAGAGGCAGTGCCAACTCAGCGACTTTGTCGCTGTTCCTAACGCCTAGTGATGAACCTAGCTACATTCCTGAGGACCCTTAGCTACTTTCTGTAGAACTTTCTTCTAGATATTTCCTGCAAATTAGCAACAAAATAGCCATTTTCGCTTCGAGCTGTTCATTAATTTGACGTTGTTTCAGGTGTTATCAAGGATATAAAAGTTCCAGATACTGTGAATGTTACTAGAGTGTAGCTCACCTTGAAAGATGTCTAACTCCCATGCAGAAGTCCTGGGTTCGATTCTGGGTGTAAACATAGTTCATGTAGAGTTTCTTTTTTACATTAATGGTATATTTTTTTACAGTAAGATGCCCGAATTTTTATTTGAGACTCGCCGAACGACATTGAACTCACAGATAAAAAAGATGTGGGTTCAACTTTCATTTTGGAAAAATTTTTCAAGCAAGGGAAGGGAATGATCTGAGCATGCAGGAGGACTGACCCATCTTAAACCTTTGTCGGCTGTGCTGAAGAGAAAGGTACAGAACCAAATTATTTAATTAATTAGCTGCGTGCCACACACACACGGGACTGTCTCAGCTATTATTTTCGTTAAGGAGTGTGCACGTACAGCATGTGCACATCGTGCACGAGCCTACTATTGAAGCTGCCGTTATGCTTTTGGCCTGAGGGGGCAATCGCGAGCTTAAAAATTCAAAAGTAAAGTCCCTTTAACTCAGGTTAGACCTGCAGCTGCTTGTTCCCAATGTTTATCCATCTGTTGTGTTCAGTTGATTTGTAAAAATCCCTAAAACTTTACTAAGTTGCTGATTGAACAGAATCACAAATATACAAAAATGGTCAAATACTCCTCCTAAAATCTATTAATTTTATTGAAAGGGATGTTCCATTCAAAATTGAAAATTTGTCTGTTGACAGGTTTCCTCGAGTTAGAAAAGTAGGGAAAAAACTATTTTTAACCAGCCAAGTCATTCTCTGGACCCTTATGTCAATAATTGTCACTTACAGTCAGTCTGATTTATTTAGGTCAACAAGAAGAATTGGGATCACTACTGAGTGATTTTAAGGACTTTTTTTTACTCACAATGCTAGTTGGAACCATTCACTTACTGTGTTTTATGCTAAGCTAAAGCTAAAGGAGTACAGCTGGGTCAGGAGAATTACCCGGTTAGTTAAAATAGTTTTTGCCCACTTATATAACACTGGGAAATATGTCAACAGACAAAATTTCATTTTTGGGTGGAATATCCCTTTGAGACAGGCATGTCCAAAAGTGCAGTCCTGCAATTTAGTGCAGCCCCCACTTGCATTTTTAGAATGATGAATTCGCTCTCCGTGTAGGATGTTGAAGATCGAACCTTTCTACCATGTTTATGTTCAGATTAGTATTTCTATTTTGAAGAGTACGAAAAATGATCATTAAATAATGTTTGCATTTTTAAAGGAAGAAAACCACATTCTTGTGGCCCCCCATTGACTTTAAACATGACTATTTTGGTCCTCGTTTTGAAACGTTTGGAAATCCTTGCTCTGATCTTTTAAGAATTCATTTTCTATTGCCAAGTAATTCTAAACTGTAGAAGCTTCCAGGCTGTTAATAAAATTTCAGCTTACAATTAAAATGCAATTATAACATCTGAGAAACCTTACACATCGATTTCAAAAGCAGGTGCAAAGGAGGATGGAGTAATCCAAAGAAGCAAAACTCTCTTGCTCAGTGTTTTTTGCTCTGATTCTGAGATTAGACCTTCAGCTAGCAAACAAATTCTAATAAGATTCTAATCTTAGAAGAAAAAAAAGTCAGGTTTACCCCAGTTTCACACTGCAAGCATCAGTGGAACAGAACAGCAGCGGAGCGGCTCACTCGCGAACTTCAAAGCGGCCCTTTTCACACCGGGAGAGTCTTGGCCGCGGCACGGCTTCCTCACTGCACCTCGCTGTACTCACGAGATTCTAAAATCCCTCGAGACTTCCAACACCTTCCTCATCGAGAGATCACAACCCCTGCGAGGAATCACACTGTTGCACTTCTCGAAAGAAACTGGTGGTAAACAAAGCCGTTCGGTCACACATACTGACGTAAGTTATATATAACATCGCAACGTTGCATTTTATTTTGAAAATAACCGGGGACTTTACACTGAAACCGTGTGGTTTCCTGTCTCGCACTATGTGAACTGCGGAAATTGATGTGTCCCAGAAGCGGCTCGTGGAAAAAATAGAACTCGATCCTATCTTTAGCGGCGCTGCGCGACATGCTGCTTTTGGGACGCACCTGGAAATTGCCGCGTCGCGGCTGGTTTGAAACACTACATAGACTATAATTGGATTCTATTTGAAGCGGTGCAGCTTCGCTGCCGTTCCGTTCCGCTGATGCTTGCAGTGTGAAACCGGGGTTAGACCAACCTCATGTAAATGTCACAAAATGCTGCTTGTCATTCACAAGACTCATACAACAGTAAAGATAATTTACTAAAAACAAACGATAAAAAATATTTTACTCCTATTTTGAAGATCAACACTTAAATCAGTAAAATTATGAGCCAATTTAGTTGCAAATTAATTGGCCACAAAGGAAATTAACAAAGAAGTCAATTTAACAATCATAGAAGAAGAAATTCCTCAATGTGCAGATTTTCAAAAACCCCTTTAGTAATGCGCCGGCACTGGGCAGCTAGTGGATGCTAGTTACAGCTAGCCACTAACCGGAGTGTGACAGCTGCAAAGTAATTGGTAGATAATTAATGATAATGAGTGGTTTCACACTTGAAGCTGAAATTATCCCCGTTTCATGCGGCAGCTCTAATGATGGTGGAGGTTAAACATGGTGGATCTCAGCCTGTTATGTCCATAGACAGAGCTTGTTCTGGATCTACAGGAACGTGAAAAGTGTTGCCTGCTTGATGCGGTGAGTGCTTCTCCACAAGGCCGCTCCCGTGCACTGGATAGTGGTTTCAGCACAGCCCTGTTAATAATTCATGGAGAGCTCAACAGATAGTCGGTGTGAAGGTAACAGATTTAGCTGATATTCGCTCCAGATTGGACCAGGGGCATCCTTAATTTCCGCTGTCTGTGTGGTTCAAACCATCTGATCCAAGTTTGAGTAAAACACCAGCGGGTTCTGCATCACTTTAATTATTCATCAGTAATCATGTTGCTGCTGAAGCCGATAAGGAATTCAGATGGTCCTTGTTTCAGCACCATGATGGTTGGCAGAACCACCTTATATATTTATTGCCTGCTTTTTAAAGTCGACTGTAGCTTAAAGGTTATTTATGCTAAACTGTAGGGATGCAACAATGCCGCTTTTTTCCAAACCGATACTATACTGATACTTGGATCTGAGTACTCGCCGATACCGAATACTGATACTTCTACCACACAAAAAAGTGCTATGAATTGGAATACAGGTTTTATTTTCTTCTCTGCTTTCAACAGGAAAACACTGTGAGGTAGATAAAAAGTAAAATATGTTAATAGAAGAAATGATCACAAAACTGAAATATTGGGTGAACAGGAATGACAAGTTACAGTGAAGCCACTTTCAAGCAACTGTATTGGTATCGGTTAAATTTTACAGATACCAGGGATCGGTACATCCCTACTAAACTGATAATCAACCTGCTGTATCTTTCAGGCCTTCTCGTAGGAACTCTTGACACCGTGTTGGACTCCACATCCAAAGTTGCTCCTTACCGCATCCTTCACTACACACCAGATTCACAAGTGTACTGGTCCATAGCATGTGGTACGTGGCTGTGTTCTCCCCTGGTTTTATTCTTTTGGTTGTTCTTTAATGTTGGTTTTTACAGCTCTTCTTCTAGCAGTGGTATAACTTTCTCATTACTTCTATTTGTCGGTCTGCTGGTCCAGGTGTTACCAGGGAGGAGATCATCCAGCACTGGGACTGGCTGCAGCAGAACATCATGAGGACACTCTCTGTCTTTGACTCCAGTGAAGACATCACCAGCTTCGTGCAGGGCAAGATTAGAGTAAGAAATTCCCAAAGTCCTTCTCAACTCGTCTTATTATCCTGTCTGTCTGCGTGGATCCCATCTTATTAACTTCTTTATTAACCTGTCTTTCTGCACTGATCCTGTCTTATTACCGTGTTTATTAACCTGTCTTTCTGCACTGATCCTGTCTTATTACCGTGTTTATTAACCTGTATTTCTGCGCTGATCCTGTCTTGTTACCGTGTTTATTAACCTGTCTTTCTGCGCTGATCCTGTCTTATTAACGTGTTTATTAACCTGTCTTTCTGCACTTATCCTGTCTTATTAACGTGTTTATTAACCTTTCTTTCTGCACTGATCCTGTCTTATTACCGTGTTTATTAACCCGTCTTTCTGCACTGATCCTGTCTTATTAACGTGTTTATTAACTTGTCTTTCTGCACTGATCCTGTCTTATTAACGTGTTTATTAACCTGTCTTTCTGCACTTATCCTGTCTTATTAACGTGTTTATTAACTTGTCTTTCTGCACTGATCCTGTCTTATTAACGTGTTTATTAACCTGTCTTTCTGCACTGATCCTGTCTTATTACCGTGTTTATTAACCTGTCTTTCTGCACTGATCCTGTCTTATTACCGTGTTTATTAACCTGTATTTCTGCACTGATCCTGTCTTAACGTGTTTATTAACCTGCCCTTCTGCACTGGTCCTGTCTTATTAACGTGTTTATTAACCTGTCTTTCTGCACTGATCCTGTCTTATTACCGTGTTTATTAACCCGTCTTTCTGCACTGATCCTGTCTTATTAATGTGTTTATTAACCTGTCTTTCTGCACTTATCCTGTCTTATTAACGTGTTTATTAACTTGTCTTTCTGCACTGATCCTGTCTTATTAACGTGTTTATTAACCTGTCTTTCTTTACTGATCCTGTCTTATTACCGTGTTTATTAACCTGTCTTTCTGCACTGATCCTGTCTTATTACCGTGTTTATTAACCTGTCTTTCTGCACTGATCCTGTCTTATTACCGTGTTTATTAACCTGTCTTTCTGCACTGATCCTGTCTTATTACCGTGTTTATTAACCTGTCTTTCTGCACTGATCCTGTCTTATTACCATGTTTATTAACCTGTATTTCTGCACTGATCCTGTCTTATTAACGTGTTTATTAACCTGCCTTTCTGCACTGATCCTGTTTGCCTTCTAGGGCCTTATCGCTGAAGAGGGGAAGTCTTCTCTGGTGCTGGAGGATGATCCAGAGAAATTCAGAGAAGCACTTCTGAGGTTTGAGAAGTGGTTTGAGCTGCCCCCCCAGGAAAAGCTGGTCACATATTACTCGTGCAGCTACTGGAGAGGAAAAGTCCCCTGTCAGGGCTGGCTCTACCTCAGCACCAACTTCCTGTGCTTCTACTCGTACCTTCTGGGATCTGAGGGTTAGACCTGTCTCTGCTGTAATGTGCCCAGTAGTGTGCTAACTGCTGCTTTTATGGTCCTTTATTTTCCAGTAGAAAATAGCTTTTGGTTATGACTTCTCCATTATAGCTGACCTCACCGTGTTGATAATGGGTAGCCTAGCCATTTTTGTAAAACATTTTATTATGATGCAACCGGCCGTTTCAGCCCTACTCAGAAGTTTTTTCTCTGCTTTGTGGTGCAGTGAAGCTGGTCATCTCCTGGGATGAGATCTGGAGGCTGGAGAAGACCTCTAACGTTATTCTGACTGAGAGTATCCACGTTCTGGCTCACGGAGAGGATCACTACTTTTCCATGCTGCTGCACCTCAGCGAAACCTTTGTCATCATGGAGCAACTGGCTGACTACGCCATCAAGCGTCTTTTTGACAAAGAGGCATTCCAGAGAGTGCCGGCGCTCTCTGACCCACTGCAGATTACCAAAAGGTGCCATCTGTTGTCGGTTTGTGTGACGGTGCCAGTTTCCTTTGGTTTTAAAATAAACTTTTTTGACATCTCCTACAGAGGCCTTGAGGCTCACACAAAAAGTGAGCAATTCCAGACATTTTTCAGGCTTCCCAAAGAGGAAAACCTGCTAGAGGTGCACGAGAGCTACCTGTGGGTGCCCTTCAGCAACCACAACACCCTGGGCAAGATCTGCCTGTCTGAGAACTATCTGTGCTTTGCCAGTCAGGATGGAAGCCAGTGTCACGTCGTTGTTCCAATGCGAGAGGTAAAAATGTCACTGGATTGCTGCGAACACGACAGGATGAGTCTTATCCACTAATGTTACCTTATTGCAGGTTATTAGTGTGGAGAAGACTGATTCCAGCAGCAGGGCCATAATGGTGTGTGTGCGTGGCAAGAGAGCGCTGCGCTTTTCAGAGGTGAGAGACTTCCAGCGGCTCGCAAACACAGTCCGTAGCAGGTGTGGCATCAGCGCCAGCCCGCAGCACTCTGGTTCATCAGAGGTAAGAAGCTGGAATGTTAAATCGCCTTTTTCATCTCGCGTCGTTAATCAGAGTAGTGATGCATCGTGTGTCTTTACCACTAAGGGCATACGTGGAGAATGTCAGTCCCTCATCAATCACTTTGAGGACAACCCAGAGGACGTGACTCTCATGGTGGGACAGAAAGACAGCAGCAAGGCTGTCAGCACTGAGGCCCTCATGACTGTTTTCCATCCTCAGGATGTTGAAAACCTTGATCCTAAAATGGTGAGTGCAAATATTATTCACTCTTTATCTCCTGCGTTTTCGTCAAAACGTTTGTTCTTTGCCCTTTCGTATCATGTGACTCCCAGGATGATCAGGTTGCTGTTAGAGTTCTTTTGATGCTAATAGAAAATAAAACCCTACAGTATAAAGGTTTTTAAAGGCAGATGGCCAAAATAAGAATCAATCTTGCATCTGCTCAGAAAAACGGTTTGATGAGGACGTGTGTTTTCTAGCTGAAAGAGAAGATGAAGGAGCAGTCATGGAATATCCATTTCTCTGAGTATGGACGTGGGACCAGCATGTTTTTCACCAGGAAGACGCGAGACTTGATTGTTCGTGGTGTTCCCGAGTCTCTGAGGGGAGAGCTGTGGATGCTGTTCTCAGGTGTGTATGCCACATAGCGTCTTTATGAAAAGTCTGTTTTGGTTTTATGGTCGGGGGCAAAATAGAAATGATCCTGGTTTTTACCAGGTTCTGAATTCATTCAAGTCCAGCATCAAGTGGAATAAAAAGTGTTGATCTCCTTTAGAGGTAACATGTTTTCCCCTGATAACCCTTCTTAAAAAGCCAGACCTGATCAGCCTATTTCTAGCTGTCCTGCCATGACATTTAACCTTTAACCTTTGAACTGAAGCCCTTAGAGTTGGAGATGTCTGTCTGACCTCAGGGTAGATTTGCTGTCACTAGTCACTCTAAATGATTTAAATAACCTTTCTAAATGATTAACTTTGGATTGTTTGGTAATGACCTTTAACCCTTCTCAAAGATCCTTGCTGTATCCCTTCCACGACATTATGTCAACGCGCGTCTGTATGCTCCAGACCAGCAAACTATCAAAACCTCCTGTTTGGTGTGAGATCACTACTCTGCAGGGCTGTACAGTGTGACATATATGTCGCATGTGCGATGAAAAAAACTCTCTGTGTGATAAACTTAACTGTTTTTAGACGTAGCACTTGTGCAACATCTTTTCAAGTTACTTTTTTCTTCTTCAGAACTTCTTGTTATTGTGTAAGGAATGCCTTTTACTGGCGCACAATGTACTAATAGATGCTGTGGAGGAAAGCAGAGAAACCAGCAAAAATACAAAGGCAGAGACGGTCCAAAGTTTGGGATGAAAAGTGCAACTACGGGCAGATTAGCTAATGGTAGCGGGTAGCAGGCTCACGATCAAACGGGGTTCCGAAAAATATGATGGTTGTGAAACTAAGAATATCTAAACTCTACGAGCGGAAGAAAATTCCCCATCGTCCTGTTCTTAGCTGTCTGCAGCGCTGTGCAGCAGAACTGCAGACATCAGATTGCTGATTCGAGTCTGCTTCAAACACCGCAGCAGAATATGGCAAGCCACTGTAGCATTTAAATCACAAACGTGTCTATCTTCAAACATAATTTAAAACAGATTGTAATGATAATAGAGGGTAAATTGGGTTAAGTAAATGGCTTGAAAAGCTTTTAATATTATTACCACTACTTGTGACCAATAGCTGTGATACTCTGTATAAATAGAATACCCCCTGCTTGGTCTTAGTATGATTAATTAGAAGATCCTAGGATTCTTTTAATTATTAAGGGATTGTACACACTTCGCTTTGATTCAAGAAACTGTCAGGTTTATAAACAAAGTAAGAATTTATTTACAAACACTTAAGACTTGACAAATGTTTAAACTATTATTTACTGTGAGTGGATGCAAACTAAAGGATAGTCTGGAATCTATGTGTGAATATAATATATACAGAATCTCCATTCTCAGAGCTGAGTTCTGGATGGAAAGAATTTGGTCTGCAAATAAACTGTAAAGATGTTATTAACAGAACTACATTCAGTCGCTATCTCGCTGTGTCTACCTCACCTGTTCTGGAAGACCCCCGTTGGATCCGAGATGTCCCGGGGCCGACGACCCCACTGCACCTGGCTCATAGAAAAACCTCGATGCGCCCAAATTCGTCCTGGGATGTCTCCCGGGTCACAACGATAGATGAAACCAAGCGTCTTAAAAATAACTCTGAAGGCGTTTTGAGTCAGCTTTGTTCTGCAGGAAAACTATCTTTTTATTCAGCTTCTCAGGTGCGAAAAAGGTTTAAGGTTTTGACAACGTGTCAAAATCCTTCTGGTTAGAGAGGTGCTAAAGATGGCCGGTCTGAAGCTCGCTCTAGAGCCCTATTTATAATTATAAATGGCAATATTTAATTATTATCTTTAATTATACAATCTTCTTTTCTTCTTCCTCTGGGAATAAAGGAGTTTATTTTTAAAGAGTTCCTCTCTGATGGACCTTGGAGGACAAGATGTTATTGTTTATGATTTATTATCTCTGCAGTCCAGCTGGTGTGAGGAAGTAGGCTCTGATTAAAGGGGCTACGTGCAGACTCTCTGACTCCTGTCAGGGGAAAATACAGTAAGATGTGTCATAGCCAGGGTAAGTTGACCTGGCTGTGCATTTGACCTGTGAGATCTCAAAACCAGGCCATTTCGTGACGTTACAAGATTATTGCTAACCTGTACATAATATATGTCACCATTCCATTTTAGTAGTAGAAATGAAACGTTATTAGCATTTTCAGTACCACTGAACATCTTAATGAAATACATTCAATTCTTCTGATCATAATTTAACTGTGGATTTATTTATGTTCTTTTGATTAAGATGAGTGATATGAGTACAAACCTAAAATGTTACAGAAATATAGGTCAAATTTTAGTTTAATAAAATATCTAATTATAAATATCAGTATGGGAAAGAGGGAACTATTCAACACCAATTTAATACAGGGAGCCTAAGTCACGCCCATCTAGTTCTGGACCAAGGGGGCAAAAACGCTGTTTTCTAATTCTACTTGTTATGTGCCATGGATTACACTTATGAAATGTGAATTTTATAGATGAATTTCGATACGAAGAAAGCGCTTATTTTTGAACGGGGAGAAACGTTATTTTAGGTTTTGTGTGAAAATAAGTCCAGGGCTACAAATGTGCTTCACGAAAGTGACGTCAAAGAAACCGACACGGGGAAAAACTGAGGGTAAATGGCTGTAAGTTCAGCGAACTTCAAATCCTTCCTTCAGGAGGAAAGAACCACCATAAATTTGGCCATGTGGTAAGTTGCAGCTACGCTAGGGGAGAGGAGAATGTGCGGTGACGTCATATATACGGCGTGCCGATGTAGTAATGCTAACAGCAAACTTTTACAAGCTGATAAATCTCAAAGTACTTGACTGGCGTGGTCGAAACACACATCATTACTTTTTATTTAAATATAAGTACAACATATGTGCAATCCAGGGTCTAAGGTATAGTGGTTCAATAGTTACATCTTACGTAGGAAACCATCAAAGGTGAGATTCCATAGAAAATATGAAATCAATTTGATGTATCTTTGAATATCACTTTAAACAGAAGATCGGAACTTTTTATTGCAGGGATTAGGTAACACTTCGTATTAACCCAGAGTCAAAAGAGAGAGAGAGAGAGACCAGTTTTAAAGTTTAAGAAGATTTATTTCTAAACAATTTAAAATAAGGCTAACTAACTCTAAACACTCTATGTGATGAATGGATCTAGATGTGAATGAGGCAAAATGGATGGTGTAAATGTGGAATGTTGTTATCAGAACTCTCGTTTCCAGAGAAGCATTAGTTCTGTGTGGGAGCGAATGTTTTTGCTCTAAACTACAGTCGGAGTTTCAAAAACCACATTCAGACACTATCTTGCCGTTCTACATACCCTTGCGGAGACCTCCGTTGTAGATCCAGAATGCCAGGTCCTCAGACCCACTTTGGCACCGGAGCCGGTGAAACAGCGTAAACAACAGTTGGTTGACAGCATCAGCGGGTCCCTGAAGGGTCAGTGAGTTCAGCTTTTACTCTGAAGGAGCGTTGCGTCAGGTGTAGCTTGCAACAGGTTTTATGATCCAGCTTGTCAAGGTTCTTTGTGGTTAAAAAGTTACGAGTTGCCGGCTTGCAACTCTAGAACGTTTGAACTGAGTTAAGGGTGACGTGGGAATTAGTTTTATAATTCAGAGTTTTGATTTATGGTCGAATCAGAATTTGACAACAAAAATAAACACCACACAGATCACGCCACGCATCAGAAAGGAAAGCTCTGATTGGAGAGGCAAAACCAATGTGTCATGTGATTTTAACATTAAGTGTGATAGGAGTGCTAGTGTGCAGTTTAAAGTTATATTACTTATTATATACTATCATAGGATTATACTATCAAGTAATTAATATTCTCATTTCACATATTGATTTAACATTGAGCTTTACATGATTATTTGGACTAACAAAGTTATTTGATTATTATTTAATAGAGTTCTTCTGATCTTCTCTTGAGCTGTAGGGGGAGGCAAATAGCTAGTTAAAACAGTTTAGATGCAGAGGCATCAAAGGCCTTGAGCAATATCTCAAGGAGATTAGCTCTTCCTGAGGAGAGAGGAAAATGACCTTTAGGTGGAAAAACGGTCCCTTCATGACGCTACAAAGGCAAAGTGAATTAGAAAATGGCTCTTTTAGCCCCGTTGACTTGCATTCATTTTTCCGTTCTTCTGGGGACCAATGAGCCGACCGGAAAGGGAGGAGACTTGGGCTCCCTATTGAGCCTTTTATAACAAGAGTCTGACATTTCAGCCTCATAATTATGTTTTATTTCATGTTCTGAAGCAGCAGACCATGGTCTTGTTTCACATGAAACACTGTCAAATGGAATATCCGATTAATCAGAAGATTCAATAGAACATTCAAATACTAAAATATCCAATAGCTGCAGCCCTATTTTAAACCTTTAACAGAACAGAAAAACAAACAGGAAGAAACAAAAACACAACCTGCACCAAACCAAGGTACGTCTGAGAAGGTAAAAGTTTATAAGTACAACACTGTGGTGTTGTACTTGAACAAGTTCATTTAACGATCATTCGTGAACTTGTTGATTTTTTTTGTGTGAACGTAAACCAAACTTGCACCACTTTTGCCTGATAAATATTAAAGTGCACGCTGCGTTCTCATTCTGGCATGTGTGAATGGGTTTATAAACGGCACTCTACTCCATATCTTTACGAGGATAAAGCCTTAGCTAAAACATCCTGTTAGCCGTACAGTTTATAAAAAGTAGACCACGAAAACGCGACTATCATACAGCGATTGGCGTATTGTCTACTCTTCTATGTCTATGTCATTGAGGACGGACCTCTATAATGAACAAATTACACAAATTTAAATAAAAGAAAAAAGCTTTTTTATTACACTGACAAAATGAAGATATTTCAGAATCAACTTTATTGTCAAGTACGTGAGTGAGACTCACATTACCAGGAATTTGCTTTGGTGGTTGTTATTAGAGCCCTGCACTGAAGCCCTATGCCCTCGGGTCGGCCTGGCCCGACAGCCCGAGGGCCGGGCTTCGGGCCAACAACTGTGTAATTACCTCAGACACGGGCCGGGCGCCTTTATTTTTAATTGAATTAATTTAAAAAACTGATACACTTAAACGCAGCAGCACCTGCCTGCTTCTCACGCACCGGCACCCGTTAGCTCAGTTAAGGTCTGTGTGGTGTTTAAATGCGCCTATATAAACGAATTCTCAAACTGCTGATTGAAACATGTGCCCCTATTCTAATATGCCATTTTATGTCCACTTTGATATGTCAGAAACCATACGTTTATTCTCATGAAAATGGCAGCATTCTTTTCTCTGTGAATAAATTTGCTCTGCAGTTAAAAAAAATACAGCATTCATTGCTGTTTTTTTTTTTTCCAACTGGAGAGCGCATTTTCAGAGTGGCAGATTAAATTTACAAACGCTATATTAATTGGGGGTGTTTATTTAATCTGCCGTTCTGAAAATGCGCTCTGCAATTTGAAAATTAGAATGCTTTTTTTTTCTAATTGCACAAGAGCGCATTTTCAGAGCAGATTAAATTTACAAATGCATCCAATTAATATAGTGTTCGTAAATTTCATCTGCCGCTCGAAAAATACGCTCTATTAGAAAACAAGCTGCATTGAATACTGTTTTTCTTTCTTTTCTTTCTTTTTATTTTTATTTTTTACTGCAGAACACTTCCCACAGATAATTAGAATGCTGAGCATTCTATCGCGCTAAAACATTATGAAAGGTTAAAAAAAAAAGTCTGGCTCGGGTCGGGACAGAGAATCCTGAAAACCTTTTCGGACCGGGCCGGGCTGGGGCTCCACCCCCTCGGGCCGGGCCGGACACGGGCTCAGATTTTAGGCCCGTGCAGGGCTCTAGTTGTTATTGTCTTTTAATTAGATGCTCTACTGGTGTTTGTCAGTGTGTTTAAGTAATTGTAAGAACTACTTTTGGTTTTTAGAGATTGTAACAAATTTTTTATGCTGGTGCTACAACTTTTTGTTCTGTGCTACAAAACCTACGGCCTTTGTAGCACCGGTGCCATAAGCTAAACATGTTAACGTACAGCCCTGCTGTGTGTGTGTGTGTGTGACCCTGCAGGTGCTGTTAACGACATGGCCACTCACCCCGGCTATTACACCGAGCTGGTGGAACAGTCCCTGGGGACAAGCACTCTGGCTACCGATGAGATCGAGAGAGACCTGCACCGCTCTCTCCCCGAGCATCCGGCGTTCCAAAGTGACACGGGAATCTCAGCTCTGCGCCGAGTCCTCACTGCCTATGCTTCCAGGAACCCAAAAATTGGATACTGCCAGGTTCTCATGTTCTTTCTGTGATTCTTGTTAAATGTGAGACAACGAGTCTGATGAGAAACACTCACATTGTTGAATTTGGATTTAGTTTGATGTGTTTCATTACTTTGTTCATATATTATTGATTATTTAGTTAAAAATTTGGTCATAAATTGGTTTATTTTAGATGGAAGCATGTTGAGCTGCTCGTTTACAGTAAACCATGTGCTTTCTGTTGTCATGGAAACCTGCATGAGAAGTTGCAGAACAAATGGAAAGCTTCTTTCTCTTGATTTGCTGCCAGGTTTGTTTTCCTGTCAGTCCTGCAGCTAAGAGGTCATTAAGCTCTGCAGTGTGTGTTCTTGAAGCAACATAATGGAGCCATTTCTCCTCTTTAGGCCATGAACATCCTCACCTCCGTTCTCCTGCTCTATGCTAAAGAAGAGGAGGCCTTCTGGTTGTTGGTAGCCGTCTGTGAGAGAATGCTGCCTGACTACTTCAACCGCAGAATCATTGGTGAGTCTCTAAACCTCAGATTAGACCAGCTTTGCAGGTGATTTTTAATTTGACACGTCTGACTCTGATGTTTTCAGGTGCTCTGGTTGATCAGGCCGTGTTTGAGGACCTGATCAGGGAAAATCTCCCCCAGCTGGTCGAGCACATGACGGACCTGAGCTTCTTCTCGTCCGTGTCCTTGTCCTGGTTCCTCACGCTGTTCATCAGCGTCCTGCCGATAGAAAGCGCTGTCAATGTGGTGGACTGTTTCTTCTACGATGGGATAAAGGCCATCCTGCAGCTCGGCCTCGCTGTGCTGGACTACAACATGGAGGCTCTCATCGTCTGTAATGACGACGCTGAGGCCGTCACCGTTCTGAACAAGTCTGTGGCCTTAGAGCTTCATGTTTCAGCTGGTATTTCTTTAAATCCCCGATTCGTTTCATCCTGATGGTGTCGTTTCAGGTTTTTCGATAACGTGACAAATAAAGACAGCCCGTTGCCTCCAACAGTGCAGCAGGCGCCTGTGAGTAACAACGACAAAGCATCTCACATCAGTGTGGATATCTGCGAGCTGATCCGAGAGGCCTATGAGGTATTAAATGTTCCCGTCCTGTTCTAGTCAGCTTTGTGTCAGCTGGGGTGGACCTCACCATTACGTCTTTCTGGTAGAAATATGGACACATCCGTTCGGAGGATGTGGAGAGCTCCAGGAAGAGAAACAAACTGTACGTGATCCAGACTCTGGAGGACACCACCAAGCAGAACGTCGTAAGTGAGAATACAGGAAACTACCTCGTCCTGTATCATCACCACGGCATCAGGAGTTGATTTGGCGTCTGTTTTCAGATCCGGGTGGTGTCTCAGGAAGTCCGACTTAACGTCTCACATCTCGATGAGCTGTATAATTTGTTCAAGGTAAGTCTGAAACACAAAATGGCATCCTTTCTGCTAGTGTATTAAATTTGGGATGCACGATATACCCGCATCAATATTGGTATTAGTAAATACCGATTAACAGCGAAAATAGTCCGTATCGACCCAAAATTTAATATTGGTGCATCCCTAATTTAAATGCATCATGCTTTCTCCTGCTTTCAGAGACAACATTTCCTCTGCTGCTACTGGACCATGAACAGCCCGGCTCTGCTCCACCACGACCCCAGCCTGGCCTATCTGGAGCAGTACCAGTTGGGTTTCCAGCAGTTCAGCGTGCTGTTTTCCCTGCTGGAGCCCTGGGCTTTCTGCACCTCCAAGAGCACCCTCTCCCTCTGGGTGTTCCGCTTAATCGATGAGAACCAGGATGGTCTCATCAACTTTAAAGAGTTCTGCTGTGCCCTCGGTGAGCCCGTCTGATTCCTGCTCTCCACTAAAGCACCATCTCCCTTTAGCATCCCTTTTACTATAACTGCATTCTGCTTCATCCACAGATACTTTTTACAGTGGCTCATTCACAAACAAGCTGAAATTTCTCTTCAAGCTCCACCTGCCTCCAGGTTAGTGATAAAAAAAACAGAAAAAAGCAGCTCAAATGAACATTTCTCATTATTTTTTTTCTCCCTACGTTTCTATTGTAGTATCTCTGGCCTTTGACCCATTTTTTTTTACAATCTATGAATTGAGGTCCAGCAGATGTTTTCACATGTGATGCTTTCGTTGTCACAGCCACGTTAGGCGTACACTACTGGAACACTGTTAAATCAGCAAACAGGTGTTGTCATTTCAATAATCCAGCCTGTAACTCAGGATTTGTTGAGCAAGCTCTTTGCCGGGGGGTAAGACACTTTCCTCTGTTTGATGTGTCGCTGTCTGCTCTGAGGCTTGGTGGGGGTAAGATTAGCACATTTTGAATGAATGTTTGCCATGGAAACAAGGGGTTTGAGGCGCTGTAAGAGCATTTGCAGTGCAATGCTTTTTTTAAATTCTAAAAACAGGATCCATGTGAGGCAAGAGTTGCTCAAATTACAACCAACAGCATAGCAGCCGACAGCCCTGAATCACTGTTTGTGCCGGAGCAGGCCATTAAGCATCAAGCTGCAAAGCCTATTTCCTGCCTTCAGGAGGGTGCCTAGTGCCTCAGCAGCAAGGGCAGGTCACATCCTGCTGCTGCAGCTCCAGGCCCAAAAGCGCGGTCTCGTCATCTGCAGACGAGCGCTGCTGGAAGTGAACCAAACACTTCATTGATCTGGGAAATGAAATCATGTGCCTTTCAGAGCTGAGCATCTTTCAGTCCAAAACAAAAAGTGCAGCAGCTGTTTTCACTAATCAGATCAGCTGCTCGGCTGCATCACCTCTTTGTCGTTGTTGGGCATCGTTAAACTTTTACAGCTTCAGCTAAAAGAACCTTATTATTGAATAGAGCAGATGTTCCTTGAGAGTGAATAATGATCAGCACGTGTCAGAAAACACACTTAATTATACTGTTAGGTGTGTGAACGGTAAAATGAGGTTAAATAATTTTATTATCATATTCTGTGGCAGATGAAGGGAACTTCCTGGCTCTTCAGGTCATTTGTTTAATCGGTTCATGGAAACCACACGCATGCCTGCCCCCACATGTGGCCTTCAGTGGGGGTTGGGGCAGCAGCCTGTCAGTGGTGCAGGCAGAAGGCATTTTAGAGTTTTTAAATGTTTAAATGAGCCTTTTCGCATTCTTAAGGATACATTTGATGCATCTAAAAAACGAGTTTATCTCCCACCCCTATTTGTTAGCTAATCTGATCACTGAGATTTTACAGGTGACTAAAGCTGTTCACTTTTAAGCAGATCAGCCACGGTGCACATCAGATCTGACACGCACAAATAAAATCATGAGGAAAGAGGAACATATTCAGTCTGTGAGAAATCATCCAACGGTTCTGGATCTAGTATTATCTGTAGCATGCAGCTAACATGATTTAGCTTTAGCCTCTTGTCTTATTTTTACTGATCTAAAATAAAGTTTTTTTTTCTTGGTTTCTTCCTTCCATTTGGCTCTCACCAACTCTGCTTAAGCTTTCACAGGAAGTCCTTTACACTTGAAGGAACAGAGTTTGCAGGAGTTTATTCCTCTGACTGAAGACTCTTCTCCCTTCAGTAAACTCTCTGGTTAGCCTCTTTACCCTTTTTCCTTCTTTAAACTCACATTTCCCCCTTTTTACTTCATTGTAAGTCTTCCTTTTGGGTTTTATCTGGAAGCACGACTCTGGACAGTTTGCTCATGTCTTCTTTCTGTTTCAGCTTTTGATCTTCCAGAAGATGGAGTGATAAGGAAAAGTCCTGAAAGAGGTCAGATTTACTTCACTTTTCATGTTTTCAGCATTATCCCAGTGAGTTTCAGTAACTTTAGGTTTTATTCTGTCAGGCCGGGGGAAGGTGGACCTGCAGACGTATCTGAAGCAGTGGCAAAATGAAATCCTTAGAAAAGAGGAAACCATTAAGGACCTACCCAGAATTAATCAGGTAGCTTATAAATCATCCTATTTATTAATTTCATTCAAATAAAAAAATCCTTTGTTATAAAAATGTCTTTCCATTTCAGTCTCAGTTCATCCAGTTCTCCAAAACACTCTACAATATTTTTCACGGCGATCCAGAGGAGGAGACGCTGTACCGAGCTGTTGCCCACGTGACCAGCCTCCTCCTGAAGATGGAGGAGGTTGGACGGAGGCTTCAGGAGCCAAGCAGCCCACCTGAGGCTACAAAGCCTGCAAGAACCACCACCCCTGCTGCTGTGGAGGAGTCTTCAACCACAGAGGAGGCCTCCACAACCCCGGAGAGCTCAGACACCTGCAGCTCCCATAGCAACCAGGAGGCGGTGTCCAACCTGACCCACACAGAGTGGTCCTTTTCCTTCGAGCAGGTCCTGGCCTCTCTGCTCAACGAGCCCACCATTGTCAGCTTTTTTGAAAGACCTGTTGATATTCAGACAAAACTGGGGAAAGCGAGGGCTACCCAGCTCAAGCTAACGGCGAGTAAATGAAGGACGCCGACGGGGCGGGCGCTTCGTCTCTGACTCAAAACTGCGCTTCAGCTTTAATTTCCTTCACTTGGAAAAGTTTGAAGAGCGAGATTACTTTGGTGTCATAAGTGAAGAGGTGCATCAGGAGGCTGTGGTGCAACATGGTGTAAATGTGCAAACGTGGAATCTTGAGACTTTAAACACTAGTCCGTAACAACCCCCCCCCCCCCCCCCCCCCCCACACACACACACACAAACCAGGAACATGGCTTAAAGGGAGTTTTCAGTGTTTTTTCTGTGCCAGTTATAAATAATTACCTGGCTACGTAGCTTCCTGAACAGCCTTTGTTTGGAGAAAACAAGTTTATATCATACAGGACCGATGGGCTAACGGCTAGTCTAAGAGCAGCTTTACGGAGATCCTTCAGGAAGCTAGCTAATGGGTGAGATGGGAATTATTTGTAACATTTACTCAAAAACGACTAAAGTCCCCCATTTAGACAAGCTAACAGAGTTCACAGCATCTGAATGTTGAGATTCTCATCCAGATTAGTAATGCCTACTTTAATCAGAACTACTGTGTGTGTGTGATAGTTTCTCCTTTGATCTGAGTGTCAACTTAATGTAAGAAACACCAGCTTAGGCCATCGTAGGACAGACCCGTAGTGTATCTTGGTAAAATGTTGCGATTTTTCCTGAAAGCCATAAACCGATTGCAGGGATCGTCTGACCGAAGACACCAGACGTGTGAGAGGAACACAGCGAAGGACATTTGCAATAAGGTATGGAGCGTATCCTGTCCCGTTTGTCCTGCAGCAGCACACGGCTCCTCCCAAACTCACCTCAGACACGTGTGAGATATTCTGATTTCATGTGTGGTCCTCGCTGTTCTGCTGCTGGTTGTTGCTGCTCCGTAGGATGTTACTGGCTTTAATGAGCGTAGCGTTTAGCGTGCAAGGGTCAGTTTTCCTTTAGAGGCCTGTGTCGAGATCTAGCGAGCTGTCAGACTGTCGTGGAAAATCCTTAATGGGACTCATTGTTTCATCAACTCTCAGGGTGACATTTGTGTAAAAGGGAGCAAAAGGGATATTTTTCAACCCGAGACAAACCGTATATAACAAATATATGTACCTGGCTCTATCTGTGACATGATCGCTCATAGAGCATGTGTAGCCTACCTGTAGGATTTTACGGACCTTGGTAAACTGCTTTTACTGCTTGCCACCAATTTATTTTCTATTGTTTTTGCGTGTTGCTTCTGTCTCCGTGAGTTATTTGCACAGTTATTGGAGATTAACGAGCTGTAGATGTGCCTGTATCTCTGCCAGAAATCAGCGGCGAGGGATTCATAAAAGGTTGCGACCTCATCAGCTGCAGCTTTTCTTCTCTTGGGGCCAAATTAAAGAATTATTAAAGCTTTATGTGTCACTGCTTGTCCTGAGGACTTAGTGTTTTAGGTGCCTCTTAACTGTAGCGTCGATTCTGCTGTTTGTTTTTTACTGTTTCACTTTATTTGTTTACTGATAAATCTCATCTAGGACTGAAGGACCAACCTGAAATATATTTCATGATGTAATCAAATTAATATCAGAAGTGGTATTAAAATGCACCTCTCACTAGAAGATACTGCCACTTTGCTCATCAGTCGTGTATCTGAGGAAATTTCATTTATTAGATATTAAAGGTTTAATAAAGACTAATTCATATCATTACAAACCAACACTTCAATCTGAGCATGTTTACCTTTTTATTAAGATTGTTTGCTTGCAGTATTATTTTACTTAGCATCTTTTAAAAACTCTGTAAAACCTCTGAAACATGAATGAGTTTGAGTTGCATGCTTCAGTCGGTCGGTTTTCAAATATGATCTTACCGTCTGGTTTTAAAAATGTGTTTTACTTTCAGGGACTCTTGTTTTGGTCTTTGGGAAATGTAGAGTAATGACTGTTCAGACTAATTCTGCAAAAAATGCTTGAATTGAACTAGTTTAAAAAATTTGTTTCTCTTCATGTGAACCTAAAATTTAAAAAGGGACTGAGGAGGCGAATGTCATTGTGCAGCTCTGTTTTAAATCAAACTTATGCAGAAATGTTGCCTGGTTTCCTTCTTGTCCATCTAGAATAAAGAGTTGTGATTTAATGAGTGATCTCTTCATTTTAACAACAATACAGCTGAAGTAGGGGTTCATTGTTGTTTAAACACCACAGTTAACAAAACTTGAGACAATTTATTCATAGCTGAGCTGAAACTACTGATCTTGGTCTCTGTGGCGTGCAGTCGGGGTCAGCAAGGCCTTCTCTGCTGGTCTAAATAGGATACCCACTCTGAGCACATTTGATTCTTCACAAATCACAAAAGTTCATCTGAGTTACATACAGATCTACACTAGCACAAAGCGAGGAGGTGAAGCGATGCCTTCCAGTGGCGACAAGCCAGAACTACACTTTGGTTCTGGTAAACCAATAAGTAGAGGACGCTGGGAATGTTCAAATGAAGGCGGGAGAGTAGAAAGTCAAAAGGGAACTGCATTTATTAAGTTACAATAGTTAGGAAACATGGGCTGCCAACTCATGCAATGAGTGAGACACTCACGCTACAACTCTAGTGTGTGTGTGTGTGTGTGTGTGAGGGGGTATCCATCTGAGGTACACATTGCATTGTACTACTGCACCCCCCCTTCCTACAGCACTGCATTCTAAATATCTATTTGGCTTTTTGAGGAGGGGTATTGACATAACAGAACAGTTATGTCGCATAATGTCTTAAAATAGTAAGCTTATAGCACACTGGGTCAATTCTTAAAGAAGATATCTTTAGCTAAAATTACATTTGGAGTTAAATAGTGTCAGCATTTATGCAGAACTTCTCTAACATACAGGTCAAACTCAAAAAATGATTATGTCATGCAAAACTCCATTTATTTCAATAATTCAACTTAGACCGAGAAACCCTTTAAAGGCTCAGGAACTCTTTGCAGGTGTTATGACTCACGCTCATCTACTTCTGGACCATGGGTCCCCAACTGCCCATAAAAATGAATGGGAGTCTATGAGAGGATAAAAGTTATTTGTGTGAATTTTAAAAACACACTTTGATGCCAACAAAGCGCTTATTTTCAAATGGTGGTGTTATGTCAATTTGTGTTTCCCCGTCAACGAGTGTTACCCTACAGCTCCTCACAGCTCAGGTGGAGAAAAAGAAGATGTGTCCAATGAATGTCCACAATCACAGTTTCAGACCAAATTTCAGCTCCTATAACTACAGATTCTGAATCAGTTGTAAAACCGTCAGTTTCTCAACCAACAACAGAGGAGTAATGAGAAACCGGGGAAATGCTGAAGTTTCAGAACCAGAGGAAGCAACAACTTCTACAGAAGAGTCTAATGGAGAAAAACCAGAACACGACTCTGTCCTAGACGTGGTCCAGGAAGACATTCCAGAAAATCTTGAAGGTACTTCTGTGCAAACTTCCTCTCATTCTGAAACTATCCACAATCCTTCAATTTCAGAGCAACATGATGTTTCTGCACAAAGAGATGTAGCATCAGAAATGGTGACAAACTCAGAACTTTTAGAACCAGAGGACCCAAACGTTCCTCCACCTAGGCCCAAAGGAAAGAAGAAACGGGACAAAAGGAAGAAAGTCCTCAGCGCTCAAACTCCTTCAGATTGGGAAACTGAGTGGATTTGAGACTGAAAACAGATTTGACATCCTACGAACAGCTTTGTCCTTTGAAATCATGGATTCTACTTAATCAAAACTCCTACAAAAACTTGTTCCAGGAGAAAAAAAAAACGGAAGCAACCTTAAACATCTGACACCTGCCCATAGACACCACCGATTCTTACATGTAAAGACTTTATATGTACTTTAGGTCTGTATGTTTGTTTTTATTTATGCATTTATGCAAGAAGAACACACACCGAAACAAACCTCCTCCAAACTCCCCTTCGATGAATCACCACCTTAACGCGGTGGAGGGGTTTGCGTACCCCCGTGATCCTGAGGTCTGAGGTTATCAGGGAGTCTCTGGTGCGGTCTCCCATGACAACCTGGTCTCAGGGGAGGGGTCAGACTGAGTGATTCTGCTTGATGCAGATTCTGCTTCATGTTTTCATGTCACAACCAAAAGCTGAAGCTCCGGTGATGGTACATCAGTAATGAAACGGTGTGGCTACATTGCACCTCATCACCATAAGTGTGTGTGTGTGTGTTGCTATGATTCAGTTTGCCCAGTAAGTGGAGTTAGAGCTCCAGTCTTTGATCTGCTGCATTCATGAGCTCAGCCTCACACACTGACAGCAATAACCTAGCATCAGTGTGATCTTGTCTAAAATGGAGCTGAATTGTTTTCATAATTAATCAAAACAAATAAAAAACTACAAGTGTTGAAACAAATAACACAAGAGTGTGTATTTAAGACATGTACTTACTCAATGTTTGAAAGATGAAACACTTGATGTATTTATTTTATATCCTTTATTCATTGAATACACAGCAGAGTTGATGCAGCTTTATTTAACAGCCTTGTGACGAATATTTCAACCACAGTTTATTTACAGTTTTTCTCAGTTGCTTTGGTGCATTTCTCACAACAGTAGTAAAGTTTGCACCACTGCTAAGGTATTTCTCCAAACAATTAGTGCAAAGTACAAAACATGGTAGATAACCTGCAAAAGCAAGTCGAAATGGGCTCTAAATGGGTTCATGCTTCAAAAGCAAGTCCCTTAATCAAAGTGGATCATTTGTTCTTCAAAGCAAGTATTTATGTCAATGAAAGTGTCGGTGTCATCAAAATGACAATTTATGACAGCAGCATCTTTGAACAATTAAGTCAAAAGGTTTGAACATGTTTTCATTATGATATTAGTCTGGAAGTGCTCCCCAGGGCTGCTGTGGCTACATTGTAGCTCATCACCACCAGTGTGTGAATGGATGAAAGACTGTAGTCAGGAGCAGGCTGGCCGTCAGGATGTTCTCTAGTTTCCCCGAACAGCCGGTCTGTTCCAGGCCCACACACTCCCTGTCTCTCTCAGCTTACTGGAGTATATTTTTACACCTTTAGGTTCTCACTGGTTTTTCTGCAAAATCCGCTCAAGATCTTTGGGACTTGCTGTCCAGGTCACCAAATTATTCCTTTATGAGAGCTGATGTCTGAACTTTGCAACATTTACTATGTGTTTTTGTTTTGTTAGTTCTGGTCAGATTGACAGTGACAGTTCACAGGATTGAAAATTTAATCAGTGAGGGATGCGGAAAAAACAAATTGCAGGTATGTGCTGGTGGTGACGCACTATTGCAGAAAGAGCAGCAAGAAGCAATTTCCCTCTGGGATTAATAAAGTATTTTTGAATTTGAATTTGAATTGAAGAAGCAATTAACCATGCTCGACCTCCTAAACTAATAAAGCTAAATATGCTGAGCCACAAAGATCTGTTTAGTCATTATTGGCCCATTGTGTTGTGTTAAGTGGTCTCTTATAATTTAAACTTTAAACAATAGTAATTATTTATTCTCAGGTTTTTCTGATGTGCAGCTTATGTCATATAGAGTAAGATCATGGCAGGGTGGAGAGGCAACGGCCCGGACGGGATTTGATCCCCAGGCTCCCGGGTGAGAGTTATGTGTGCTAACCAGTCAGCCAAAGGGACATCACCATGGCCATGTAGCCAGGACGCATGATCAATTGGGACACAGTGACAGGACGCTCACACTGTCGCATCATATCTGTTTACCAAAACGCTTCAGAAAACATCACAGTCACTTCAGCTCAGACGGAACCGTTGAGCTGACTCCATCCAGTGCTGCAGTGTCATGGAGGCTGTTTCTTCTCCCTGCTGATTACCTGAAGTGGCTCCTGCAGTGCTTTGATCAGCATCTCCATTTAAGCCTGACAGCACCATATCTGATCTCTGCATTACAGATGGAGCTGGCCTCCAAAGTTCTTGTTCTTAACACTTTGATTCATTAAAAAAAACATTTATGAGTTGATGTTTCCCTCTTCTCCTGATCCTGCTGACAGCTCCAGCTCCTCCGGAGAACCAGTTAGAGCCTACTCCCTCCGCCTGCTGGATCCGTCCCCGCTTCTACCAAACAAACAACCTTCAGCTTTGGATCACCTTCTTCTGAGTCTGGGTCCACTCCTAACCTTTGTCATCCAGGCTGAAATGCTCTTTTGAACAACTTATGTCAGCATTGATAATGAACAACACAATAACACAGGAATACATCTAGAGCATCAGATTGTTTTTTAATACAAACATGTAGTTTTCAGACTCTTACTGTTGCACGATACAATGTTTTCATTAGAAAAAGATTTTTAAAATGCTGAAAGAAAAGAGAAAATAAACATTCACGGTGAATAAATGTGATAAAGTACATTTTAATGACACAATGTCCGTTTCTTCGAAATAAATACTGACCAACATGGACCCATCCCATATCTGAAGCAGTTTGAAGTCTGTAATGTTTATGCATTCACTTATGTCATGGATTTTATCAATATATTTATCAATAACCCATTTTCTGTAGTGAAGAGAGAAGGAGACAATGAACAACAAGTCAAACAGTTATAACTGTGGCAAGATGCTCGAAGCATAATGCCCCGAACATCCAGTCACAGTCTTTATTTATAGAGAGATGGGAGTGGAGGAAGAGAGAGAGTCCGTGTGTGGGAAGTCAAGAATGTGTGTGTGTGTGTGTGTCTTGTGTGGGTGTGTCTGAATTAGTGAGCATGCAGAGGCATAGAGCAATACATTTACATTCAGTTGAATGAGTCAATGATCAAGAATTAATAAACAAATTTTTCCATAACATTCCCTCCTGTTTATCCAAATAGGATAAACAAACAAAAGGAAGCAACAAAACTAAACCAAATAAGGAATACAAAATAAGTAAAGTAATTAGGAATTGTTTCAATGGGGAGCCAAGAGGAGGTTACGACCCAAAGATGCAGACAACCAGATGACACCGAGTGGAGCAATAACATAAAATCCTTTATTGAGAATAAATCCAAAAAGGCAGGGAGCCAAAAACAAAAATCAAAGTCCCAAATAACAAAACCTAGAATCCAAAAACAAGATCAAAATCTAGAGAGGGGAACGAGACAAAGTTGACACAAGACAATGACCCAACAGATAGAGACACAGACAGGGTTATATACACTGGGGCATGATGAGAGGCAGATAGGCTGCAGGTGTGTGGGGAGAGAAACCAAATGAAAGCAATTAACTAATCGGGGAGGAAACTAACATGACCTAAGAGTAAAAACCTAAAGACAAGAAGAGCCAACAAAAATAACTAATATTCTAAGGGGGAAGGAAAACTACAAAAACCGGTGGGAAAACACACTAAAGAGACTAAAATGAAAAGCTGAACCTATATGAAAACTGCAGAGGGGTGACTGGGGAGACCAAAGGAACACAGGACCTGGGAGGGATAATCTGGAGGGCTGCAGACCAGCGGACACATGAGGAACACAAAGAGACACATAAGGGGATACTTAGAGGGGGATGGAGTACACAAGGAGACACATGAGGGAGACGCAGACCATGACAGGAATATTATCCACTTCCATAACTTGTCACCACTAACTATTGTAATGAATCAAATAGAGGGTAACTGGATAAATTGCTTAGAGCTATTTATTTTTATTCTCATTACTTGTGACCCATAGCTGTGATACTCACCTGGGCCTCGACAAAGAGCGATGGACAGTCTTACAGCTTTGTAGGTTGTCCAGGGGCGTCACCGTATGCACTGATCCCCCTGGTGTCGGGGACTTCAGTACCACATGGATCATGGGGCTCCATACGTCTTGGATCTTGGTCCTGCCCCTTTTACTGTGGTCCTCAACATAAACCAACTGCTGTACCTGCAGTTCGCTGGCCAGACCCTCTCCATCATGGCGCTCTTTACGACGATCCGCTGCCTTTTGTATACGATCCTGTGCCCCTTTAAGGGCAACCTGGAGTCTACGGTGGTGTTCTTGAACCCAATCCTCCACTCTGTCTGTTTGAACCTCTGGGACCCTTCCAAGGAGAAAGTCAATAGGTAAGCAGGGTTCCTGACCAAGCATTAAAAAGTGAGGGGACTCAACCGTAGACTGGTGAACAGTGGTATTATAAGAGTACAATACCTGTGGTAAATACTGGGGCAAAAGGCTTTTCTTTTCAATAGGGAGAGTGCGTAGCAAATCATGTAACGTTCTGTTGAACCTTTCACATTGGCCATTTCCTTCTGGATGGTATGGTGTAGTGCGTGTCTTCTGAACCCCATACAGCTCACACAGCTGATGGATTAGTGCACTCTCAAAATTACGGCCTTGGTCCGAATGCAGTCTTCCTGGAACACCAAACTTGTAGAACCATTCATGCACCAGTATTTGAGCCACCGTCGCCGCTTGCTGGTCCCTGGTTGCCACTGCCTGAGTAAACTTTGAAAAAACATCAGTCATCACAAGCACACTTCTTACACCATCCTGAGATGGGTCCAGCAGTGTAAAGTCTATCGCCAATACTTGGTTTGGTCTTGATGCCAGTACATGTCCCATAGGTGCCCGACTCTGAGGACGAGGGGCTTTTGCTAAGGTGCAGCGTTCCCACTGGTGGCACCATTCCTTAATATCTTTCAGCATCAGCGGCCAGTAACATCGCTCTCTGATAAGTTTTGTAGTCCTCTTCACCCCCTGGTGGCCATGGTACTCATGCAGCTGCTTCATGACATCCACCTTCAATGCCTCTGGAAGTAGCAGTTGATTAATATCCTCACCACCTTCAGGCCGCTGCGTTTGGCGGTAGAGCAAACCATTTAGCTGAACGACTTTACTCCACTGCCGACACAGCTCCAAAACCTGGGGTGAGAGACTCGCTCTTTCTGTCCGGTCTGGGCGTTTCTGGGTCTTCCAAAACCCCATAAATGTATTTAAGGTGGGATCAGCTTCCTGGAGAGCCTTGAGGTCATCATGGGAATAGGACGGAAAAACTGATATGGCTGCCTGGATGGCTTGTTGAGCCAGGTCAATACCTCTGGGCAATCTCAGCACAGGCACTGACACTCCTGGAAGGGGAATGTCAGCCTCCGTGGGGGCCCCAGGTTTCCTTGAAAGGGCATCTGCATTCACATTGGTTCGACCAGATCTTCAACAAATAGTGAAGTTAAAATCTGCTAGCTGTGCTGCCCAGCGCTGTTCAGTTGCGCCCAGCTTGGCTGTGTTCAGATGGCTGAGAGGATTATTGTCAGTCCACACAATGCATTGTTGACCCAGCAAATAGTCTCTGAACTTCTTGGTCATAGCCCATTTTAAAGATAAAAACTCCAGCTTCATGGAACTGTAATTAGACATGTTCCTTTCTGTGGGTCTTAATCCACGGCTAGCAAAGGCAACAGGGCGTACCCTGTCTTCCTGCTCCTGGGAAAGAACTGCTCCCAGGCCACCATAACTGGCATCAATCTCAAGAATAAAAGGCAGGGAGAAATTTGCATATGCCAGAACAGGTGCACTGAAACTGATCCACTCTAGCAGCTATGTGCCTGGAATTATATCAATAGAACCAGAACAGGTCCAGAACAGGAATTGAGACGATGTGTAGTTTTGAGGTTTTATTTCATATTATTTATTCATACTAATTAAAGTCATGCTTGTGGCCACAACGTCTCTCAGGATCCATCGCCTGTGTTTGCCTTAACATTTATTCTAAAACAAAAGAGAAACACTCTGGTTTAGAGACTTGGAGGTCCTGACCTTAACCTCCATCACCTGTTCAGCTTTCAGCAGCTTCCTCTGAAGAGTTATGGGACTGCTTGGAGTGTAATTAAGGTAGTTTATAATGGTAATTAAAATATGAAGATACTCATTAAATCTTCTGACTGACCCAACAGAATAAAGTGTAACACAGTAAATACCCATAGTACCCAAGTACCAGCCAATGAAATTACCAATTTGCTTCCGGCCATTTGATGCATAATATCGTTTTTAATAATAGCATAATTACAAAAAACATGGTCTATGATCCAATTGATCAGTTTAATTTTGTTTCAGACTTGTTCCTAATGTTTGCTTCTGAAGCAGGAGAACTGATTGCCCCCCCCCCCCCCCCCCCATCCCGTCTCAGCGACGCCCCTCTGAGTGTTCATGACAGCTATATATAACAGCAGACAAGAAGTCTGTAACAGCACGCCCGCACCAGTGCATGATGTGGTTAGTGTTTGGTAACCGGTCCATCGTGAGTTCTGAGTCTTCTTATGAAGACTTTTGGCTTCCTGCACTATGTGACCTTCATATAATTTAATAAAACTTTATCCTGTTAAGTTTAGACTGGAGATTGTTATTCAGCTACTGTGAGGACTTTGGGTTGGACTCTCCAATCTCTGGGGCTGATGTGGTCATAAAGCTTCTTGGTGGCAAGGCTCCAGGGGTGGATGAGCAGACTGGGATGGTACCCCTATTTACAACAGGGGACAGCAGAGTGAGCTCCAACTACAGGGGGTAACACTCCTGAGGCTACTTGCTAAGGTCTATTCAGGGGTTCTGAAGATGAGGGTCTGTCGAATTGTCGAACCTCGAATTTAAGAGGAACAGTGTGGATTTCCTCCTGGCCGTGAAACACTGGACTAGCTCTATACTCTCAGGGGGATCTTGGAGGGTGCGTGGGAATTTCCCCGACCAATCTACATGTGTTTAGTCGATTGGGGAAGGCGTTCGTCCGCGCCCCTCAGGGGACCTGTGGTGGGTACTTTGGGAGTTTGGGGTACCAGGCCCTCTGATACGGGCTGTTAGATCCCTGTATGACTGGTGTCAGAGCTTGGTCCGGATTGCCGGCAGTAAGTTGAGCTCGTTCCCAGTGACTGTTGGACTCTGCCAAGCTGCCCTTTGTCACCGATTCTGTTCATAACTTTTATGGACAGGATTTCTAGGCGCATAGGGCATCTGTTTTGGTGGCCTAAATATCGGGTCTCTGCTTTTTGCAGATGATTTGGTCACGTTGGCTTCATCAGAACGTAATCTTCGACTTTTCCTGGAGCGGTTCGCAGCCGAGAGTGAAGCAGCTGGTATGAGAATCAGCTCCTCTAAACCTGAGACCATGGTCTTGAGTTGGAAAAGGGTAGAATGCCTTCTCCGGGTCAGGGATGAGGTCCTGCCTCAAGTGGAGGAGTGTAAGTATCTCGGGGTCTTGTTCACGAGTGAGGGGAAACTACAGCGCAAGATCGATAGGCGGATTGGTGCTGCGTCTGCAGTGATGCGGGCATTGAACCGGTCTGTCGTGGTGAAGAGAGAGCTGAGCCAGAAGATAAAGCTCTCGATTTACCGGTCAATCTATGTTCCAACCCTCACCTATGGTCACAGGCTTTGGGTAGAGACTGAAAAAACAAGATCGCGGGTTCAAGCGGCCGAAATGAGTTCTCTCTGCAGGGTGTCTGTGGTCTAGGGTGAGAAGCTTGGTCATCTGGGAGGGGCTCAGATTAGACCTGTTGCTCCTCCACATTGAGAGGAGCCAATTGAGGTGGCTCGGGTAAGGGAAGACCCAGGACACGCTGGAGGGACTGTGTCTCTCTGCTGGCCAGGGAACACCTTCAGATTCCCCCGGATGAGCTGGCCCAAATAGCTGGGGAGAAGACGTTTGGGCCTTTAGGCTTAGGCTTCTGCCCCAGCAAACCGACTCCGGATACGTGCTGAAAATGGATGGATGGCATGAACTCACAGTTAAACAAACAATCACAGAATTGAAATGAAAACACACATTCTCTGTTTGGGCTAACACACAGTCTGTTGTCAGCAGAGTAAACAGGTTTAATCAGTGATGTAAAGTAGTGCAAACACATCATCAAGCATATCTCTGGTTTCACATTCAGAATTGCAACAGCTACTTTATCTGAGGTAATAATAATAACAGTTTAAAGCCACAAACAAAATGCTTCTCAAACTCCAGTCTTGCACATCAAACACCAAAATTAAGTTTTGAGACCAAAGAGACATTTTATGAAAGCGGATAATAGTTTGGCTCTGGAACGGTAAAAATGGTGTCTTGTAACATCTAAAGGGATACTATGCACCTTTTTCATATTTTTATATACTTTTCTTGAGCCAGTATGTTCTAAAACGACCATTTACAGGGTTAATGAAATGTTACTCAGACGCCAACCGCCCTCTGTGTCCAGAATACCACATTTGTAACTTCAGAGTTGGCGTGCGCTCCCTGCTGGTGAGGGGAGCTGACATGGTGGAGCTGGAGCCTTATTACAGCACGATTCCTGCATGTTATAGATCATGAACACAGCTGCTTTGTTTGATTTAGTGATGAATCGCTCCTCTAGCAACTGATGACCACTGGGGAGACATTTCAGCAGTTAGATGAAGGTTTTAAAAATCGAAAACATAGCGAGGAGATAAGTTTCATTTGTGGTTTAATCTCAGAGAATTAACAACGGACACTAGGGGGTGCTAAAAGCAAGCAAAATTGCCTAGTATCCCTTTAATGCATTCAAAACAACAAGATAAAGGACGACACAGAAGCAAACAGAAAATGTATGAGGCAATAAGGCTCACGTCCAGTGTATTTCTACTTTCACCTACTACCACAGGTGTATTAGTACACATGTAAAGTCCATTATCACATCGCACTTTTTCTAAGTGCTGATAAATGTTCTTGCAAGTTTTATTTGCATTCCACAGTCATCAGCTGCATGTAAACAGTTCACGTGCCTCATGACAGTAAAATAAAGAGCATTTGATCTGCCTCTCACTTGTCACAGCATCTGAAGTTTGAAACGGTAATTATTAATTTGATCAAAGTCACAACTAAGATCAGAAATGTTTGTATGTCCTAACTGGGCTGTTGTGTTGAAAAAAAACCTACTTAGGCATTTTTTAGTTTAAAAAAATGTAAAAATAAAAATAGCAACAAAAAATGAGAGTCAAATGGTAAGAACTCAATCATTTAAATTATTAGGCAGCACTTTAATGCCAGAGTTTGCCTTCCTTTAGGTTAAGTCAAATATCTGTAAACAATAGCAACAGAAAAAGCTTAAGCTCATTTATATTTAAGACTTTAAGTCACATTAAATGTGTCCTCTGAATGAAATTGACGGTGCTTCAGATAATTTTCCAGTTAAACTCAATGAGTCTTAATAAATTTGGAATTATAGTTATTAAGGCTGCTCTTTCTGAAGCCTGCATGAAGCTTACACATGCCCAGGATATCTTTAGATTAACTATGGATGAAGATATGAAATCCCACTAACTGATACAGAGACATGGGTTTTTATAAATAAATAATTGAACCAGGTCACTCATGGTAGAGACCTTACCAACCTCAGATTTGTGGTTGGGAAGGTTAAAAAAACAATTGTTGAAGACACATCTGGTTGTATTCGGTTGAGTACAGGAAAGACAAAGGGGACAGTTGTCACACACACCGGTGTGGTGAAAATTATTCTCTGTATTTGACCCAACCCCCTTGGGGAGCGATGAGCTGCAGCTGCACTCAGGAACTATTTGATGGTTTAACCCCCAATCCAACCCCTTAAAGCTGAGTGTCAAACAGGGAGGCATTGTGTCTCATTTTATGAAGTCTTTGGTGTGACCTGACCAGGATTTGAACTCCGATCTCCCAATCCCAGGGTAGACACTGTACCACTAGGCCACTGAGCTGGTTAGATGCTGTGTAACTACTTCAAACATGTCAAGTAATGAAGTACAAATACTTTGTTACATTACTTTAGTAGAAACGATTGGATGATATTTTAATCAACCATTAAAACACCCTATTGTTTGTACGTAATCCATTGCACATTTTGCATGACACAAATCAAGTCACAGTCCAACCAGGACATTCATTCATTCATTCATTCATTCATTCATTCATTCATTCATTCATGCATTCATGCATTCATGCATTCATTCATTCATTCATTCATTCACTTTCTTGTTCATTCACTTGTTCATCCATTCATTCATTTTGACAGAACCATTGTATCCTGTGTTTAGACACCCATGGGCAGATACTCTATGTATCCTAATTTATCAACATTAAAATTTTATATAACATTACAGTAGGGCTGCACAATATATCGCAAATATATTGTTATCGCGATAACAGCATGCGCAACATGCATATCGCAAAGAACAGATAAATATCGTGATGAATGGTCAGCTCAAATGTTTGCTACACATAATGCATTCTGTCAATCAAATGGAAGCATGACATTTTTAAAGAAATCAAATAAAGCTCCTCACCCATTTGGCCAATTGGGTGGGGTTTCATTGGTTAGATGCCCGCCCCCGAGACGGACGGCACTTAATTTTGATGGTTAGCGAACATCAGAGTTAGCTTTGCTCTGCTCTTTCTGCTGATTCTGCTTTTCCTGGTATCCACTGATCCTTTTCTTGTTCATTTTCTTTTTCCCTTTCCTCACATCTTTTGCTTTTCTCATTTTTACGACTTTTTGTCAATTGTTTTTTATTATTTTTGTTCCTGAGTTAAGTTTTTATTTATCGCAAGTAATATTGTCATCACAATATTAATCAATGTTATTGCATATCGCAGGTTTTCCTAATATCATGCAGCCCTACATTATAGTCATTAATACCTTGAGATGTATAGCTGTGGCGTGGCTTAATTGTACTTTCATACTTGAAGTAGTTTTGAAACCAGTATATTTTTTTAACTTTTACTCAAGTAAAAAGCTTAGATTTACTCATCATCTTCTACAGATGTTTTTTTAAACCCTGCCTAGTATCTATACTTCCACCTGAGCAATGAATATAATACTTTTGACACCTCTATAATAACATCCAATAACACACGCTGTCTTCCTACTCAACTCAACTTCCTGATTCTCAAAAACAGTTTCTACTACGGTGAAGGTTCTCATTCAACATTCTTGTGCTACTGACTCGTTTTCATTGTCTATGCAGTTTTGTCTCTTACATTCAAATAGATGTTTTAGATGTATAGATGTTATTCCTGCAGTTACAATAAAGCAGCTATCACCCACTCCAGTCCTCGAGGATGACCATCCTGCACATTTAATAAGATCACAAGGTTTTATGGAGCAAACAAATGGGTACATTTCTTAGGACGGTAGCCTTCGAGGGCTGTAATTGGTGAGCCCTATATTAAAAGTCTTCAGATCTTCAGGTCGTCCAGCCTGCTTTTGTTGTTGTGCTTGCTCGACTGACTGTTTCTGCGCTGATTTTCAGCAGGAGTGTCACAGATCGGACCGGACACTTTAGTTTTCTCTGTGTCGTCTTCTTCTACTTTGCCTTTTCTTTCCACAGCCATGTTGTCTCTGTTTTGTTTGTGAACGGCCTTACTGTTGTAGGGGCTGTAGGCAGAGTTTGGCTCTGTCATGCTGTACTTTGAGTCTGCAGGGAAAGGCTCAGACACAGCGGAGTGGCCTGTAAAGTAGGTGTAGTTTGGAGCAAAGGGTGTGATCGCCTCATTCAGCGCCTTGGGACCTTCACGGGCAGCCTTTGATCGTCTGTAGCGAAGACCCTGGTGGCACTTTTTGAAACCTAGATGGTACATTTCCACCAGATTGAGCAGCAGCGATACACAAGCAACTGCAAGCATGAAAAGTATAAAGATTGTCTTCTCCGTGGGTCGGGAGATGTAGCAATTCACCGTGTTTGGGCAAGGCCAGCGGTCGCAGGTGTACATGGCCTTCAGCTCAAACCCGTACAGGAAGTACTGAGCCACAATGAAAGCAACTTCAAACAGAGTCTTGAAAATTATGTTAAAGACGTACGTTCGCAGAAGTGCACCTTGCAAACGCACATGGCCCTGGTTATCTTTCACTGAGGGCTTAGGGGGCTTGTTGTTGAGAAATTGTTGTTGGTTTTCGTTTGTAAGCTCCTTGAGCTTCTGCTTCTCCTTTTCCTCCATGCGGACCAGATGGATGACATGTCCCAGATAAATAAGAGTGGGCGTGGAGACAAAGATGATCTGCATCACCCAGAAGCGGATGTGAGAAATGGGGAAGGTTTTATCGTAACAAACATTTTGACAACCAGGTTGTTTGGTGTCACACGTGAAGCCGGACTGTTCGTCTCCCCAAACTTTCTCTGCGGCCGTTCCCAGAACCAAAATACGGAAGATAAACAGCACTGTTAGCCAAACCTTGCCCACCACGGTAGAGTGTTCCTGGGCGCTCTCCAGCAGCTTCCCCAGTGAGTTCCAGTCTCCCATAATGCTTCACAACCTAACCTTTCAACAGAAGCTGGAAAACCAGGAAATGAGCCTGAAAAAAAAGAAGAAAGACACTGTTTTAACTTGGATTAAATAAACACTGTAAATAAAGCTGTAAAATTAGACCAAAGAAAACAGCCCCATGCTAGTTTTCATCTGTGAATAAAGTTGAGCTCTTTTGAAGATGTTGTGTGGAACCCCGTAGCTCATTGAACACTCTGTGATGGAAGAAATGGAGATTAGCTCTGATTGCGCTAACAAGCTAAGGACTTGTTTGAGTTGGAACAGTGTGACCAACATGGATTGATTCCATCTCAAAACAACTAAAATTCAAATGAATAATAGTATTAAAATCATTCTACATGCACATTACATGATTATGCTGATGGAAACATTTTAATATTAATGCTGGAAGTGCCTAAGGCTGCACAGGAAGTTCTGCAGCTAGCTACTTTAGCTATACATTTGCGAATACAATAATGTGAGAGTTGTGTGAAATGTAAGTCATTTGGCAATGTAAAGGTGGATAATATAACATTTGCTTGAGTTGCTGTTTAAAGTTGATTTTAAGATGTATTAAAGTCCTAACATCACTCTGACAAGCATTAGCTTCCAGTCAGAAATAATCTTTATTTCTTATACTTGAGGTTGTCAAAGAGCTCTCCACATGGATTACTTTACAGAAGGTCTAAACTATGAGCCTAAAAATCTAGGCAAACTGGAGCAGTAGAAGAAGATTCTGCTCTACAGGTTAGTCTAACTATGCTCCCTTGGTGCCTCAACAGGTCTACCATCAGCTCAAACAATTTTAGGTGGGGCCAATCACAGAGCTTTATGTTTGTACAGAGACATTGGGCAGACTTACCACCAGAACTGTGATGGAGAAAAACTACAAAGATGACGTTGGCTCAAGAACTAGTCTGAAATGGCTTTGGCATCAACTTTAGACAATTTGGACTTGAGCTATGAGCAGATAGCCGTACTTAAGTTCTTTATTTCAAGAAAGTCTGTATTTGCTTGATCGGACCCGCTTTGTCCATGTGGGGTTGCGGGGGGGTGGGGGTGGGGGGGGGGGGCTATCTCCAGCGGTCAATGGGCAATCAGGCGGGGTACACCCTGGACAGAGAGCCAGTCCATCGCAGGGCAACACAGAGGATTAACAATCATGCACACACACACCTAAGGACAATTTAGACAGACCAATTAACCTAACACTCATGTTTTTTGGACTGTGCGAGGAAGCCAGAGTACCCGGAGAGAACCCACACATGCACAGGGAGAACATGCAAACTCCATGCAGAAAGATCCCAGGCCGGGAAGTGAACCCAGGACCTTCTTGCTGCAAGGCAACAGCTCTAACCACTGCGCCACAGCACAGCCCTGTCCTACCTCAAGTGGAGGAGTTTAAGTATCTCGGGGTCTTGTTCACGAGTGAAGGCAGGAGGGATCGGGAGATCGACAGGCGGATTGGTTCAGCGTCTGCAGTGATGCGGACGCAGAGCCGATCTGTCGTGGTGAAGAGGGAGCTGAGCAAGAAAGCCAGGCTCTCGATGTACCGGTCGATCTACGTCCCAATCCTCACCTATGGTCATGAGCTTTGGGTAATGACCGAAAGAACGAGATCACAAATACAAGCGGCTGAAATGAGTTTCCTCCGTAGGGTGGCCGGGCTCAGCCTTAGAGATAGGGTGAGGAGCTCGGACATTCGGGAGGGACTCGGAGTAGAACCGCTGTTCCTCCGGATCGAAAGGAGTCAGTTGAGGTGGTTTGGGCATCTGGTCAGGATGCCTCCTGGACGCCTCCCCGGGGAGGTGTTTCGGCCATGTCCTGCTGGCAGGAGGCCCCCGGGTCGACCCAGGACACGTTGGAGAGGTTACATCTCCAGTCTGGTCCGGGAACGCCATGGGGTCCTGCTGGAGGAACTGGTGGAGATGGCTGGGGAGAGGATGGTCTGGAGCTCCCTAGTTGGGATGCTGCCCCCGCGACCCGGACCCGGATAAGCGGAGGAAGACAACGATGTAATAACATAACAATAATATGGCTCAGATTAACATTGGTACCCATAGAAAACATATTGAACCTTCACAGTTAAAACACTTATTTCTAAAATGTTTTAATCATTTAATCTACTTTTTCTAGATGATTTATCTTCAGCCAAACTGACGTCAGCTCAGAACTCCACGCATACATAAATGTCATTTATTTATGCTTATGAAATTGTTTTAGCTACTGTGGTTCAAGATGACATGCCAATTGATTCCTGCCGAATGCACTGTCTGTTTTCCTGGAGGTTGTGTTCTTTCCCGTGTGTGCTGATGGGAAAGTCAGGACATAGCTGACTGTGTGTGAAGAGTAGCCCTGAAGCCGCCTTGGTGGAACCTAGTGGCCTCAGCCTAGATCTTGTGACACCGTTTCCAACAGTCTCCACAAACTCATTTATAAATAGTTACACTTGTCATTTGAAAGTAGAGGATCAGGAAACGCTGTTGACTACCTGAGAATCTGCTTTAAATAGGAGAGGAAGACAGTTTCCACAAACGTAAACTTTTAGAAATAAACAATGCAGTTCTTAATTTTCACCTTTCACAATTATTCTCCCATGCAGTTAAAAGCGGGCGTTTCAATTTTACTGCTGATGCGTAAAATTGTCACCCGATGAGCAGATTTTCAACAATCATCTCCACAGAAAAGATCTACCTGTTCGTTCACCTCACAGAGAGCAGATCTTCTCACACATCCAAGATGAACTTCTCCCAGTTTCTTTCACAGAAGACTCTACCATCATGTTCCATTCCCTCCGCCCTAGCCATAGCTAAACCCTGTGTCCGTGTGAGCACATGAAAACTTTCCAATCTTTAGAAAAGCCTCAAGCCCCTCTCTGAAGAGGTGTTTCTTCTGATATGAGTGGCAGCTGAGGAGTCCAGTAAGGATGGAGACTTGTCTGACGTGTCTGTGAGCTCTAAATATAAGTCACGGAGCAGGGAGTGGCTCCCTCTCTGGTGTTGACCCCTGACTTTGAGGCAGATTCATTGGTGCATCCTCATCTAAGCACTTTAGATAACAAAGAGGACTTTGAATGTGTTAAAAAGAATTAAGCGACACACGGCACCAGACTGTTTTTATGAAAACAATGATTTTAGTCTTCAGCAGTGTGGAAGCATCAAATTTTCCGTCTCTGTATCAGACATCTGTGTGGAAGTCATCTACAAATCCCATGACATTTAATCACGATCATCTCTAGAACTACATTTTGCAGGAGTTTGGGTTCCACCATTTTGAACCTCAAACACGGTGTCTTTTTTGGTGTGTTCCTTAAAAATAGAAGCATTCCTCAGCAGGTTCAGCTGTCCACAGAGTCAGTCACCGACCCCCTTAAATAGAGTGTCTATTGATAACCTCCAAACTCTGCACTCAGGCAATTATGAGAACCTCACCACCCCGAGGTGTTTCCTCAGCAGCGACAGCACGAGGGTGCCTGGGTGTGGAGAAGGTGTAACGAGATGTGAGGTGAAGACGTTTGGTTTAACTCCACTTGGTTTATCTCTCAGTCACACAGCTGAGCTGAAAGGAGACACACAGGGGCTCCGTTGATTTCAGATGACTTCTGCTGGCCGTTTGTGGTACTACAGCTCACACACGCACGCACGCACACACACACACACACACACACACACGCACACACACACACACACACACACACACGCACACACACACGCACACACACACCTCTGTTAACTTGTTTTTATTCTGTAAAGTAACATTTCAAAAACACGGGAATAACAGACTTTGGTTAAGTTAATTTTGTTGCATAGACAGTGGACTCACAACCAACACCTTAACATGTTGAATACTCGGCAAAAAGTTTGCAGTTCAAGTATTTTTCTGCTTATTTAGTTCCCTTGCATCTAAAAGCATCCAGTTAACAAAAAATATATATATATATTTTTTTTTACTATCAACAAGGCACCACAAAAGCAGTAGAGGCCAAGGTTTCCCTCACCAGAGGCAGGATCCCAGGTGCAGGTTCACCCCTGAGAAAGTCCAGTCCAGCTACTGGGACAGCTCTGAGTCCAAAACCAATTTCCTCTAGAAGATCATAAATAAAATAGGTTTAAATCATAAAACAGGGGAGGTATTAGACTACAGGAACACCTTTGATATTTAAACACCTAAAATTAGCATTTTCCACAGGACCACAGTGCTGCTGTGTTCTTTGTTTTGATTCTGAACATCTCATGTGGAAGATAAAGCCTCCTAATTTTAATGAACGTCAAACCAGTATCTCTCAGAGCCTAGACCGTTAGTGACTGCAGTCGGAGACACTTTTGTGACAAGTTTCATAAATGTGTCGTGTGAGGAATACGATGCAACTGTTGCTATCCACCAAGTGTCTCAATTAGTTCACAATTTCCCTCATTTTTTGTGTTGTCTTACATTGTCCTACACTTTCTGACTCACACATTTAGATTTTGTTTGCCTGAATGGTTTGAGGCGTTTTGGGAAATCTCACTTTTCCGTCCCTTTTTGCCTTAGAATAAATTATGTGGATTTTGTTAGAAAAAGCGAAGCTTCTGTTGGATCCAAGCTCCTATAGAGGAGTCTCCAGCATTGTGCAGATGTTTACCACAGGCCTTCCCCACCAAGAACACCACTTCTGCGATGTTGAGCAGAATACAAACCCCTGACACGGCCAGCATGAACACGGTGAAGACCGTCTTCTCCGTGGGCCTCGACACAAAACAGTCCACTGTGTTGGGACACGGGTACGAGTCACACTTCACCAGCCGGATCATTTTATAACCAGGGTAAATCATGTAAAACACATACATAAACGTGACCTCAAAGATAATACGGAACAACAGGCTGATGACGTATGTCCACCACAGGGCCCCTGTGATTTTCATCTTCTGGGTCTTTATCTGCTCCAGGTCTTTGGGATTGGTCCGCCCTGACAGTTTGTAGATCCTCTTGTCGACATGTCGGCGGTGTGCCACGTGCATGGCCACCAGCAGAGCAGGAGTGGACACCAGGATGAGCTGGAGCGCCCAGAGGCGGATGTGGGAGATGGGGAAGAAGTGATCATAGCAGACGCTGTTGCATCCTGGCTGCTGCGTGTTGCAGGTGAAGCCGGACTTCTCGTCTCCCCATACGCTCTCGGCTGCAACCACCAGGACTAGGATACGGAAAATAAACAGGACAGAGAGCCAGATGCGACCGATGCCGGTGGAGTGTCGGTTCACGCCACTGATGACAGCATAAAATGATGCCCAGTTCATCTTTGGTTCCGGGTCTGCAGAAAATGTAAACATAAAGTGGTCAACGTTTTGAAACACCTAGTAAATAAGGGCGTTTAGGGCAGCAGTAGCTCTGGAGGTTGGGTGGGTTGTCCCATAATCGGAAGGTTGCAGGTTCGATCCCAGCTCAAGACAGAGAATTCTGCTGTTGTGTTCCTGGGTAAGACACTTAACCCATTGCTGGTGGTCGGAGGGATCAGTGGCGCCTGTGCTCGGCAGCCTCACCTCTGTCAGTGCGCCCCAGGGCAGCTGTGGCTACATTGTAGCCCATTCCCAACAGTGTGTGGATGTGTGTGTGTAAATGGGTGAATGATACACTGTAGCGTAAAGCGCTTTGGTGTTCTCTGACTCTGAAAGGTGCTATACAAGTGCCGGTCGTTATCATTTACTTTTTTTGTATTTTTTAAAGGTGTGGAGCCCTGAAAATAATCGTTTTAAAACCTTATTTCTGATTATAATCTGTCACTCTGAGTTTTTGATGCAGGCTAAACATGAAAATAGTCTCCTACACCTATCTCCTGCATTAGCTTCTGATAGAAAATAAACGGTGAAACTCTAGGGTTGGAAAAGTCTGACAGATCTACGTCACACTGTCACTTAACATTGATGGATTTATACATGTTGACTCACGACGGCCAGGGAAGATTGTTGTTGTTTTAGCATCCAAGGAACAGCAGAGAACGTTGCGGCTAGAAGCTAACCGTTAGCATGGTAAATGACTGTATTTGATACAGCGCCTTCTAGAGTCCGGAAACACCCCCAAGGCGCTTTACAACACAATCAGTCATTCGCCCATTCACACACACCTTCACACACTGGTGGGGATGAGCTACGATGTAGCCACAGCTGCCCTGGGACGCACTGACAGAGGGGAAGCTTCCAGGCACTGGCGCCACCGATCCCTCCGACCACCACCAGGGGGGGGGGGGGGGGGGGGGGGGGGCAAGGACACAATGACAGCGACAAACTGAGCGGGGCTTGAACCTGCAACCTTCCGATTACGGGACGAGCACTTAACTTCTGTACCACCGTCACCCCACATCAGCAACTCCACTACATGGCAGAACTCCTCCAGGCTTGGGTTATTTGTGGAGATAAAAACATCAACGTTGCAAGTCAGTGGTAGAGTCGTGCTGCTGTTAGCCAATCCAAGGCGAGATGTCCAAATATCAGAAAATAAGACTCCAAAACCTGACGTCTGAAGCTCAGCTGTGATGCGGGTCACTTCTAGTTCCTGGAAATGGTGCACTGGTGTATTTTGCCCCCTAGAGTACGACTTACATTCCTATTAGAGACCACTGCAAATGAATAGATTAAACAGGTGTTCCTCACCTTCAAATAAACAACTTATTGTACATATTTTTCTAATAATCTTACACTAAAAAACAGAGAAAACATAGTAAATTCTCATGTGATGAAAGTAATCATTAAATTATGTATTTTTTAATATAACACACATTTTTATTCACAGAAAACTAAAAGTGTTCACAATTCCTTCTTTGTCTCTTCAGCTGGTAAATGAGACGGTTTTGGTGTGTTAGTGGTGGTCAGAGGGGCCAACGGCGCCAAATGGCAGCCTCGCCTCTGTCAGACCGCCCCAGGGCGGCTGTGGCTACAAAGTAGCTTACCATCACTAGCAGTGTGTGAATGTGAGAGTGCATGAAAGCGTCTTTGAGTGTCCTAAACAAGCGCTATATAAATTTGATGTATTGTTATTATTATTATTATTATCAGGTTTAGCCTGTGGCACCAGCTGTCCTCGTGATCCAGGTTTCAGGCGTCCTCTGCGTTTGGGCGCAGGAAGCAACAAGAACCAAGATTTTTTAGGGTGACCAGGGTTTAAGTCCCTCAAAAGCCCTGGCTGTGAGCTTCTGGGTCTGTCCTCACCCTTTAGGATGGGCGGCACATCAGTGAATATTCCAAGTAATTTATTACCATCATTCTGTCTCACTTATTCTCTATTACAGCTCACAGATTACATGCCAGATTAACAACTGTGGGAAAAACAACAATTTACTTTGGTTCATGCAGCTTCTGTCAGGGCAGCTTCATGATAACAAATAACTTTTAACGGCTCACTGAGCGCTGCTAAATCATAAAAAATACAAATAAATCCACAACCCTGTTCCTCTGCGGAGAATTTTGCAGATTGGAGTTGTGTGTCCAAGTTTACTTTCATCATTACACATCTTATTTTTTATTTTAAGTAAATCTCAAGTATTTATGAGAAAACAGTTTAACAGTCTAAATGATTAAATGCATCAAAGACAACAAAAAGTGTAAAAGGTCGGCCGTAAATTAGAACAATAAACTGTTAATCACTGATTGTTTCACAAAAATAAATACAAATAGAGTCTGAAGGACATTTAAAATGTAGAGACTGAGATAAAATTTAAACAAACAGCTGCTCAGTTACACTTCAATTAAAACTAAAAATATAAATCATGATGTTATAAACAAGATAAAGACTACATGGAATATCTGTTTATTTCTCCTTTTAATGTAGATTTTTACAAACTACGCACCGACACTTGTTTTAGCCAGTTTAGCAGAATTTCTAAAAAACGTATTAAAAAGTGAAAATATTCACTTACTTTTTATAAAAATACATGTTTTCATATCACAAACATCTACTTATAACACTTTGTATTACCGTCTCCCTGTAGACATTTTGTTTTACATTAAATATTTGAGGATTTCTCGTTAATAATGGCCCTTTTATTTCTATAACTGAGTTAGATTAAAATTCAAAGCCTATTAGATTTATAGAGGAGTAAGTATAACATCATGATGATGAAGGTAAAGTTGAGCTGGAACTACAAAGTGGTATCCAGTTCTCACTCGTCCAGTATTTAGTTTTTTTATGACAAGTTCAGAAATTTTGAACTGTCAAAAATAAATTTATTCTAAAATGTTCTTTAATAAATACATTTATGATCATTTACAGCTTAATTAACACCGTTACAGATCAAGTGGGTTAAAACTCTTACAGATAAAAATATAATTTGACTACTTGACATTAGATTTGAGATTTAAAGATCCAAATTTAGATTTAAAATGCATAGAGTTTCACTTATTTTCTTTCATCCAACCCCTCCTGATTGACCTTTGACCCCCATCAGGTAGACACATCTAGTCTAGCAGTAAAGTGGTTACCGGGCTCAGCTGGAGGTGTAAGAGGCATAGGAGGCAGCGGTGAGGATGAAGTGGACCTGCTGCTGGTTTGGCATGAATGTGGATCCTGAGGAGCAGAGAGACCTCTCTGACCCTCCCGCGCTGCTGCAGGACGTTTAAGGCTGCAGCTCTGAGGTCTGGGTCACGTGACTCAGCCGTGGTCCTGGCGCAGCACGGACAGTGGGCATCTGAAGCCAGTTTGATGATAATATTCATCTCTTGTTGGAAGGAAACCCCGTTATGCTCCATAATAAAATAATTCATCTGTTCTTAACTGAACCTCACACATCAAACTGGTTAAGAATTTTATGGTAAAAAAACAAAAGAATAGTCATCTTTGTCTCCAAGTGTCACGTTTTTCTGCTGGCATGCTGTGACGTGGAGATAAAGGAGATTAAATTGTGTTTCCAATCTCAACACACAGATTAAACCAACCAAACACACTCAAACAGCCAATCAGAAACCACCTAATCTGTCGGCCAACAGGAGAAATGAGAAGACCTTACCGTCAGCTGTGGTTTTCTGTGGAGTACATCCAGAACATTAGCGTTAACAGATTTTTTAATCTGTGACCGTGAACAAGAGTATCAGCGCACCATGACTTTGCATTGCTAATGATTCCCCACACACAAGCCACTGCCCTGCACTGACGAGGTCATATGCCTCTGTGAGGAGAGGAATCTGCATACAATGGGTCCATTTATGAGGACAAAACAAACAGCTTCAGAGTTGTGTTGCACACAGGAAGTGGAGGACGGTCTTGACGCAATATAGAGCAAAACATCAAAGGTCCAAAACAAAGAAAGGGCCACAAAATCTAAAGATAAGAGGACAAAGGCTGATTTTATTTTATATTATTATAATTATCTGTTGTTATCTGTGTTTTCTGTCTCAACCATGTTCCTGATGAATACTTCATCTCTGTCTCAACAAGTCAGTAAAGATCTTTATTCCTCACTGAGACCTGGAACTGAATTACCACTAACTGGGATTAGATGCTGGTCTAGTCAACTGAATAATCTCTTTTGTTCAAAAATAAAGAAAGATTATAAGGCTGCTCAATTTAGCCCTGAATACAATGTATTTATCTTTTCATGGTGACTGACTGACAAACAAGCTATGCAAACGTATTTAAAATACAGTACGCTAAATAATACATTGATAGATTTTATTGAATTATAAAGATTCATAAATCAGGGTTTAATATTCTAATTTTACAGGATATCTGGTTAAGTCCACACACATGCACTTCTGATTTTTAAATAACTTTGTTTCTTTTTTACATTCATCATATATTTAGCATTTTAAACAAGTTTTAAATCACTAAAATGGATGAAAGCATCATAAGTGAATCTCTGTGTTCCTGAATTACTTTTCATTATAGAAAAATACCATCCTCAAAATGTTAAAAGGCAATCAGTGTTTATTAGAAACACAAATAGTTAATTCAATAATTATTTAAAACCCTTAGATTACTGAGCATGAACTCATTATTATGAATAAGTTTGTAAAACCTTGTTGAACATGTGGCAATAATTCATAATGCAGAGATCCTTATAAAATGTTTTTATTATGTCACAAACAATCAGAAGCATCACAGCACTTTACATCCTCTATGAAACTAACCTCATTGCATCCTTAAAAAGGAAAAGGAGAAGTGCATTATTTCAGTTAATTCAAATGTTTTTTACAACATGCGATAAAATTAGTGTTGTCTGTTCTGTTTTCTGGGTGTTATTACACAGTATTTCCTACTATAAACTTAGATTGAGGTTTATTTTCATTCTAAATGGTTTTTCCAGGCACTTTGAAAGTTTCTGGTCCCAAAGATCAAAGAGTCTTGACCACATCCACCAATCAAACATATGAATGCTGATTGTACAAAAACAACCACTTTAATTGGTGTTTCGAAGCTGTCTCTTGCCCGCAGTTTATGTCTGACTGATGTCATCTGGAGTTTCCAAAATGTAACTGCAGCATTAATTACAGAGAGAAACTATTTAGGTTCTTAACTTAAATTAATGTTGTCATTTTCAGGTAAAACTCTGTATATCCATTTTAATAAAATATGGGATAAGATCGAATATCATTTAAGTCAGTTAATTTGTATTGCACAAATTCACAACAAGGCACTTTACAAAGCAAACGCTCCAATTGAATCTGCTAAACAGTGCACTGAGTTTAGTTAATAGTTCTGCTATTAAAAGTAGCACAGAGGAAATATATCAGTTTGCAGCATTAACAGAAGTGATATAAAACTACACCGACTATGTTTGTATTCAGACACATTGGAGGGATTTCCTGGATGAACTGCCTATTTAAGGTCAAATAGTTGTCTGGTAGAGAGTAGAAATCATGATTGAATCAGTTACAGCAAGTCATCCAGGTCCTGAAGCAGAAAAGCAGCCCCACACCACCACACTACCACCACCGTGTTTCACTGTTAGTATGCTGTTTTACTGAAATGCAGTTTTAGGTTTACACCAGCTGGAACATGATGCACACCTTCAAACAATTCCATTTTGCTCCAAAATGTTTTGGGGGTCATCAAGATGTTTTTGTTTGTAAATGTGAGACGGAGCTTTGTGTCCTTTATAATCAGCAAAGGTTTTGACCTTCTGACCCTCCAGTGGAGGCTATTTCTGCTGCTATGGTCACTTTTTTGTTGTTGCACCACGAACTTTGACCTTAAAGTGAACAAAATGCGATCTACAGAGCTTAAGATTATGGGTTATTTCGTTTTTGAATTTCTCTGTAACACAGGCATGCTGTATTGCTTTTTGAGATTGTTTGGTCCACGTCATGTTGTGAAATTGGTTCTGTTGACGCCATTTCTTCGACAGGTCTAGTAATCAAGTCTGAGTGTGGCTGGTGAAACTCATCTCAGCTTTCCAAATAATTTGGTTTATCACAGTTAGTTCATGATGGGGTGAACAGGGCTAGGTCGTTTTGGGAAGATGTTTTTCTTCAGTTAAGAAATCGTCAGTCAGAAACAGCATTTTGTATTTTTGCAGGTAATCTTTGACACAGAAAATTTGATTGAACTTTACTCGAATTTTATTTATTTAAATCGACAGACAGACAGACAGACAGACAGACAGACAGACAGACAGACAGACAGACAGACAGACAGATAGATAGATAGATAGATAGATAGATAGATAGATAGATAGATAGATAGATAGATAGATAGATAGATAGATAGATAGAAGGTAGCGGTCCCTTTAAGAACCTGTTGGGTGTGGAAAAGATTGGCGTCGATGGCCAGTTGGTGTCATTCCATTGCGTTTCGTTTACGCCTTTGGCAGACTGTAGGCTATTAAAATGTTAAGATTACACATTTTTTGAGAAACAAACTCGGTTTAGTTTGTTTTGGAAGCTTATTTAAAACGCTACATCTGTGAGTTACGTAATGAAAGTTTAACCAAACGCGCTGAAGTATTTGTAAAAATGTAAAGCGCTACAGAATGGAACGCGTCCAGAGAAGATTTAGCCGCTCTTGTTCTTCTCACAACACAAGGAGGGAAAAGTAGCCAAAAGGGTCAGGATACGGTTGTACGAGGAGGAAAACAAGGCGTCTGACGAGGCAGGAAGGAGGTGTTTAAGCTAAACAGGCTAAACTTCGTTGTTTACGTGACTGGTGGTACGTCTCGCGGCTTCCGCAGGCTCCCCCGGACACCATGGTTCTAGCTAGGACCAGTTAGGAGTCGTTTCTGGTGATGAGCAGCGTTGTCTTCTGAAGTAACCCCGTAGTTCTATCGTGTGAAACCAACACTTCCTCCAGAAGACCATGGGGCATCCTCCTCTCGAGTTCAGCGACTGCTACAAGGACAGTCCCGACTTCAGAGAAACCCTCAAGTGTTATGAGCTGGAGCTGGAGAGGACGAACAAGTTCCTGAAGGAGCTGATCAAAGATGGCAACAGCGTGATCGCTGCGATCAAGGGTGAGCGGGCTTCAAGTCAGCTGTTTTTAAAGAGTTCTGGGTGGATTGGGGCTTTACTGGGGGGGTTTGTGTGACCAAAGTGGGGGGTGGGGGTGGGGGCAGTCAGGAAGGTGCTGATTTCATGCAGATGTGCTGGAAGACCAAACCACCCAGCAGCTGGACCGTGTAGGAGTTGCATATCTCCCTTTTCACTTCTCTTTGTCAAGCTGCTGGGTCCAGTCCCACAGATAAAGAGCCAGAACCAGCGACAGCAACACAGTTACTATAAGTGGGCTAGAAGAGAACACTGTCCAGGAAATCATGGCATTCTGGAAGTGCTGTCCACATATTAGTCAAAGGTCACTGGCTATTATCTGGAACATTGTGAGATATAAAGTGTTATTATACTAATATAAGTGGTTAGGACAGAAATAAGTGACACTGATTACTGAACAAACACAAACAGTCTCAAAAAGACTTTTCTTCTGCAGAAAGGCTGATTTATGACAGGAGAGGCTGCAGCCAAATTCCCCGGGCTGCATGCAGTACAGTATTGATCTGACAGGCTCAGTTTTGTTTTGATAATAAAAGCCACACATAGCAGGGATAAAATAGTTGGATCTACTTCATAATGGCAGCTGCTGAGCTGCAGAATCCTGCCAAAAATCTCCTTCAGGCTTTACTCTTTCCTACCAGAGAAAACCTGCAGAGGAGCCTACATGCTGAATTTAGAGAACAATAGAGGATTGCATGTTGTTGTTAATACTGAGTGGGGCGAGGCTTCTGCTCCTCCTTTTAACTTTGTTTAAAATCATTTTTCCTAACAGGCTATTCTCTGGCTGTGCAGAAGTTTTCCCAAACTCTCAGCACGTTCCAGTTTGACTTCATTGGCGACTCACTTACGGATGATGAGATCAACATCGGTAAGATGGATAATGTTTTTTTTTAATTTCATACCGTTCTTCACTGCTTGAGTCTTTTAATCAGGCATTTGTTTCTGTGTTTTCATCTCCAGCTGAGTCATTCCAGGAGTTCGCCGGACTCTTACAGGAAGTGGAGCACGACAGGATGATGATGGTGGGATATCTGCTTCCTCCACGCTCTCTCCGTATCCTACATGACCCATCATTAGACAAATGAACCGACATGAATATGTCTGGCACGAAAGACACTACAACAAAAATGTTGCTCTTTGAAGGAAATACACATTTCATCTGTTTGTTATGAAACCCTGTGTGGTTCACGTGCACGCACACGCTCATTGCATAACACACTGAAACGTTTGAATCACTTCTGGCAATCTTTAGGTTTTTGTTCCCTTTTTACTTTTCCTGTTCTTCTTTTTTGTTAAACAGCCCAAAATCCTTATAGAAACTTTAATTTATTAAATTCCTGCAGTTTAAAACTTTGTCACTCTCAAGTAAAACAATGAGGATCAGAATGTCCTACCCATCAGGTCTTACTGGTTAATCTGGCTTGTGTAATCTTAGACCATATTTTCCAACACAAGTCATGCATAAGTCAGTGCTTAAGGTGGAATGGCAGCATCTTCTAAGACATTTTAACCCTCCCACTGTCTTCATGGGTGACCCCGCCAGGAAAGCTGACACGTGGCAGGGGTGAAGTGGTGCCCACTCCTCACCCCTGCCACGTGGACCTCAAGGGATAAACCATCAATCCTGCTCAATGGTCAACTTTCCTCATGGGGTCACCCATGAAGACAGTGGGAGGGTTAATTTATGTCAAACTGGAATTCCCAAACACGACTTGTTTAAAACGTGTTAATCCTGTCAAGAAATACAGAAAATTTCTATTTGTAATATTTTTGTTTTCATGTTCAGATTCAAAATGCCACCACTCTGCTCATCAAGCCCCTGGAGAAGTTCAGGAAGGAGCAGATAGGAGCAACAAAGGTGAGCGCTTTCATAGATTCATCTGTTTTAAAAATAAAACGAAGAAGTCACTGGTCAGCACAGGAAGCTCACTGGGTATCTTTTACTGTGTCAGTCGTGAGTCAGGTTTCTACTCAGCATCTGGGTGGTTTAAGAGACCTCCAAAATAAACCGTACCAGTTTACGCCCAGTTTTCACTCTTGTTTATTAAATGTTCATAACTGAGAAAGAATAGTCACAACTTTCTTCTTTCTCCTAAAACAGATCAGCTGAACATTGTTTTATTTAAACCTTTTTCACAGGATTTTCTGAAGTTTTAACACCTAACGCGCTCTGGTCAAAGTACAGCAGGATTACAGGATCTGAGTCTTATTAAGTCTGTTTTAGAGCAAATGTCCAGCTGCTGGTTTTAGGAGGCGATGTGTACGCTCAGCTCCACACATTCACTCTCCTGCAGGACGTGCGTTTAGAGAATTGGCTTAATTTCTGTGATTGAAACAGATTCTCAGTTTTCAAAACTTTAAGCAAATGAAAATCTGAAAGGTGTGGCACCTTTCGCTGCAATGGCAGCTGTACATCCTTTAGGCATGTCTCTTCCAGGTTTGCACATCTAGAGTCTGAAACTTTTGCCCATTCTTTGTTGGAAAATACCTCAAGCTTGCCCAGATTGGATAGATAAAGCTTTGTGAACAGCAGTTCTTTGTACAGATGCTCAATAGGATTTACAAGATCTGGATTTGACCGGGCCGTTGCAACACATTCTTTGGTCTAAACGCTTCCATTGTAGCTCTTGCTGTATGTTTAGGTTCACCGTCTTGCTGGAAGGTGAATCTCATTCCCAGTAACAGGTAGCAGCCTACAACAGGTCTTCTTCCAGGATTGTTCTGAATTTAGCTCCATCCATCTTCCCATAAACTCTGACCACCATCGCAGTCCCTGCTGAAGAAAAATTATCCCGACATCATGATGCTGCCTCCACCGTGTTTCATAGTGGGGATGGTGTGTTCAGGATGATGAGCATGCTCAGCTTTGAATGCTCAGCAGATACCTCGCTGTGTGCGCCTAATTTTCACAACAGTGGCCCATTGATCTGCAAGGTACCGTTTCGTTTATTTTTCTGACATGCAGACGGGGGCTGCCATCTTGGAATTGTGTGAGCGGAGAACACGCTTTGAATGGCCACTAGAATAATTCAGCTCAGCTGGCAGCTCACATAGCACATGCACGGTGAGTTTCTACACCCCGTGAGGCGAGAAATATCCAACCGGTTTGATGGTCACCTCAGCTTCTCTTGAGGCAGAAAACACAGTGAAAATTAGGCGCACACAGCAAGGTATCTGCTGAGCGGGGCAGTCATTCGAGGCCGTTCGCTCAGCAGTTTGCTCTTGTGTGCGGCAGGCTTAAGTCTCATCAGATCAGAGCCTCTACTTCCAACTGTGTCCACCACATGGCATACCATGTTTATTTGTATAGCACATTTAAAAACAGCATGACAGCTGACCAAAAGTGCTTCACAAAGGAGCATGAATGCTCTAAATGTGAGATTTGTGGAACACATGTCTTACAGTTGTCCTGTGGACAGATTCTCCCACCTGAGCTGTGAATTTCTGCTCCTCCAGAGTGACCGTGGGCTTCTTCGAAGCTTCTCTGATCAGTGCTCTCCTTGCCCGGTCTGTCGGTTTAGGTGGACAGCCATGCCTTTGTAGGTTTGCAGTTGTAGCATCTTTTTCCAATTTTAGATGATGGATTGAAAAATGTTCCTTGAGATTTTCGAAGCTCCAGATATTTTTAATAACCTAACTCCTCAACTTTATCCTTGACTTCTCCGGTGAATTTCTTGGTCTTCATGATGCAGTTCAATAATGTTCTCTAACAACCCACTGAGCCTTCACAGAACAGGTGTATCTATAACGAGACTAAATCACACACACAGGTGAGCTTTATTATCTAATTAGGTGAATTTTGAAGGCAACCAGATTTAACTGTTTAATTTTCTAACGTTTCTGCTTCTAGTGCACAAAAAAAGGCTGAAACCAAACTTCCTATAGAAATATTATATTTCACAAGTCCCATTTTTTCACATGACTTTCATTCTTAGCTTCAGCCCTCACAAAATATAATAACATTTTAACCCCTTTATTGCCAGATTTATAATCAAAACCAGAACTGTGGGGAAAAAAGTAAAAAGAAAAAAAAAATCAGCTGACTTGGAGTGTCAAAACTTGGTATAAACATATTTTTTCCTTACTTTGCGTTTTTTTAATGTCATATTTTCTAAAAAGTCACAGTTTTAGTCTTTGTGCACAAAATAATGCTGAAACAAAACTTCCTCATATATCCATCCATTCATCCATCCATTTTCCAACACATTCTCACACCCAAAGCGTCAAAAGCATGTGACCAAGCCTCAATATATGACGATTCGGGATGCCCCAGCGCGCCAGGAGACGACAGTCAGGGACACACTGATGACGTACCGTCCCAGAGCGTCGGTATCCGACGCCGGTGGTGAGACGGACATTAGAACGACTTGTGAACTACTTAACCTTCCCCTCACCCCAATACTAACTTAAGGTTAGGATTAGGGTGAGGGGAAGGTTAAATAGTCAAATAATGTCTGTGTGACCGCGGGCGTCAGCCAGCAGAGTCACTTGTCCCTGCGTGTCCCTGATCGTCGTCTCCTGACGCGCTGGGGCATCCCTACTCATCATATATTGAGACTTGGTCTCGCTTCATATTTTGACACTTTGGGAGTGAGAATGTGTTACAACTAATTTCTGAACCCGCTTGTCCATGTAGGGTCGGGGGTGGGGGGGGTGGGGGGGGGGCGGGGGGGCTTTGGGGATGGTGCCTATCTCCAGCGGTCAATGGGCAATCAGGCGGGGTACACCCTGGACAGAGAGCCAGTCCATCGCAGGGTAACAGAGACACTTACAGGACAAACAATCATGCACACACACTCACACCTAAGGACAATTTAGACAGACCAATCAACCTAACAGTAATGTTTTTTGACTGTGGGAGGAAGCCGGAGTACCCGGAGAGAACCCACGCATGCACAGGGAGAACATGCAAACTCCATGCAGAAAGATCCCAGGCCGGGAAGCGAACCCAGGACCTTCTTGCTGCAAGGCAACAGCTCTAACCACTGTGCCACTGCGCAGCCCACTTCCTCATATAATATTTCATATGTCCCAATTTTTTTAACATGAATTTCATCCTTCAGTCCTCACAAAATATCATAAAATATTTGTGTGTTTTTGAGATTCAACCCCTTTATTTCCCCCTTCATTGCCAAAGGCAGAAATGTAAACAAATGAAAAAACATGTAATAATTTTATGTGTTATGTCCAGATGATTTGTTTTGTAGGTGAATTTTCAACACATTGGAGTGCCGTAATGAATTAGTTTTTATTTGAATGCTGTGCCAGTTATCACCCCGCTACACATGGGGGAAAAACGCATTCTAGTGGAAAACAAAAAAACTTAAAATTGCATCTTTGGGACTCAGACATAATACGTATAATAATAAAAAAAATGCTAATAATATTTTAGCTTATTTGAAAAAAATATATATTTACATGGGAGTCAATGGCACAAACAACAGCTAAAGGAGCATCAATGCAATAAAATAATTTCAGCGTTATGTTAAATGGAGTAAAGGAATTTTTTTAAATAATTTTTGGTAATTCCCCCAAAAATAAACCTGCAAAATGAATTAGATAAATTGTATTAGAATAGCCAAAATATTCACGAAAAGACCTGTTTACGCAAAAAAAAAAAAAAAACACTAAGAGTTTGTGCTTGAAATGTGTGGAAGTGAATACTTTTGCAAGTCGCTGTAAAGATGATCTACAATCAGGCCCTGTTTTTCTTATTTATTTTTTTATAAAACAGATTAAAAGCATATCTTAAAATATATTTATGTGGCTCAGCTGATTATCATAAGACATTCATTTAATTTTGGCTCCTTTTTAAATGAACTGATAGTGATTCATCCTTAGGATTCGGTTTTATTATCATCAGCAGAATATTTATGCCCCGAAGGGAAATAATCTAAATTATTTATAATTTTTTAAAAGTCACACAGTAATTAATAACGTAGCTCTAGTTTAATTTTCTCTCACTTTGACTGGTCGTGTTTACTTTAACATCATTTGTTAAAGTTTTCATTATTTGAGGCTTTTAGTTTTTAGTTTTAATCTTTTTTTCCGAGTTAATGAATTATTTTCTATTCAATTGTCTCTAAACTTTAAAGCCGTTACCTTTGTGTTTTAGCCACAGCCAGTTTGTCGCGTTATCCACATTATTTAATAAAAACGTATTCATCTCTGCCTTTTTGTCCCAGTTCCAGAATGAGGTTGATTGATTTTTTGTTTAAAACTCGTTAAAATCTAAACTAAAACTGAACATTCTCACCTTTTTTACATGTCATGTTTACTTTTGACCTGTTCCACATGCAGCGAGTCGGGTAGGAAGTGTAAATACCTTCCTGCCACATCACATGGCTTCATTTATGATCAAAAGAATCATTTTCCTCTTTTTACCATCCCGGATGAAGCAGCAGTTCCTCATGTTAAATAGTTTATTTTATTTATTTTTTCTGCTTTGCTGAGATTCATTTGATTCCATATTTATTTAAAATCGAGGAACCATGAGGTGGTTCATAATTGACCTGAAACTGAAACATTTTGTCTGTTTTTTACGCTCAGCTTTGATTTAGCAATTCTTCTTGATCCGATCTCACCGTCATATTTAATGTATCCTGCAGGAGAAGAAGAAGAAGTTTGAGAAGGAGGGTGAAAAGTATTACTCCCTCCTGGATAAACACTTGAATCTCTCTGCCAAGAAGAAGGAGAGTCAACTTCAAGAGGTTCGGCTGGATTACGAGTGTTTGCATCAGTTCTGTTATAAAAGGTTAAACTGGTGGAACTGGGAATGTTTCTTCTGCAGGCCGATGACCTCCTGGACAAAGAGCGGGTGAACTTCTACGACTCCTCGGTGGAGTACGTTTACCAGATCCACCAGGTTCAGGACAGGAAGAAGTTTGATGTTGTGGAGCCGGTGAGTGTGGTCTCCCACTCTTCCTCTTTACGGCCACATTTACAGGGAAGAGTTTATTTTTACTGCCCACACATGAGTTATTGCAGCGTTTCTTTACATAATATGCACCTTCTGCTGCACAGGTGCTGGCATTTCTTCACAGCATTTTCACTATCAACAGCCTGGTGGTGGAGACAACTCAGGACTTCATGCCATACAAACAGGAGCTGCAGCTCAGCCTGCAGAACGTAAGTGGTGTTACCGACGCTTACAGAGACCTAATGTCCTCTGGATGTCTCTCAAGTGCTTTTTTCTGCATGTCTGCAGACAAGGAACCACTATGAGAGCACTTGTGAGGAGCTGGAGGAGTTGATGATGAGGATGAAAGAACCCTCCCAGATTTGTAAAATACAAAACTTTCTGCCCATGGAGGGCTTCTTATACATCCAGGAGAAGAGTAAGTTTAACTGGTTCCTTTAATTTACTCCGTTTCCAAGTCTTTCGTGTCTAATTTTATGTTCTGTTTTAGGGGCTTTGGGTGTGTCGTGGGTGAAACATTATTGTAAGTATCATAAGGAGGGGAAACAGCTGACGATGGTGTCCTGTGAACAGAAGCCCAACACTAAACAGGTGCCACAAATAAACAAAAGACTTTCTGAATGCATCGTCTCGCTCATCCATCGCTTTTCCAAATCGGTTTTCTTTTTTCTCCCGCAGGCTCCCACACTGCTCACCCTGAAATCCTGCATCCGCCGGAGGACCGAGTCCATAGACAAGCGCTTCTGCTTCGACGTGGAAACCGCGGAGAGGTGAGTCAACGCGAGAGCCTTGTGGGATAAACAGGTTCGGGCGACGAGGTGAACAGGTGGCTCACAAGGACGGGCTGTGAAGGCTAAATGGACTGTAGCCCAAACATTCCCCGAGCTACGGGCTGGCGCTGGAAACAGATGGCAGACTCTGGGATTTCAGGGGGAAGGGAACACAACAAGCTCATATTCATATAAGCATTTGGAGCAAAAGGCATTTGAATCACTGATCCTAAGATAGATATCTGAAATCTGCAGAAATACTTGATGTTTCAAAAGGTGTAAAATCTTCATGAGTTATGCATTCATTTGTGTCTGAACTGAAGCGGTTGGACAAACTCAAGGTGGCACTGCTGTCTCGTCTAGGAAGGAGTGCTGTGAGCTCACAGGGTTAGAGGCGGGCGAGCGCACACCTGAGGCCCTCCCGATGCTCACAACCTGACTTTAACATGAAAGAAGTGAATAATCGGGGATAAAATCTATAAAATAAACTAGTTTTCTTCCCAGATTCAAATCTGGAGAAGGCAACAATACCTGTGTGGAAAAGGCGATGACTGTTTAATGTGAAAGTTGATTTATTAAGATAGTTTTAGGGGTTTTAGTTTCAACAGAACCGTCTTCAGTCGTTTCAGTTAAGATTTAATTCAGCAGCCTACGAGCTGCTGGCGTCGGATGGCGTTTCTGCAAAAACGGCTTCTCATCTCTTCATGCCCCGTCTCATTCTGCTCCCGTCACTGCCACATGGGAAGAACACTTCAAAGACTCTTCCTCCTGGGGGGTTGTGTGGGGGGGGGCTCTTCCTCGCTTGGCCTTAAATAACCGAGTATGATTTGTTGTGAGTTTAATAAAACTGCTCACAGTGGTTGGCCGTTGTAACGCCGTGCATCCTTTCAGCTGAATAATTAAACTGCAACCTTTGCCTCTCTTTTAATGGCTTTTGTTACTGTTTCCATAGAAACGCGCCCGTCACTTTCCAGGCCCTTTCAGAGGGGGACAGGAAGTTGTGGATGGAGGCCATGGATGGAAAGGAGCCCGTGAGTTTGCCGCTCGCTCGTTTGTCTGCTTTTGTTTCAGCTTCCACGAGCGTTCGAAGCGAGTCTGGATGAAATAAAAAAATTTCGGTTTAATCTTTTAAAATCCAGGAGAAACTTCAGCAGAGACAGTAAACAAATAAATGATGGTACCATTGTTTTAAATTGCGTTTAATCACGTGCGTAGGTGTGAAGCAGAATCACAGCTGGAAGCTGGAGTTTGGCATTTATTAAGGAGTGACTTCTGCGTTGCAGATATGCGCGGTATTTTTGATGAAGCTTTTAGAGCACATGAAGGTATTTGTGTGCAGCTTAACAATGCCTCCAGGTTAGTTAACAGCCTCTCACAGCTATTAACTAATCATGCTTAGTTGTTAATGGAGCCATTTGTGGAAAAACGGACAATTTGTTGCTCCCACGACCTGTCTTTGTTCCCTGCATCTCAGAGTCATGCAATTAGAATTTCTCTCTCCATTGTCACCGTGAGTTGTGTTTTTATCTTCTGCGCGTTCGGCAGACGCTCTCCTCATCATATCAGTCCTGTTTTTGCTGAACGGTGCAAAGAGAACAAATAGAGGATGTGAAATTAACGCACGGCACACTTTGAATGCCTCCTTCCTGTGGTGCTTCCCCAGCAATCTCTTCACACGATGAAACTTTTACAAAAACATACAAAGCGTCTGCCACAGCAGCCTGAGAGCTGGAATCAAAATATTTAAAATACCGAAAACAGAGAAGTCGTTGGGTTCTTTTCTCGTGTGGGCAAAAAGAAGAGCTACAAACTAGACGGATGGACTTTAGCAAATGTTTTGGCTAATTTTTTCTCTTTTTTTTTGCATATTTGAAGTCCAAGAAGCTGACATGTTTGATCTCATGTCCCAAAATAACAAGTTATTCCTCACTTTAACACTTTTTAAAAGTATTTGGCAGCACTGGGTGAATTCCTCACAGTAACTGGATTTCTCTTGGCAGATTTCTTATTATGAAATCAATCATTCAAACGGTGGAAAAATGAGCTCAGTTTCGACTGTACTCGTTCTCTTTTCTGTCTCTGTTTCAAACGCATACTTGATTTGTCATCAAGCTGAAGTGACACGGGACAAAAAAGAAACGTTTTGACTTCAGAAACTAAATCATCAGAAATCAGAAACGTGTTTTCACACTCCTGCTCCCTGAAGGAGTATCCTGATCTCTGTGGAGGGACGGAGAGCTAATCAGGCAAATAATCAAAGCTTTGATACTAGAAACTTTGTCCAAGCGGTCTCAGAGTTTCTGGCAGCTTTACCTGCCGCCTGTTGAGCCTAACAGAAAAAGTACATCATATATTTTCCCTCCCCTTCACAGTTTCTGTTATTTTATGTAATTTAGATCTGTTTGCATTTAACCAGAACCAGAAAGCAGCCCTCAAACGTTCACAAATCCTCTTGGAAGCTACATCTCTTGGATTAGATGAACCATCATCAAGCATCCCCCTCTCCATTATAAGAAAATAGACAGATCATTAATCACGCTGGTAGATTTTTCCACATGCTCCCCAGTCTTCGCTTTTCTTTTACATTTCTTATTTTTATTTCAGATTTATCACTCCCCGATCCACAAGCAGGCTGAGAGTAAGTCGGTCATCATCTAACGTTGTAATAAAACTCTGTATTCTGTCGAACGCTCCTGTTTATTTTGGGTCTTTGTTCTTCCAGTGGAGCTGAATGAAACCGGGTTCAAGTTTGTGAAAAAGTGCATCAACTACATCGAGGATAAAGGTAAACGATCCTATGAACACCATCAGGCTTCTGCTGGTGTCCCGATTCACCTGTTGGGGGCGTCATTGAGTCGTATTTTCATGCTGCGCCTGCTCTCGGAGGGAAATCTGCATCAAACCCAAAGAGACGTCCTTTTTGATCAGAACTCTGTAGCCACATGATGTTTGTCTAGCATCTTCACATTCAGCAGATTTGAAAACCAGGACATGGGCGTGTAATCCCACTTAGAACATTTTTACAGCATATAAATTAAGAAAAGAACATCCTCTGTTCCGACTCATGCATGTGGTACATTTCCGCTGGATTCATCTCTCTCTTGAACTTTTCCTCTTGTTGCAGCGATCACACAAGAGGGAGTGTACCGAACGGTTGGCAGCAACATCCAAGTGCAGAAGCTCATAAACACCTTCTTTGGTGAGGGAGCGAGTCTGAGCTTGTTCTTTATCTGTACATTCACTCATCGTAGCCTGGTGTGTCCAAAACATGGAGCTTAGATGTAAACATGAATGCATGAAGCAGATGGAAACTGGTAATCTGGCTAATCTGAAGAGTTGAATTGAAGAAATGTGTAGAGGAAGGGCCTCGGGATTATTGTTGGAGGAAAGGTAGTCAGCAGACTTTTTTATCAACCATCTGATGGATTTGAATGAATTTTCATTAAACGTTCGACTAGAACGGTCAAACCTTCAGAGTCAACCTGATCCAAGATGGCTGCTGAAATGGATACGGCTCCTTCAATCCTAACAGATTGAGCAGTATGTTGTTTAAACTGCTCATCAAGTATTGTCTAATTCAGCGGTAAAGCAGAAGGTTTTGTGGTTTGATCGAAGCGATAAAACAAAGCTGCTGCAGATGTCTACAAGCTGCCGCACCAGGATCGATTGGCACGAGAGCTCAAGCTATGGAAAGAGTTTAAAGCATCTTCTAAAAGTTAGTTCATCACAGAATCTGGCAAAAAAACCACATTGGTTGTTCCTGATGTTGTTTTCTGTTTGGAGCAGGAACAATAGGAACAAACGGGTGGACCAGTAGAGAAAACTGAAGGCTCAAAGTTTTAAAAATGGAATAGCTGGAGATCAAATGAGATGATGAATCAATATTTTTCACTGTAAAAACAGATTTTATTTGCCAGAGGTTGTAAAATACATTTTATTATCAAATCTGTTGCCAAACCGTTTTATTCGGGCCAGGTTTTGCTCTAGCTCACTACAGTCGTATGCGGCAGCAATGCAATATCAGCGTGCTCAATGTCAGTGTTGCAAGGGCCTGCAGTAACTCACAGGCTCTTATATCTAAAGTGTTGTGCATTGAAGCATTCAAGCCCTGCATTTAAATAAACATTTTGACCAGTTAGATGGACTCCAACTACTCAGGACACCCACTCCCAGTATAGACGGCAGTGGTTTGGGATGCTAGAGTACGTTGTGAGCATCGTGATGACTCAACTGAAAGAGAGGCAGCAGGAAAGCACTCATTTCATAAGAATGTTCAATAATTTAGCTATTTTCTTGTAGTTTCAGTGTTAACATGCTTCTGTTGAGACAGCTTAGATTATAATCTATGAAGCAGACGTCGATGTTGGCATCTTGTCTGGTTTGTGCTGAGAAGTGACCACATTAAAGGACTGAAACAGAACCTTTACAGGTTGCTGCATGTTGATCTGTGGAAAATATTAGGACCTCTATACAATAAAGTTCCCTTTTGTAGTTGTGGATATTAATAATGCAGTGATAAAGTATAATATGCTAAAAAGTTACGTTTGCAAGTGCTCATTGTGCTTTCAAGGTAGTAACTTAGTCTGAAATGTTTATTATAGCAACTCTAGATGAAATATACAGATTTGGCTCACTATTTGGCAAGAAACCAGCCACTTTAAATTTTTATTCCCTTAATCATTGTGTCATAAACACTTACCAATGATTTACAGATGAATTTTTTAAATATTTACAAACAAGTTTTATAAGGAGAGCCTTATTGTACATAAGAGTTGTTGGAGGGCGTTGCTAAGCTGGTGTTTATTGATTGGTCGTGACGTAAGAGGTTGAGGCTTTGAGTTCAGCACATAACACACTCTACCAGCCTAATATGTAAATATTTAATTATCCTTTTAATCATTTTTATCTATCAAGCTGGTTTAAATGGTCTTTGTTGCTTCGTAGATCCAACAAATCCAGGAAACGTGGATTTCAACAGCAGCGACATCGATGATAAAACCATCACAAGCGCCTTGAAGTTTTATCTAAGGTTTGTTTTTATGTGTGAACGTAGGAAGATTGAGTCTGAGAACGATCAGTTATCACCTACTGACAAAAGTTTCTCTGTGTGTGTTTACATGTTTTTCTTTCTCCCACAGGAGTTTATCTGAACCGCTGATGACCTACGATCTGCATAGAGACCTCATGTGTGCAGCAAGTAAGGACAGAATATTTTTCTGAGATCAGGGAGGTTTGGTTTGAATCATCACAAACATCCGCAGAAAACAAAAGCTTCATCTTATCGGTTTAAAGGGTCAAAGACAGATTTACGAACTCACTAATCTAAATTCAAGGCATAAACGAGTCGTCTGTGCAGGCTGCAGGTTAAGCTGCTGTAGATCAGCGTGGACATTAAAGGGAATGTTTATTTTTCTCTGTCACAATAAAAGATTGTAAAACTGAGTAGACAGTAAGTTTAATAGCCTCGTTCTGTCCGGATGTTGCATTAATGCCCGTAGAAATACCGTTCTGTAGCTGCATGGAGCTCCTCACATTACACATCCTGACATTTAGAAGTCCTGTTTTTTTATTAGCCACATGCAGCTACGGTGGGTGGCCTCGACCCACAGCTAACTTCTTTATCATTGAATAGAAACGAGTCATTTTGCTTTCCTTATTTTTATTAGGCTCTGATTAAGTAATAGACATCTATGAAGCCATCAGATTATTTCATTGCTGTATGTTTTTTTTTTAAGACGCATTTCCTCCTAATCTGCCCAGCAGCTGCTGCCTCTCCTCTTTGGTGTTTTTCTTTTGTTTTGACGTAGTCCTATAGTCTTTCTAGAGGATTTAAAGCCACCGTAACATAAAAATAAAGCTTCTCTCGTATGAAGTCTCTGTGGTGTATTTTACATATTTTTACCCAACTTTCGGACCTCTAGAAATGTTGTTTGAAAGTTTTTGACTTTCCCATCTCTTCTTCTTAGGCTCGGTAACATCTACAATGCTCTGTGTTTATAAGCTAACATTAGGAATTGTGTTTTACTGTAAATTAATGTTTCAGACATAATAAATCCCAGTAGAGGGGTGTTTTTTAATGTAAAACACATTAATGTTTGGGTTTGTTCACTAAAATTGTCTGATTTCTTCCCATCACAGAATCAGATAATCTGGACTTTCGACTGAGTGAAATTCATTCTCTTATCTACAAACTACCAGAGAAGAATCGGGAAATGCTGGAGATTCTCATTACACACTTAGTTTAGTGAGTAAACATGTTGTCTTGTTGAGTCCCTGGAAAGCCCCGTCTTCTCCGTTGCCACTGTCTGACTTGAGTTACAGTTTTTAATCTGCCCAATCTGGCATCTGTTGACAGCGTGTGCAGCTGCAGTGATGAAAACCGCATGACTCCTTCAAACATGGCCGTAATCTTCGGACCCACGCTAATGAGAGCGAAGGAGGAGACGGTGGCCGCCATGCTCGATATCAAGTTCCAAAACATCGTGGTGGAGATTCTGATCGAGGACTATGAAAAGGTACAAATTATTAACCTTACAGGAACAAGTGGAAGCTCATTATTTATAAATGACTCATTATTCGTATAATGGAGGGGTCCTTGAATTTAAACCCACATTTATCTTGTTGAATAGGCAGCTTGGGGTGTCTCGTGAAGCGAACCAATGGCCACGGAAAAACAGTTTGTTCTGACAGAATCTGGTTACACACATCATAAGCGTAGACACGCCCCTTTATATTAGCATGTCCCAACCCACTTCAATGTCAGCCACATATAAACGGTGGTGGTGGTATTTCTAACCGCACAACAACACAAAGCTACTGCTAACGCTAGCCTTAACTAATGCTAATGCAAGCCTGAGGTACTGCTAACGTTCCTGTTGGACAAGAGGAAAACAACAAAGACATTCCAGGATGTACTGGGATTATCCAGACTGAATTAATCCCAGATAGATCCATAGATTGCCTATGGAGTTATCCAGATAGTAAACATAGTTTCTAGCAGCGTTATTGAGCCATCGAGGTAAGCCGGCCAATCAGCACATAGCTCTTTGAATATTCATGGCTTGGTTGAAAGGGCGTGGAAAGCCACTCTTTCATTGTAGGGCATTATAATGGTTGCTGGGCAATAATGTAGAAACACTCCTATTGCTACTCACTAATACGTTGTTTCTTATTTGCTACTTATTTGCAGCCTTAAAAAAAACTAAAAGGGAACTTCAAACTGCGGTTCCGCTGTGAGAAATGTGCTGTGATTTTTGAAATGGACAAGATTTCCACAAAACAATTTTAGCAAAACCGTCTTTGGAAGTGTGTGTCTCAGGCAGACTTCACTGGAGAAAGAGCTTTCAAAGCTTCAGTGGGTCACGGGAAATCAGACTTTTCATCCATCCATCCATTGTCTGGACCCACTTTTTCCACGTAGGGTTGCGGGGTGGGGGTGGGGGGGGCGCTATCTGGTGCCTATCTGGGCAATCAGGTGGGATACACCCTGGACAGAGAGCCAGTCCATCACAGATCAGACTTTTCATGAACTTGTTAAAGTTTTATCATTTTGAGAGATTTTACAGTAAAGTGTGATGATGTCACACTTCCTAAACTGACTTTTGTTCCGCATCTATGAGATCAAACAGCTTTTGCTTCTTCATACTTGTTATAAACCTCACTTATGGGCATTTTTGACTTCTCTCTAAAAATAGTTTAAAACCTTTCATGCATACATCACTGTAAGGGAAACTGACGGGTAACCATCAGATCGTCTCCTGTTCAAGGCGTATAGTTTTTGTATGGCTACTGTGCGCCAGACGATTGATTTATACTCTGAGTTTTCCACTGGCCATCTGCAGTCGGGGAGTAAGGGACACGGTTTCTCCCTTTAAACTTAAAATGTGTTGCAGTGATTATTGAACGTGCATCACCTCTGACCTGAGCTGAGCCTGAATAAAACAGACGTAGCGAGCCTGAACATGTTTTGTTTCTGTCGTTACAGACCCTCAGCTCCAGTCCGGAGGACTCCACCGCCCCACCCGTACTACCGCCGCGGGTCACCCCGAGGAAGCGCCAGCCCATAACGATCTCCAAGCGGCCCGCTCGTGTTCATCAGACTTTAAGTCCTGACCACTTCCAGCACACAGAGAGTAATTATCCCCCTCTGTAGACCCGATTGTCATCACCACCCCATCATCACTCCATCCTGTCTGTGCTGAACATACAATAGATGATTATTATGTTTTTTTTTTATCTTTTAATTTTGTTTCTTTTTTCTTTTTTAAAATCCTGAAATTGCATACCTGCTGGGTCTTGACATTTTCTAAAAAGTGTGCATTTATTTCAATAATTGCCACCAAAAATGAAATCTGTTTGTCTACTTACTCTTTTTTCATGTATTCTTCTTTTATGTTCAAAAAGAAATCATTTGATTATTTTTTTAAAAGCTCATTTTAAGTGCAAATAAATAAATCAGCTCTCCATTTAATCTTAAGTCTTTTTATTCTGAGCGTGTGGAGGTGAGTCATGTAATTTTCTGTCCGTTTGAACTCTTTGTGTGGATTTAAATGAGCAGAAGAAGCTGGGTGTGACTCTGGGACACTTGATAAACATGCTTTTCTTTAACTTCCTCCAAACCCAGGCGTTTATGAGAAAAAGTGACATCATCTCATTTAGTGCAAATCCAGTCTTTTACATTAAAATGTGCGTCGAGTGAACCTCAGAGAGAACACTAACGCATACAGTAGTGTTAATGCTGTCTTTTCATGACAGATGGACAGGATCACACCTCCATTGTGGATGGGGACGTCTCTGCAAGCCCCAAACACCTAAAGCCAACAAAACCCCCGAGCGGTGCTTCGCTCCTTCCAAGAGAACCTCCTCTCAGGCAAGGGTTTATTCCCAGACCTGCGAACTGTCAAGAAGTCGAGAGGACAAGTGATACACGGCAAAAGCCAGATTCCTCCCTGGCAGCGAACGGCGAGCCTGGGATCTGTGTGAGCAGGGTTGGATCGTTTCAGAGCCGAAAACCTCCTCCAAAGGGCACGACCGCCAACCGAGAAGGTAGGAGGAGCCACCTTTATTCATGCAACTCCTAACGATTTCTCTCATTAAGAACTTGTTTGTCTACTGATGGAAAATCAGCTTATTTACACAATATCCAAGTCAGAAGAAACATGAATAGCTTTTTCTTTTATTAGAAATTTTTAGATTGAATTTAATCAACTCATCTTGCTTGACTTGTAATTAATGGTGTAAGTTTTGTTCCTTCGTCCTGACGTCTCCTGGAGCAGTTCTCTGTAGCTGGAACATGCAGCCAGAGGGATTTTGGACAAATCCTTGAGACTAAAACACTCCAGCTCCTTCAAGCTCAATGGGTTTAGCAGTAATCCAGCTATTTATTCATTTATTTCTTTAAAGATTCTCAACTGGATTGAGATATTGCTTTGAGTTCAAGTCCAAGATATTTAAATATTTCCCACTTAGTCTCCTCCAAGTGTTGCTGTTATTCTAGGAGGTGGAGCTGCGCCTCAGCTTCAGTTTTCTAAAAGACTGAAAAAGTTTTTTTTCCCCCTCCAAAGAATTTTAACACTTTCAACATTTCTCATCAAGTTCCAGCTGTAATAAATCATCTCCACAGCATGAAGCTGCTCCCATAATGTCGGGACGATGTTTTCCACATCGTCGCACACGTGCTGTTTTATTCGACGATCAGGAATTAACGGTCTTGTTTGGAGTTTCTCCAAGAAACTTGAGTTTATGCGACCTAAAGACTGTGGTTTATTTTGGACATAAAATCCAGAGTCGGTTTAATTGTATGATTTAGACAAACACATCCAGCTTTGTTTAGCAGCTTCTATGTTAGCTCTCTGATTAACGCTCTTTACTGACTGGTTTATGGTGGGTTCTGTTTTTATACTCTAGGTTTTGTATAAGTATAGCATGCTGGTTTAGAGCCCCGCTCATCCAGGTATAAATATACGATTTTCTTTCTCGCCCTAGTCAGTCTGTGTTATTTTGGAAAACACTTGGCTGTGATTTGTTTATTGTGCATTCTTGGTGGTTCCTTGCTCTGGGAGTTTTCACTCAAATCTGGTACTAAACTGCATCAAATGCAACCATCATGCAGCCCCAGGATAATGCTGATGAATTTATTTGAAGACATTTTCAGACTGAGTCTGAGAGAATTCCTAGCAGCCACACGGGGGACGGGGAAAGGTTCCTAGTTCCTATCTGTCCGAACGCACGTAAAAAAGCGGCTGGTTCCTGAAAAGGTTCCCACATTCCGAATGCGCCTAAAGACGCCGGCCTCGTCGGAGGAGACGTTTAACAGGCTATCCCCCATTTCTCAGCAGTAACAAATCTTTGAAATGCATCTTCTGTGTTTTATTTTTATCATGTTCTATGCTAGCGGATAAACTAGCATCTTCCTTAATGTCCACCCTTATGTATTAATGTGTTTTTGTTCTTCAGGGAATTCTGACAGTCCGATCAGAACAAAGGCAGCAGAGAAACACCCAATTTGCCGACCTCCGATCAGGCCTCCAGAACCTCCCTCCAGGTTCCCCACACCGCAAAAGCCCCCTGGTTTAGTGATCAGTGAGGGCACGCCCACATCTTAGTAAGTGCTTTTGTAAAGGTCTCTGGCTTCCTGCTGTTTGATATGCTAATGAGGGATTTAGAGCAAAGCTTCAAGTCCAATTAAGCTCCAGGATTTAACTTTTTACAATCAAAAACAATAAAACACCTTTTAAACAACCTTAAAATCCTGATAGATTAGCAAATTCTAGTGGCTCAGGCATCTTCAGATCTCACGTCACAGTTGATTTTGTTCTTTTAAAAAATCAAATACTAAAAAACAAATGCATAAAAAAATAAAGCATTACACAATGTGTTATTGTGATGTATTTTGGAAACCGCGACAGTAACCAGCTGAGTATGAAAACAAAAAAATGTGCTGTTAATGTCAAAATAATTAAAATGCCCAAAAGTTGAATTTTCCCATGAACTAAATAATAAAACCTGCAGGTTTTTTTTTTATTTCTCTCTCCTGTTTGCAGCGTTGCTTCTAGGACCAAGTTTTTTGAAAATGCCTCCAGACGAGTTGGCAGGTGAGACCTTTTCATTCATTTTGCTCCTTTTCTTTTGAACGACTCGACACTAATCAGATACACATGCTGTTTAATGCATCAGTAAATGTCAGTTAAACAACGTGAGAGTGTGAAAAGAATTTGAACGCCTATTATATGCATCAGCAGTTAATCCTTAGGTTTTCATTCAAGGCGTCAAAGTGAATAAAGGCAAACTGCTGCATATTATTAAGCTTTTCTGTGCTTAGGGCTGTTTATTAGGACATTAAATTTATCTTTACTCTGGAGTTATTTAGATCCTTCAGCTCACATGTGATAAAAGTGTGTGTGTTGATTTTACGTCCCAGCGGGGGCTTTGCACAACAACCCCGGGGATGTTTTGTCACCGTAGAGACCAGACGGAGGTCTCTCTGGGATCAGATGGCTCGTTTTGAGTCAGGACCAAATTGTGTTTAAGTGGCAGCGTTTCTGCTGGACTGATGGTTTTTGGGCGTTTTTGGGCAGAGGCGGTTTCACATGCATGCTGACTATTCCCTGATTTTGACTCATGTGAGGTTGCTTGTTACACATGATGCAGTGAAGCCTCTGTCATGTGGAAACAAACACATCTGCTCTTTTATGATTTTCACGCGGCTGAGCCAAGCTACGGCCCCTGCTGTCGGCCCAGCGCGGCCGTAAATAAAGAATGTGGGAGGTTTATTGAGTCAAGCGCATGTTTTTGTTGTCCTTTACTGTTTGCTAACAGTTTGGGACATCAGATGCAGACCTTCAGTGTGATCTCGTGAACATAAATGGATTTTAATTTCTTTTTAATTCTTCTATATTTTAGTCCACAACTTTCTCCACTTTCATCAGGACCGACAAATGTGAAAAAAGAGGTACGAGTTTGTGTGTTTGTGTGTTTGGCTGGGTCATAAAAGCTAAACCCATATTTATTATTTTGCCCTAATTATTACAGAATTTTAGTTCATCGGCAGCCTGTCGTACAACATCATGCAGTTTAGAAAAACCAGCTGCAGTCTGATGTCTAACCTCAGCTGTTTAGAGAGTAATTGATTAAATGAATGACAAAGAATCTGTGTTTATTTCATTTGATGATTCTTTTCTTTATTCAACTAAAAAAAGTCCTTAGAGATACAATTTCTCTTCTTCCTTAATGATAACATAATCAAGAATAAAGCAACATTTGGGTGGAGTAAGGAAGTCTCATTGGGATATTTATCATTTTTATATTTGATATTATTTCAGAACTTTTTAAGATAAGTTCAAATAAGAAGTGTCAATAGGGAGCCTAAGTCACGCCCATCTAATTCCGGACCATGGGTCCCCGTAAGAACGAAAAGATAAATGCAAGTCGGTGGGGCTAAAAACGTCATTTCCTAACTCCGCTTGTTATGTGCCATGGATTTCACACACAGTGTCTGTGAATTTTAAAGTAGCATTTTGATGCCAAGAAAGCGCTTATTTTCAAACGAGGGGAATGCTAATTTAGGGTTTGTGTGAAAATAAGTCCAGGACTACAAATGCGCTTCACGAAAGTGACGTCATCGAGCAAGACGCGGAGAAAAACGGAGGGAAAATGGATGTAAGTTCGGCGAACTTGAAATCCTTCCTTCAGGAGGAAAGAACCACCATAAATCTGGCCATGTGGTAAGTAGCCGCTACGCTAGGGGAGAGGAGATTGTGTGGTGATGTCATATATGCGACGTGCAGATGTCTGGTGTGTAGTCATGCTAATTACAAACTTTTACAAGCTGATAAATCTCAAAGTACGTGACTGGCGTGGTCGAAACATCCATCATTAGTTTTCATTTAAATTGAAGTACAACATATGTGTGATCCAGGGCGTGAGGCAAAGCGGATTAGACAATAGCTCTTTTAGCCCCGTTGACTTGCATTCATTTTTTTTTCTCCCAGGGACACATGAGCCGACCAGAAAGGGAGGAGACTTAGGCTCCCGATTTAAAACACACAGTGTATGAATTAAAATTAATTATATTACAATTTTCATTTTAGCTCTTATTATTTTATATTTTAACCTTAATTTAACCCTTTTCCAGTGTTTCCTCTGTGGGAGCCCTCTGCCCCGGGGGTGGTGGTCGGCTGTCGTGGCCTGGGTGCTTTCCAGGTGTGCCTGGGTGGAGGTGGGGGTCTCCGCCCTCCCTGCCCTGGGCACCCTGTGTCGGTGCCTTGGCTGCTGCTGTGGATCTGCTGCTGTCGGGGCAGATGGCTTCCCTGATGGTGTTTCCTTATCTTAGCTGGTCTGGCTCATTCCATTGTGTTTTTTCCATGGGGGGGGGGGGGGGGTGGCATGTGTGTATGTGCGTGTGTGTGTGTGTGTGGTCGGAGGATGAGTGTTGTGAAGAGGTTTTTATTCTCAGACTGTTTTCAAAGTCTGGGGATGGGAGGGAATGTGGGGATGCGGGGCCTTTTTAACTTGTTAAGCACGTTGAGTTACATGCATTGTATGATTAAGTGCTATATAAATAAAGTTTGATTTGATTTGATTTAAACCAAGCCCCCACAATGCCGCTCAGAAAATGGTCCCATCCCGGAAGTAAGAAAAATTGCAGTTCCACCCTCATCCGCTGGGGGCTGGTGCCAGAAGCGAGCAAATCCTCATTGACTCCCATGTTAAAAATGCCGATTTCACAGCAGAAATAAACATGTTTACAGCCTGGTGCCAAAACATGTTTTTTGTCTAAATTATCTAGTTTATACTCATGACAACTCTGAGGGGGGTGAATTTTTTTCTCACTCTTCTGTTTAAGTGTATTGAAAGCCTAAAATTCTGTATAATTAATGAGCATCCGACACACGTGACCGCCGCCTCAGACCCACGTGACCACAGAGCTAGCTCCGTGGAAAGGCCTCAGTACAGCCTCGGTCTGGCTTGGAAACTGCTCCGGCATTTTGAGTCTCTGTGTTTGTGTATTCTTCTTTGGATATTATTGGTGCAATTGTTGGACAAAATGACTTGCAGTGGTATTAATTGCACTAATAGAGCGTCCAAGGAGTCTCCACTTCATTTTTTTCGGTAAGTTAAAATCTATATTCGTATTTTATGTCACTGCCACCTTTAAACTAGCTGAGTTTACCGAAGTAGCTAGCTAACTATCAGTTTAACATGTAGCATGTACTGTTTAACCATGAAATTTAAATGTAAAATACGGTAAAATAATTAATAGGGCATATTTAGATGGGTAATAGGGTAAAACCCAGTGCATTTAAGATAAAAATGGGTTGAAATATGACGGAGCGCTAAGAGGGAGACTTCTGTGTCCATTCTTCCATCCGGTAATCCCCAGCGGTCAGGCCGGGCAGCCTGACCGATCCGGTGCCTACTTGCTGCGCCTAGCTGCTGCGCGGTCTGACCGCTCGTGGAGTTTTTCATGTCTGACTTTAACCGCATCTAATACTGTATTACGGCGTGAGCGCAACAGCGACAACTTAATATCGATGTGTAAGCAGCCTGAGTGGTAGGGTGTTTTCATCTGAACCCTTAAAACCTCCAGCAGGCTATGCTGCACTATTGACGTGTTAGCGCGCGGCGCTAACAACTTAGCAACGTGACATGTCTCTGAGAAAGCGTAAAACACGGACGCTTCTTCTGAAGCGGAAAATAACACCTCTTCTTAAGCAGAGCAGGATGTCGCCTCGGCTCGTTCACGGCCGAGCCGGACTGAGCTCGATAACATTGACCAAGCACAGCCACTGGGCCGTTGTAGCTGCCACCAGGCCTGCTGAAGGAACTCCAGCGGGTTTCATCAGACTCGTAAAGTTTCTTGTTTTTGCTGGGGATTTCTGTATTTTACCGCTCCCTCCTGCACTCTTCCCCTATTAAAATTTAAAATGTGTAACTTTATGTATTGTGATGAATGACTAATATTCATGTAAAACTAAAACGTTAGGCATTTAGGGGGAAAAAACAAAATAATAAACATTATACAGATGTCAAATAAATCAAACTGTAATTAAACTATATATTTTCAAAGTCATATAGACAGCATGATGGTTTGTGTGATCCGCGCGGTTTCACTTACACCCCTTTAATGATCAGGCTGTTTTTTATTATTTTTATCAGCTGATAGCAGTTAAAATTATGGTAAAAAATACTTTTATCTGTTTTTGATAACTTAATGCCCAGGAAGAGCATCTTCCTGGGCATTAAATATAACCAAAATGTTTTATTATGAGCAGATCTGATGAAGGTTTAGACAAGCAGTCTGCAAAGTAAAACTTGTTTAGAGTCCAAACTCTTACTAAAGCTTTTAAAAAGAAAAAATGGTTGAATTTTGAGAAATATCCACAACAGGGGAGCGAGACCTCTGAAAAATGTATATTTTCTCTGAATTCATAGAATAATGTGAAGATTCTGGGAAAAGTTGGGATTCTGAGATTAAAACGTAAATCTTTCTAATCATAATTCTGGCAGTTTTTGTGTCCTTCTGCTGTGGAAAGTCGTGCAACATGAAGATACTGAGAAGATGCTTACAACCTGTATTTTTATTCCATCCATAAATAAAATCATGAGCTATTTTTTTAATCCAAATTTGATACAAAGGGCCATCGTTGGTTCCAGACCCGTTCTAGAACATTCCTCTAATCTTAAAGTCATCATCAGTTTCTTCCTTTTAACAAATATTTATTTGTTCAAATATTTAATATTTATAACTGGAATATTTGTTCCTCCCTCTCCCACTGCAGTTAGTCCTGTCCTGCAACCCTGTTTTTGCAGCTTAGTGAAGCCAACCATCACTAACCTGGGGGTGGTTTTGGACCCAGAGATGCGGATGGACTCCCACATTAGCCAGGTGGTTAGATCCTGCTTTTCCCGGCTTCGCCAGCTACCAAAGATGAAGTCCATCCTGAAAGACGTGTCATATTTTCTCCCCAAGCTGGACCTGACCGTCATGTATCGGTCCAAAATAGTGTGATGATATTGTGTTTTTTGTACATAACAGACTTTTTAACAGACAAATTTGTCGCATTCTCCTACACCTCTTCACGGGCTCGCCACAGTAAATATTCTATTTGGCAAGAGATAAACTTTATTGTATTTATCCTAGTGAATCTATAATTAAACGGGTAAACTAGCAGTAGCACATCCAACATCAAAGAAAGTAAAATGTTACTATCAGGAGAGGGAGAATGTTTAAGTGGTTAGCAGCAGTGTGCTAGCCGATGGCCCCCTCCATGAGGCCACCACAGCTCAGCAGAACATCGTTGTAGCTTCTTCTGGGGAGAAAAACACTTGGAGAAAAAATAAAGTTAACAGCTGAAATAGCAGGAAAGAATACAGTTAAAGAGCAGATTGTAGAAGAAAGAAACCCCTGGGTTAAACTGGTCTGTCTACTGCATAATGCTGAACTCTAACATGTGTCCTCAGGGAAGGACCTGATTGGTGTCCAGAACCTGTTGAAGAAGCACCAGGCTCTGCAGGCTGAGATCACAGGTCATGAACCTCGCATCAAGGCTGTCACCCAGAAAGGAGAGACCATGGTGGAGGAAGGTAGAGCAGGTCTGGTCCTGACATGTTTCTGAGGTGTCTGCAGGTTCTGGCTCACTTTTTTTGGGTCCAGGTCACTTCGCTGGTGAGGAGGTGAAGACTAAGCTGTCAGAGCTTCATGGACGTTGGGACACGCTAAAGGCCAAGGCGTCCCAGAGGAGGCAGGACCTGGAGGACTCTCTGCAGGCCCAGCAGTAATTTGCGGATGCTAATGAGGCCGAGTCCTGGATGAGGGAGAAGGAGCCCATCGTTGGAAGTCCAGACTAAGGGAAAGACGAGGACTTGGCCGAGGTATGGAAGTCCCTTCCTGAGAAACTCCAATCGCTTTTCTTTGCTCTCTTTCCAGTCCTTCATAATTAGTGTTTCTGTATTTGTCATTTCCTTCGGTTGTCTACCAGACATCGTTGCTCGTTTGAGCGTCTCATGGGTTAGGGGTAGAAGTGCTGGCCTCGCACAGGAAGTGATGACAAACGTGTTCCCGGCGCTCTTATTTCAAACGGTTTACAAGCTGTGATGTGTGTTCCCGCTGCAGAGCAGCCATGACACGTGGCAGCCGGCAGAAGGCTCACGCTTTTCCACTAAACACCCGCAGAGCTGCGTCTGCGGTGAACTGAGCAGGGTTTGTTTTACAGTGGCGGATCCGATTGGACCATCGCTGCGAGAAAGCTCCACTTGTGTCAGACGAGCTGAAGGTTCTGATGTTCTGCTCCACAGGCTCTCCTGAAGAAGCACGAGGCCCTGATGTCGGACCTGTCGGCTTATGGCAGCAGCATCCAGGCCCTGAAGGAGCAGGCCCAGTCCTGCAGGGTGAGTTCAGAGCCCTCGGCCCGTCAGAACATTCTTATCCACCACGTTCTAACACCAGACCTGTTAACCCGACAGCAACAAGATAATCAGCAGGTGCTTTTGTCCTGCAGGACCTGAAGGCCAACGAGTCCCGCCTGAGGGACATCAACAAGGTGGCATCTGAACTGGAGTCAGAAGGTCTGATGGCTGAGGAGGCTCCTATGGTTCAGGCTCAGGTGAGCGTCACCTGTCTGCAGCAGCTGGTCCCTCTCACTTCCTGGTTTGTTAACTCTGCTCGTCTCTGTTTGTAGCAACAAGAACATCTGGGTTCTGCTCCTGGAAAGGTGCATGTTGTCCTCCGCCTCAACCAGAACCAGACGTGGTGTTTATGTTACCACTCATTTGTTTGTTTGTTTGTTTGTTTACAGGACGAAGCCGACTCTTAACACGGCGTCACCCTGGAAGGTGAGTTCATTCAGCTGATCAGAGGTCACCTCTGATGGCAGCAGTCACGGCCGACCGTGCTGACATCACACAGGAATTCAGGTGACCCAGCAGGCACCAGGTGCTGGTGAAAGTGGGGACATGTCAGCTGGTTGCCATGGCTACAGTTATCTTTATGCATCTGTATGACTGCTGACTGGTGTGTGTTTCCTGTGACCTTTGACCTCAGACCGTACGGTTGGGCGTTCAGACGACGGCTAACTTTAATTCCATCAAGGTAAGAGGAAGCTCTTCCCTTCCTGTCTGAGCGATCCGTCTCCAGGTTTCTTCGTCCGGCGTCCAGCCCGCTGGCGTCCACCTTCATCTCACCTTCATCTCATCTCACTTCATTTATAGTGCAATACTTTCACATTATCATTTTCCCACACTTCTGTATACCTGTATTTTGTTGTTTTTCAATAAAGAATGACAAATTATTTAAGTTTGGTTTTTGTTGCACACAAATATATATCTGTAAAAAATATCTTCAAAGCTAATGTTTACATAACAAGTATGATTGGGTTTTGCAATACGGCACTCAAGTTTATTTTAGTAAGATTTTCAAACCAAGTAAAGTTAGTAAAGAACACATTTCTATTGTCTGCTAAGAAACTGTTGGGATTTAAAATGGGCCTGTTGTACAAATAACTTGTAAATGATTATTCCTCACTTTTGTCTTAACCAAAGAAATTCCAGTAATTGAGCAAAAACATTTATTTTTAACACTACATTTTATAAAACAGGGCACAGTGTCGGCACATGTATGTATGTCGATGGTCCGCCCCAACCGAACCAGGAGACACAGACGTCAGGGAGGCCAAGGTTGTCTCTGCAGCTCTCTGGGCACCACGCCTCACTCAGCTGTCTCCAATGATCCAAATGGCTATGGAGGAAAAAAAATTTAATAAAAGAATGAAACTTAAAAACTCCCAAACCTCATGTCATATTTACTAATCAGCTATGGCTGATTTATTGTTTGGATCACAGTGAGTTACACTAATTCTAATATATTTTTATTTCTATTATACATACATACTTTTTAACTGTTATTTTCACATGACTGTTATCAGGCTCTTGTTCTGGTTCTGATGATAACTCTGTGTCTTCCAGTAAGTTATCTTGTGCTTACTTCATCTGTATAATGTCTCTTTACTTTTGGTAAATTGTACTGAGTCCAGAATAAAGGCTAGCTGGCTGTACAAGATACAAACAAGTATTACGTTTTGGAAATATATGAAACACCGCCAGCATCTGTTAGAGCCTGTGGCGGGGTGCTGAGGGCCGGCTCCAGCCCAGGAATGAGCTCTACACGCCGGCCGGGAGGGTTTGAAACACCGCCATCCTCTCTGCTGGCTGTTCATTCTGTTATGGTTACCGGTGCTTGTGTTGCAATGTGAAACGCTTGGTCTCGGATTTTGTAAGAAAGATAATAAAATGTCCCCCCAAAATACGACTTAAATATATTTTCTCTTCTTCATGATACATTTAATGGCTGGTGCGACTCAGGAGTGATAGCGCCGAAAAAAACTGTACTGAAAACTTGCTCAAAGCAAAATGTATTCATTACGGAAATAAATTATAAACTTACCGATTTAAAACTTTTTTAATACAGGTACTTCTCACGAACAGGCGCAGAAAACCTCCACCTAAACTCCGTGTGAGGTTCAGGTCGATGGGTGTTCCAGTTAGCTCCGGTTGGGTTGAAGCTAGGTGGCTACATCCGTTAGCTCGGCTCCCACCTCCGCTTTAGCTTTGGGTTAGCCAGGGTTAGCTTCAGGTTAGCTCGTAGCTAGTTCGCCTGGGTGTCGTCACTCGAGCCCAGCCTTACAGCCACACCCTCAGCGCCTCCTCTCTTCCCTTTTATGGAATTGTCTGGGCTGGACGGAACCTGTGACACGGTCAAAATGGCGGTGGTGGACACCTCCCATTATGGACAGATAACGCGTTATTGAAGCCTATGGAATCGAATTGTCCAGTATATGTACAGTCTATGATTTAAACACAGAAGTTAAAGCTCCCTCTAGTGGCTGGTTCCTGAAAACGTTTTTAAGTCCCGCCCCCTCATTTTAAATGAATGGGACATTTTTCTTTCTTAATAAAAAAAACACCTCTCGTCTTACTTGGTAGATGGCTTCTGCTTATTCAAGTAGCTACTATATTGCAGCTGCTTGTTCAAGAATTTATTTTCCTAACATGTTTACTTGTAATTAAATATCTGACGATTTGAAATGCCATGGTTGTGAGTGGATATTTTCAAAAACAAAAATTTGTTATCTTTAGTTACAGGTTCAAGGTTGGAAACTCTAGAGGTCATTGATTTTACAGAAATATTGTTGAATAATCTGTTGGACTCAAATCAAACCGCTAAGATAATTAAACAAAACAAAATGTTATGTTTTGTATTGATCCACTTAGAAAATATCACAGTACTTACAATAATACTTTTTCTTTACGTTGCCACAGCGACTGCTGTTTCGTGTTTTAAAACATGAAATAAGAACATTTACGTTTATTTCCCTCATGTGACGAACCATGTGTTTTTGTCCACAGAACTGAAAATAAAGTTTTACAGTCAACAACGTCGTGACCTTGACATGCTGCTCGTTAAAGGAGTCGCCACTGATTCTCTCAGAGATCAGCAGAGGAACCGGTTCCTAAGTAGAACCCAGTGAGTTGGAGAGCAGCGGTATGTTAATAGTTATTCTGCACCCGTTGAGTTAAAACAACATTATTGTTGAATTTAACAAATTTTAATTACTCTTGGCCCATGTTTTAGTTTCCTTTATAAGATTAACAGCTGTGCTGGTTTTTACCAGTTATAACTACTTATAGCCAGTTATAACTGTTATAACCAGTTATAATTGGCTATACTTGGTTAATCAGGTTATAACCAGTTATAACTGGTTATAACCAGGTATAACTGGTTAAGGTTTGATTTCAGAGGCCCTAAAGAAAACTGACTAATGGCTTAAGCTATCATTTTAGAAACGTACTTCTGAGATAAATATGTTATAGAGACTACAGTCAACACTATGAATATCTCGATCTATTATATTTATTATTTGTTTAATAAACAAACAGCACTAAAAGAGGCACTAATACCTTCTGGCTTCAAAATGTTGATTTTGAAACTAATTAATGGAGTTAATGAGGTTTTAATTGTGTCTTTTGGGACTTACAGTGTTGAGAGTTTTAGCTTGAATCCCAGCTGGTTTTAGGTTAAAGCTAAACATTCACCTTTTACCTGGTCTGGTACCTCAAATGAAAGACTGTGTTCATTTGCTTTAATTAATGTGATTTTATTTTTCTTAAAAAAAAAAGCTTGTTTGTTTCAACTTTAATTTGTTGAATTTTGTGAATATAACACTCCATGTTTTGTTTTCACTTGTTTATTATGCTCATGTTACACTTTTAAAACTCTGGGAAAAAAAAAAAACACTCAGATATTTTTTTCCAACTTTTTAAGAACAGAAAAATGAACCATGAAGGATTCTTGAAGTGACTTTTATGTTTGCATTTTTCCCAGATAGTTTGAGCTCAGCTCAGTATTTTTCTTGCATAATGCAGCATTCTCTATAAACACAAGTTATCTCGTGAAGCGTTTTCTTTTTGTTCATCAACATTTGATGCAAATCTGCTCCTGAAGGACTAAATCAAATTTCAGCATAAGCTATTTTATTGCAGATTGTGTTTTTTTAATGCTGCTTGAATGTAGACATTTGAAAAACTGAATTAAAGCCCTCTTTGAAATTAAAATATTCTTTGAAAGTGTTGTTTACATCATATGCACCAATCAGAACCGGGACAGAGGACGTAACATAAACAAACACATCTTTGTTTGTGTCTTGTGGGGATTTGCATCAGGATGACTGACATAATGTAATCCGTATTTGAACTCTTAAAAACGCTCTGAGCCCCGAGCAGCTTTTCAAACTGAAGGCAGCATCATGGGTTCAAATTATTTGTCAGATGCAAGATAGAAAAAAAATCTGCAAACAAGAATACAGAAATGAATCACTCTTGTGTTTTGTGTTAATTTATTGCAGCAGCAAAGAGCAGCGCTGGCGGATTTGTTGGGCTCTAAAGGCAGGATCTGTGGTGTTTACCGCAGCATGCTAATGTCAGCATGCTAACATGCTCTCCATTATGATGAACCAGAATTTATGTCTGCCCCATGGATCATGGCGCCATAGTTGAAACCAGGGATCGTCAGTCTGACAACTTTCTCCTTTGGAGACAATAAAATTTAATGGGATACTATGAAATTGTTGAAATCCTAAAACTTGAAGCGGATCTTCAATCAGAGGACACCTGGTGCCTCCACTGCTCTTCAGCTCTCCTGTAAATCTTTACGACTGTCTCGACACACAGCTGGTCATATGGCTTCGTGGGATTTTGACTATTTCAAAGCAAAAAGAGAAAAAAATACTAGAAATCTGTGGTTATCTACATGAAAATATGTTTCCAGTTGGACATTGTATTAATTTTGCCATCCACTCCTCCTGCACATTCCAGCTCTCCACTGCCATAGCCAGCTCATAGCCCCTCCGCGTTGGCCCGGTTCGCCCCCACCGGCTCACTCTGAACCGGTTGGCCCACATGGAGGCTGAGTTGAAGCCTCCATGATAATTTCTTCATGCCTTGTGTGGCCCGGAGCTTTGGTAAACTAATGTGCGGAGAAGAGTGTGACAGTCAGATAAGCAGTGTGATCGAACTGACTGAACAAAGCTTGCTCTCATTAAGACTTTACACCGATTGTTACACAGCCCCCCCCCCCCCCCCCCCCAAATAAAAACGAGAAATATTTAAACTTAGACAACACGGCTCTTAAAAAGGGCCTAAATGCTGCTAAAAGCCTGTCTTCTTCATGTTCAATTAGCTTAATCTTCCTCTTCTTCTGAGACATTTATGTAAATGAAAACTTGGGGAAGAAAACAACTCTGCACACATTTTCTCTCAGAGATATTTTAATTGACTTTGAAATGTGATGCGACTTTACATCTCTGAAAAAAACACGCTTGCAAAACACAGGTCACAAAAGATATAAATCAAACAGGAGATTAATCTGAAAGTGTTTGAACATCAAAAACACATTAAAGTGATCAATATATACATTTACTGTAGCATGTACAAAGAGCCTTGTCAGAATGCAGAAAGACATGAGAAATCTAAATTATGAACACTGCAGATTAAATCATTTGAATCAGGATTAAAAGTTCCAGGGCTCACTGACGTGCACGGTGCACGTGCACAATGCGTGACAAAAGCTACAGTGGGTAAAACGCAGGATTATTTTGCTGCAATGGCGATCTGGTGCGTTCAGGAATTGTAAGAGGGTTTGAAATCCATCTCTGGATTTTTGATTGAATAAAATCTGCACTTTTATAAAGTAGCTAATTTAAAAGTTTCAATTATTTTTTGAAAATTATCCAAAAACAAGCCGACCATCGCTGCACAAGAAAATGTTCCCTTGTCCTGTCTGTGTGGATCAGTGGTGACACCGCCGGTCGGTGCACAACTAACAGAATGTCGCAGGGAAACTACAGCACAGCTCAGCGTTACACACACACACACACACACACACACACACACACACACACACACACACACACACACACACACACACACACACACACACACACACACACACACACAGAGGAAAATCCGCCGGATACATGCATCTGCAGACGTGTAAAAGGAAACCGTTAAAGCCTGCTAGATTTACAGAGAAAAAGATCAATGTTGGGTAAAATAAAAGCCGGGAAAATGTTTATTTTGCAGAGAAAATTATTTGCTGAAAGATGATTTTAACTATTATTTTTTATCTGTAGGTATTTTGTATTTTTTTCATTCTAATTAATTAATTTCTGCTGATTATACTTTGGAAAAACTTTTGTCTATTTAATTTCATATATCTAGAATGACATTCAAGTATTTATGATTAGTTAATATTAAAAATGCCTCTTATCCTTTTTTTAGGCCTTTTGCAAACAGCGTACATTATAATGTTTTTTGTGTTTTGAGTGTCTGGGATCGGTTATCTCGAAGACATTCCACGGATTCTTTTTTCCGTCTCTTCGGCAGTGCCGGTCAAGGACTTTCACTCTCTCTACGGCTTCCAGCTTTGAGTTGGCTTTGACTTTAAGTTTGTTGCCCTGCTGGAACATCGCCGTTCTCGTCTGAGATCTCTGGCGCTGTGGATTGGAGGCTGTGTTTTACGTCCATGCTTCTCCAACGCCGTGTGGCATCGCTGACGGTGGCAGAACTCTGCACACTGCTCTGTGCCTTTTATCGGGTTTATTCTAACCCTTTCTGATTTTCTCTTATGTGTGCTAATTTGCTTAAAAACAGAACCAAACAATTACCGACACTATATACATAACCTACCAGTTTGTGTTTCTTCACAAATTGAAATATCATCAAAATCTTCACCAAAAATCACTTGATGTTGCTTTTAGATTGATTATAAACCCCTTTTTCTTCTTATTTACACCATCTAAAATAAAATTTGAAAGCTGCTGAGTAGAAATGACTTAATTGTATTTTTTTTTATTTTTTTTTTTACAAATAATATCAAATCAACACTACAAATGTTCAAAATCAGAAAGAGCAGCAGTTAAACATGCACAGCGTCCCGTTTGTAGGTCTGTTCTGTGTGACCAACACTGTGTCACGGCTTAAGACGACGTGTGAATGCTGAAGTGGGTAAGTTTTGTTTTTAGTTGTACAAAAAAAAAATAAAAAAAAACTTGAGTAGACTCTGTCACCAGCTGCTTAAAGCTTACTCTGCGGTGGAGCTTGTAGTACATTATGTGTTTTACAAGCAGATGAGAGTATATAGTCATTATTAAAATATACAGAGTGAAGTTTTGTTGTTTGACTGCACCTTCGAATATCAAATCTGAAGTTTTCCCACCTTTTTGCTTTGACAGTAGTTGTGCACACACTTGGCACTCTCCTCACAAACTCTTAGCTAATCATCATTCCCAAAAACACATTTTAGCTACTAGTTAACCAACATTAAAAGATGATGCTTAGCTGGCTGCATAAAAAGTTTTAATTAGTTACCAGTGATTTCTACACTGGACAGACAACTATAATAACCAACTGGGACATGAGAGAAACACACCCTGGGTTTAAGTCTGATAATGTCTTATCAGGCCACTGGGTGGCGTCATTTTTCAAATTAGATGTCTTCCTTTAAAACTGTTGTTGGTCAGTAGAGCGTAGAGTTTCTCCCTGGACATGATTTATCTGACTCACCCTTTATCAAGAGTAAATCACTAATAATTTGAATAAAAATCAGTGTTTAGAACAACTTAAGTGTGATAAGTTCAGTATTGAGAGTATTAGTCCTACTTGCTGTGAATTTGCATCTGTGTTTCTGGATCCTACTGTGGAGCATAAAGGGAGCAGTGTGATGGTGTGGGGTGTTTCAGTGGCGACATATGCTTCATGCCTAGACTGCCACAGCTCAATCACACCATCAGCATGGAAGCCTTGAGACAACTCTTTAGGGTGTGTTGCTGGGACAAGCCCAGAACGTCTTTGCATCATGACGGGAATGCTCTGCTGACAAGTTAAATTATACTGCAAAGAATGTTAGGGGCAGGAATAACAGCAGGGGGTGTTAAAAGTTAAAGTCCCGTTAGTTATCATACTGATGTGTGGTGAAATTTGTTCCCCGCATTTGACCCATCCTCTCGGGGGGGCGGTGAGCTGCAGACATGGCTGTGCTCGGGAATCATTTGGTATTTCAACCCCTCCTTAAGGCTGAGTGTCAAGCATTGGGTCCTGTTTTTATAGTCTTTGGTATGACTCAACCAAGGATTTGAACCCACGATCTCCTTAGTCTTGGGGTGGACACTCATGCCACTAGACCGTTGAGCTGGAACGCATATTTGGTGAGTACCGGGACAGTGTAATGTGTTTAGGATTAGAGATTACACGTCCTCTCTGGGGAACCCTAACCCTAATAGGTCAGCTCCTCCGGCAGGACCCCAAGGCGTTCCCGGACCAGATTGGAGATGTAACCTCTCCAACGTGTCCTGGGTCGACCCGGGGGCTTTCTGCCGGCAGGACATGCCCGAAACACCTCCCCAGGGAGGCGTCCAGGTAATTTAAAGTCCAGAATTTAAAGTCCCTGTTGCTTTCTTCTTTTTCTTCCTTTTTTCTGTAATCTCTATTCTGTTTTTCTCGTTTTTTCTTTATTCTATCTTTTCAATCTTCTTCTATTCTGTTCTTTTATTCTGCTTTGATACGAACCAACAATTGGAGGGGAGTTTCTGAGTGACACGCGCCGGCCCGTGCATTGCCAGTGACTCTCTACTCCAAACTGTTTTGGTCAAGGTACTGATTCAGGGGGATGTCACTGAGATACATCTACTCCACCTAATAGGTCAAGGACAGTAGTGGGCTCTTTATCCAGTGTTGGGGGATTTTTGGAGTTGGACCATCCAGAGTTTCTCCAACAGAACAGTGACCCAAACACATCTTCAAACTATAAGATTGTTTCACCTTTGAGGTGACTGATGGAGGGCTGCGTGGAGTTTGCATGCTCCCACCATGCATGTGGGGGTTTTTTCCTCCATTTTCCTCCCCCTGAACAAAGACATGCACGTCACACTTAAATGGTCACCCTAAACTGTCCCTAGACTTGTTTTGTGTCTCTGTGATGGACTAGAGACACGTCCATGTTGTTCCTCTACCTCAGCAGGGCTGAAACAAGCATCCAAATGATGACCTCACGAAGCTGAATGAAGGAATGCCACGACTGAGCAGAAACCACCACCAAACCAAAAGAAGCTACTTTGTTTTTGCTAAATGTGAAACTTCTTTGGAACTATGTAGCTCACCACAGGATTTCTTCTGCTGTTGAGTAGTTTGTAGCACAATACATGAACAAGTTTGTTCAAACTGACTGGAAAGACTGTGATATAAAGAGATATTTTCAGCTGCCTCAAAGTGCAAATCTCAGTAAAAAGGGTGATTATTCCACTGGACTTCCATATTTGTAAAACCTGTGCTGGTATTTGGGACCTCGTGTCTGTTTTTCATCTGCAGCTCCACAACAGCTGCTAGAAAACTTGTTGATATTTGCGCATCAGCGCTTTCTGTCTTTTGGGATTTAGTTTACATAATTTAGAGCACTAGGTTTGTGTTCCTCAGCTGCACCGCTGACAACCCTAATGACCTGCTTTCGTTTCGCGGAATGCTCGAGTCCGCTCGAGTCTAATCGGGAGAGTTTTTATGGTTTTCCTTTGTAGGCAGCATTCTGTATCGGTTACTGTTTTATTACAGAGTCGACCGAGGTTCCAGTCCAGATGAGCCGATAATAAATGCTGACGTGGAAACCTCCAAACAAGTCCTGCAACCAGAGGCAGCCATCCACGTTCTCTGAAGCTGTTTACAAATTTGGGGCATGGATTGCAAAACCTAAGACACAGACATCCTGTCTCTGCTTATTCGTGTGCGTAAATTGCAAATCCACGAAGCGCGGGTCCTGAAACGAGTGTGCAGACCTAAATACGCTGACCTGAAATGAACTCTCTCTCTCTGGTCTGCTCACTCGGAAAAAGACGTCCGACAAGCCCGCGTTCGGAGTCAGTTACAGACTCTGGTGGTGTCCTTTGTTGCCAAAGGTTTATTGTAGTGATAGGATGCTGATTAATGCTGAAGGGGAAATTGTCTGAAAGTAGAAAAGAGCTTTTCTGAGACTGACAAGCGAGCGTAATTTTTAAAGGCTCAATGGTGGTGCCATAAAATGTCTAAAAACTCAAATATGTTCAGATTGACAGACATTCTAGTATGGCGCAAGATCCAGAATCATTTTTTTATGCTTCTCCATTTCACATGAAAAACATTAGATTTCAGCTTTTACAAAACAAAGACTGATTGCATAAAGATATTTAATTTATTATTTTAGAATTTAATCATCGTCCGCCTTTAAATATTTTACAGAATTTAGGATTAAATTTATAATCAAGGTCATAAGCAGAACTGGGGTTTTATTTTTGGGGAGATGTGCAGTTTTAACCTCGTTTGCTTGGTCTGGATTTTAAGGCTAGGATCTGAAGCAGCATCTTTTTTCTCTGTGAACAAACACACTGAAAGTGGAGAGTTGTCTGCAGAGGAGACCTTGCAGCTCTTAAGATAAAAGCTTAACCAGTTCTGAATAAACAATCTCACTTATGACTAAAAGGTAGAAAAAAAACAAGAAATCTTGAACAATAAAATAGTGATTACAGGACGGGGCTAAAAGCAGTCAAACTGAGGAGGTGGAGAAACAGTTCACAGCCTTTGTTTGAGTTCGTAGAGGCAGCACTTTAGACGCTTTTCCATGATTAAAAACAGAAATCCTTCTACTTGTGAAACAAGATGGGTTTAGCCAAACCTGCCAGGATCTTTGGAACGTGAACTGAGATGATTTCTCCGATCATCTCTGGAAAGTTAACCTTCGTATGGAGCGACTGAGCCTGGACAAAAAGGTCAAACGTGAACTGGTGGAGCTTCTTTACCGTCTGAAATGGAAGAAAAGACCAAAAAAAGTTTCAGTCTCTTGTTTTAAAGGAATTTACCTGGTTGGTCGGATTTGTGTTTTAAATCTCACCATCTGCAGAGAGTCCAGGAGTCGTGTGAGCTGGTAGAACCTCTGAGGACAGTTTGTTGTCATCTGGTAGTTGATGAGACGATCCAGTTCATTAATGTAGGTGAGGCGCAGCTCGTCAAAGTACTTCTGGCTTTTTAACCCCTCGACCGGAACTGGAAAAATACAAAACAACCAGAAAATCACCTTTTTCCCCCTCAGTCCACCAGAGTAAAACATGTTCATGGCTGCAGCAGAAGCAAGATCTTTGCATAAAGGACAATTTACAAGCGGATTAGGGCCACTGAAAAAATTAAGAGAAAATAAGTTGGAAATCTTTTTTGTTTCAGGGTTAGGGTTAGACGTTCATTATCATTTTTAAAAAAACAAACAATTTTGTTTAAATTATTTGGTATAAAAAAACTAACAGATTTTTTTTCTAAGGGATGTTGATGTTTTCAAGAAATCATGTAAAAAGCCTGAGTAGAGCTAAATATATTAGATACTTTTTGTGACATTCTGTTATGGAATGTAATTATTCAATGTAAAAACTGAAATTTGAAGAAGCCCTCATCTGTAATGTATTTGTATAAAACACACAAACTAGTTTTTATTTTTCTTAAATTATTTTAGCCATAGTTATTAAGATTCATTATGGAAGGTTCAAGTCCCACAGGTTGCTGATCCCAGGTTGCAGACCTCTGGCTGCAGACCCCTGGTTGCAGACCTCTAGTTACAGACCCCTGGTTGCAGACCTCTAGTTACAGACCCAAGGTTGCAGACACCTGGTTGCAGACCTCAGGTGGCAGACCCCAGGTTGCATACCTCTGGTTGCAGACCCAAGGTTGCAGACCCCTGGTTGCATACCCCAAGTTGCAGACCTCTAGTTACAGACCCTTGGTTGCAGACCCCTGGTTGCATACCCCAAGTTGCAGACCTCTAGTTACAGACCCTTGGTTGCAGACCCAAGGTTGCAGACCCCTGTTGGCATACCCCAAGTTGCAGACCTCTAGTTACAGACCCTTGGTTGCAGACCCCTGGTTGCAGACCTCTGGTTGCAGAGCTCAGGTTGCAGACCTCTGGTTGCAGAGCTCAGGTTGCAGACCTCTAGTTACAGACCCAAGGTTGCAGACCTCAGGTGGCAGACCTCTAGTTAAAGACCCCTGGTTGCAGACCTCTAGTTGCAGACCTCAGGTGGGAGACCTCTGGTTGCAGAGCTCAGGTTGCAGCCCTCTAGTTACAGACCCAAGGTTGCAGACCTCAGGTGGCAGACCTCTGGTTGCAGAGCTCAGGTTGCAGACCTCTAGTTACAGACCCAAGGTTGCAGACCTCTAGTTACAGACCCAAGGTTGCAGACCTCAGGTGGCAGACCTCTAGTTAAAGACCCCTGGTTGCAGACCTCTAGTTGCAGACCTCAGGTGGGAGACCTCTGGTTGCAGAGCTCAGGTTGCAGACCTCTAGTTACAGACCCAAGGTTGCAGACCTCAGGTGGCAGACCTCTGGTTGCAGAGCTCAGGTTGCAGACCTCTAGTTACAGACCCAAGGTTGCAGACCTCTAGTTACAGACCCAAGGTTGCAGACCTCAGGTGGCAGACCTCTGGTTGCAGAGCTCAGGTTGCAGACCTCTAGTTACAGACCCAAGGTTGCAGACCTCTAGTTGCAGACCTCAGGTGGCAGACCTCTGGTTGCAGACCTCAGGTGGCAGACCTCTAGTTAAAGACCCAAGGTTGCAGACCCCTGGTTGCAGACCTCTAGTTGCAGACCTCAGATGGGAGACCTCAGGTTGCATACCTCTGGTTGCAGACCTCTAGTTACAGACCCTTGGTTGCAGAACTCTGGTTGCAGACCTCCTATTACAGACCTCTAGTTACAGACCTCAGGTTGCAGAACTCTGGTTGCAGACCCAATGTTGCAGACCACTAGTTACAGACACCTGGTTGCAGAATTCTAGTTGCAGACCCGGGGTTGTAGAACTCTGGTTGAAGACCCAAAGTCACAGACCCCTGGTGGAATACCTCAGGCAGAAGACCCCTGGTCTAAGAGGTTCTGAATTTAAAAGATACTCACTGATACTGAAGAGCAGGAGGGCCTTCATGCAGAGGAACTCTTCCTGAGTTATCTGCAGTAACACAAACTCCTGTGACAGGTGTCTCATCCGCATGCAGTGCTCATACATGGTGGAAACGTGCATCCGATGTCTGCAGATGTAAAAGGAAAGGTCAGAATGAGAGACGTGAGCTAAAGGGAAGGTTCTGTTACCGACAGAGAAAGGTCAGAGGTTAAATCTCTGAATTACATCAGAACAATAGCAACTGCTGCTAGATAATCTTCGACATCAGTGGACAAAGTGAATGAAAAATGCTATCAGTGTTTATCAGCGTCCGCCACCTCTGCCAACGTGAACTCATTTGCCAGTTACCCACATTCCTGAGTTGTGCAGATAAAAGTGAAATGAGGCAATTTGGTCAGAATTTTCACTCAGAAAGGTGAATTTTCTCCTACTCTGGAATGTGCCGTTTCCAATCTGAGGTTAAATAAATCTGTAACTCAGATGAGTGTGTAATCTGATTGTGCTACTGAGCACGTCAGATCGGGAAATGAGTTGGAATATATCAGGAGCAGTAAGCACGATGGTGTAAAAGTTCTGTCCACTTTTTAGGTCCGTTTCTCTTCATTTAAAAGAATAAAATAACATATTGTGTTTTCTGGTATTGCTGTGGCTTTCTTCTGTTTTTGGTAAACTTTTTGAAGTGCGTGTTTAGTTCAGGTGAAACTTTCTGTGGGTAAAAAGTCAGGCGTGTTTACAGTTTTAGTTTCCATGGTGACGGCAAACATGTTTTACATGATTTCAGACTGAAAATCCACCTGAACGATGTCTCTGTAAACACATTATTTATAGAGGAATCAGGACTCCTGCTTGGTTTAAAAACAACGGCATGATTTTTATCTTTTCCTGCTTTACAGCTTATTTATGACATTTGAAATACAAATCAGTTGGATTTGAAGGAAGTAAGACTAATTTTTGTTTGGCATCTGAAATCTATGTCCCTGCAAATGAGTTAGTTACAAAAAACGAAGGAACAATTCTGTAATTCCTCAAATAAATATGCATTTTTAATATTTAATTTTCAGCACCAGACCTCTCGGAAAGGCTGGGGGCGAGGTTGACTCAAACAAATGAAAGGTCAGCATTAATTACAAGCCAAACGGAGAGTTTGGGGAGAAAATAAAACGCATTGTGATGAAAAATGCAATTTGTAACAACTTTTGTTTTATCTGCTTTATGAAATAATTGTAGTTTTTGTTTGCTTGATTTTATTTTAACACAGCTGAAAGCATCTAAAACCTGCCACTGACATTTTACCTTGTTAATGCCACTAGACTTGTTTGGCCCATTTCATCTAGATATTTTAATGCCTTGTTACAGTCATGGTAAAAAATTGAGCACACTTGCCTTGAAATTAGTCTAAAAGTTGGTAGTCATAAATAATAGAGACAGGAACTTATGGGGTATGTACCGAGTATTTATGAGGATGACATTACAGGAAGGATTTTGGTGTTATTGGGTCTTTAAATTCTGAAAACTCGGATGTGCACTAGTAAGGAATCACATCTAAGGGCACAAATCCTCCGCCTCCTCCTCTCTGGATAATTTTTCCTGCTGAAATCCTGTAAAAGCACCTGTTTTTTCTCCTTGTCGAGGACTGAATCCAGCAGCTCTGCAGCTATTTGATATTTAGTCAGAGCTGAACTCCGACACCTTTAAACGACGGCCGGATGACAGATGGGCATTCCCACTGATGCTAACACCACGTTGCTCCAGTCAGAGGACTGCTTCCTGTTTCTAGAGACCCCACCCACTTTAAGTGACATCACCTGCTGGCAGGGTCTTAAAAAGACCAAAATATCTCTGACAACACACACCATGAACATATTTTATCTTATTTATCAAAGCCCAGACCAAAAACTAATGTTCAAATTAAAAGTTTGTTTTTGTTTAAACTTAAATCCTGTTTTCTCCATATTTGCTGATATTAGGCTCCTTTAAGTGCTGCCGAGATGTTTCTGGCATGGACGCTTGTGCATGAAGAGGGGAGATAAATCTTAACAGATAAAACCTGATGACCCTGATGGAGGCCACAAACCAAAACACTCTCCTCCATAAAATTGTTTAGACCAATTTAAGAAGTTTCCTCTTAATAACACAAGTGCTGCAGGAACTTTTACCTCCGCAGCTCCTCTAACAGTTTCAGTAAGTGTCCCCCTGCTCTCACAGCTGGGTATAATCAGGGTTTTACTACACTGCATGCTCTTGTGGTGAAAAATTGTCATGTGCTTGTTTGAGACTTCTTACATTGTCACATAAATAAAACATAACGACAATCCCGCAGTGACAGATTTAAAAATAATCTTCCTCCAGGTGAGTGATACAGCTGGTATTTGCAGGAGCTGGATGATAATTCAGTTGCCACCATTAGTATTCCTTGCTCACCTCTGTTGTCGGTAATATTCTGAACTGAATTAGCTAAAACGTGTCTGACTGCTGAAAAATGTTCCTGACGTTAATTTCAAAAGGAATCAGGAGGAAAATGGCGGTTAAAGCCTGAATTCCTGCATCAATTCACTGACTAAACACAATGGGCAGCCATTAATGGCTGTCCCTGATTCAGCTTATACATATAGGACTTTACTCACTCATTAAAGACAAGGTCCGGGGCAAAGTAAAGCATCCTGCCGTTGACGTTCTTATAGGACCTCCATATCAACGCAAACACCATCACTCCCATCCAAGACTGCTGGATGATGGTCATCTGGTCGTCCACGTGCAGGTTTCTAAACCCTGGAGACAAATTTTAGGAAACAGTAAGATAGGGATTAGTACTGCTGATTAAATGTTCACAAAAGTTCCCTCTCACACACACACACACACACACACACACACACACACACACACACACACACACACACACACACACACACACACTCAATAAATTATGTATTTTCATGAAAACCCATGAAATAGAAAAAAAAAACGTACTTCAGAGCTTTGAAAATTGGTTTCTGTAATTCTACTCTACAAACATCAACACCTGTTGTAGATGTCTCTCTGAACAACTTCAGGTTGGAGAAATGTAGATAAGATTCCAGCTTGACATGCTAACAGCTAGTCCAACTCAGGCAAAGTATATAAACCTTTAACAATATATATGTAAAAGTTCGCAACAGATCCTAGACGTCTGTAACTTCGGGGCGATGATGGCTCTGTATTTGGCGGGTTGAAGGTTCGATCCCCAGGGTCGGCTAGCCGTGTCAGTCGTCGTGTCCTTGGGGAAGACACTTCAGCCTCCACGGTGGCTTCAAGCAATAGGGATCACAACACTGCGTTAATCTCTTATTGTTTATTTTTTAATCTCGTTTAACATTTTTTATGATCGTTTTCTGCTTTAATTCAACTTTTTCTTAATGTTTTATGATAGTTTTTACTTTTTACCTTTCTTTTAATTTTCAACGACACTACATTTGTTCTTATTGTGTGTTTTCTGGTTGTGTTCAGCACCTTGGACTTCTGATAAATTCATGGAAGGTGCTTTATAAAAAAGTAACTAAACTAAACTGAACGGTATGGCAGACTACCCCTTTGACTGATTTCCGTCATGATGAATATGTCTCGCTGTCCGTTGCTCTGATTGGTCCTAGCTCTGTCCAACTGGTGCAGAGACAGTTGCACCCCCATGTCTATGTGTCATGGCCAGATTATATATTCCAGTTTACCAGGCAATAAAGGTGTATGAAAGAAATCCACTTTGCATTAGTTGTTATGAAAATGTTTTTAATCTATATCAGACTGTTGCCACAGATATAACTAAAAGGATGATGGTTTATCGCTTATGAAGATACAGTCAGGAGTATTCCTTGTTTTTCCAAACCAAGGTTGTTCAAAGGGTTATAAGCAGGTAAGGTATGTATATTATTTTTTAATATAATTTTACACATTTAATAAATGTAAAGTATGGCCTAGATCATCTGGAGTGTTTTTCCTTTTGCTTAAAATAAACAGAGATGCAGAAGTAAGACAGAGAACTCCAGCTAGGCCAACTAATAGATCAGAGATGCTGTCTCCTACTAACAGACCTCCCCTAAGTGTTGTGAAAAATTGTAGGAGCATGCATGTCAACCATGTGAGAGGACAAGTCATCTGGCAGAATTTATTCTTGTCACATTATTCTAAAGTGATTATTAATTTTGTTACTATGAAATAGCCTCAGATCATGTTGCTGAGAAACTCTCAGGTGACTCAACATGGCGAGCTTGTGTTATGTCGTGAATTCAACAGGACAGGGGATGAATAATGTGTTGGCAATATGGTAGCAATAAATAACGTGTTAGGGTTTGATCAACAGCCTAATAAAAAAGGCTGGTTCTGTTCTGGGGACAACTGTGGAACCGCTGGAGGAGATAATGCAAAGAAGGATTCGCCAGAGAATCAAGAAAGTTATGGACAACCCTGAGCATTCTCTTCACAAGACTGTCCGACAACGGAAGAGTGTCTTCAGTCAGAGGCTTCTTCAGTTTTGCTGCAACACTGACCGCTACTGGAGATCCTTCCTGCCAGCAGCCATTGTAATATACAATAACTCTTTGATGACTTGATTATTATTATTATTATTATTATTATTATTATTATTATTATTATTATTATTATTATTATTCTGAGCTACTACAGCAATCAATTTCCCTCTGGGATTAATAAAGTATTTTTGAATTGAATTGAATTGAATTGTTAGCAGGAGCCAGTTGTACCACCATACTGAACAAAACCTCTAAAGCTCAATAAATTAGCCCTCTGCTGGGTAACATGCCCTTAATGAGAGAAATGTGGCTATGTGGTGGAGAAATTGCTGTAAATCTGTAAAATTATGGTCGACGCCCAGAGGGAGGCATAATAGGAAGTTTGACTTGCACCAGAAATGAAACACATCATTAGACAAAGTAGGATTACTGGGTCATCTTGAGCTGATTATTGCTGCCAATGTTTGGGATCATGTAAGAGCAGAAGTCAGGACATGTGTGGTCTTTTTAGTGACAAATGTTACTTATTAGAGCTCAGTCAGATAGAATAAATTTTCATGTTATGCTTGTTAACCAATTATGAGAACAAGTTGGGTTATTTGCAGTGTCAAACTCGAACAATAAAAAAATATTAAGGCAACACTAAAGATTTAAAACGCTAATGCTTTCAAACTGGTTTCACTGGTTCTTGAGCAACTTCATATTGGATAGCTGCTGACCAGAACTGCACTGAAAAGTTTTGTGGTTCGGGTGGGAACACTAATGGGAGGCCTCTACCAGCTTTACGGCAATAGATCTGCCAGTAGCTAGTATAAAGCTTACTAGCAATGAGCTTTTTCAGTTCACCGAACATCAGTAAAAGGCACAAGAAGAAGACAAATTTTACTTTTTGTCGGCAGAGTTTGGAAGTGAAAGTAAGAAAGAAATGTCTTTGGTGGTGAAGGAAAGAGCTAAAACCAGAGCGAACGTTGGCGTGGCCTACACTCGTTTCAGGGAGCTAAAGGAGGCTACGAAACCACGGACTGATGGTGACCTGGCTTTGTTGCTACTTGTAAGTAATAATAGTTTTGTCCAACGGTGGGGATCTTTTTACTTCATGGTTTGTTTAGTATCAGTTGGCTCGTGTTAGCGTTAGATCGTTGTTAGCACTAGCCACATCAGGTTGTGGCAGGGTTGTTAACAACAGTTGTAATTCCGATTTCAACCAGTAGGGGGAGAAGTAGAAAATGTATTTAGTGTTGCTTTAAAAGGAGAGATTTAGAGCTTTTAATAAAGGTGCTAAAACAGCAACACAGAAGCACTATTAATGCTATTTTTATCACAATTTCTAATGAACTTCTGAAAAATAGCTGTAGAAATTCCATTTACCTGGCAGTCCCTTTGCCCATTTGACCACTTTGACCAGTTGCCTCTCCCCCAGCTCATTGAGACTGGTGAGCAAGCTGGCAGCCGAGTCCGGCTGGCCACAGTCGTGACCTGCATTCACCACCTCAGGCTCAATGGACTCCAGGATGTTGAGGAAAACCAGCTGGGAGTTAAAGTTGGGACCTGATTTAGGAGAAATGTTGTGGGGGACTTCTGCTGGTTCCTGAGCAGAAAGATCCTCTTCTGTGTTTTTCTGCTGCCCGATCTTCTTTAGTTTACGCGCTGCAGTCGGAGACAAAAAGAAGACGTGTTGTTTAATCAGACTCTTTCGCTAAACATCTGGATAATCTAATTTAGACAATAATCAGAATGATAATTTCTGTTTGGTTTAATATCTGAAATGTTAAACAGCCTAAAAACTCCCATGTTCCAAATCTTCCACTGAAAATGTCCCACGTTTTCATTTGCGTTCAATTTTCTTTACTGAAATATCAATTTTCCTCAGAAAACCAACTCACTAATAGCTTTACAGATATTGAATCGTTTTCAGTCCCTCTGACCAGATGAGGCTCATCAGATGGACGGACTACCATCATCGTTTGAGTCATTATTAACCAATCCGGAGATTTCTAAAGGATTTAAACCAGGAATAATTGAAAAATCACATTTTCTTCGTATTTCTTTGATTTTTGGTAAAACATGCGTTTCTATGGCTCTAACACAACATTGGTCTCTGGTTTCCATCTTAGCGGTACTGACGTGATTTCTTTCCACAAATATTCTGAATATTCTGCAGCAGCTGGTCCACATGGAGACCTGCTCTCTCCAACTAAACTGCTCTTTTTATTTGATAAAGCGGGCTGTCATGTGCTCAGAAATAAAGAGAAATTCAAATAGACTAATTATTATACTCCAGAGCCAAACATGTCTGATTTTACGTCAATAAAGTTGAAGACTTACACTCTTTCTAAAAGTTAATACTATTAAAATTGAAGGCTTTTTTCAGAATGAGCCGAGAAAAACAGCGAAGAACAAATGGTTACTATGTGCTGAGGGCTTTAAAGAACAGGCACTTGATTGTTTGCTATTTTAAGTGCAACTAGCAGATCTAAGAAACATCATAAAGAATTTTTTTTAAATTCCAACCATAACCGGATGATCTAATTCTCTAACAATGGATCAGTTGTTGGCTTGAAGAAGAAAAACTAAGAAAACAGATGATCTAAATAAGAGACGACAAAATACCTCTTTAATAAAAAGCAACAAAAGTAAAAAAAATAAAAATAAACTTTTAATTGCCGTGCGATTGCCTCCAGCGGTGTATGTGAAGAACTTCTCATTAAAACTGCAGCCTGGCTCCTCGGCTCGGTTTGATAAATATTGAACTGCTAGTTTTAGACACGACTTAAGTCTCTCTCAAGAGTTGCGGCGTTGAAAGAAAATTGCAGATTATATAAGATTTCCATCTTCATCCCTGATCCAATAACAAACATTTCAAGTACAAATTGTTAATTAAAACTTTTCTGGGGGATTCTGGGTTGTGACACGGGAGCAGTTCTGATCTTTGCAGAGCAGAGTGTAAACAGGTTGGGTTGAGCTAACCTTCAGAAGCTCCATGTGAAAAAGATTCAGCAGGAACCTTTTGCACAATCCAAAGTAAAAATTCAGAAGCAGATGCCAGGATTAGGAGCTGGACAGAGCTGACCAGGAAAACTGAGCTTTGGTGTCATTTTCATTGTTTTTAGCTGAAATTGGCAGCGAAGGAACAGCAAAGTGATCCATTACGTGCTCGTTTTCCAGCTAAATCAATCCGCACATGTAAAATCACCAATTTTAGGGTAATTTTTATCTCCTGCGGCCTTATTGGTCTCATGGTGATTGTAATCAACAACTTTATCACTTCTGTCTTCTGATTGATTGCATAAAAAACCCACAGGGAAGTGTGGGGTCTTTGTCTCCAGATGTGTTATCTGTGACTTAGCAGATGCCACTTCACGCTCGTTTTACTGTCCAGGCTCAAAGATGTCATTACCTAATTTCTTGTGTTCCTGTAAAGGTAACCTGCCTGACAGTCTGACACAGAGAAGAATAAAAAACCTTTTCAATCACTCTCGAGACTAGGTGGTACCAAAAACACAACTCAGACAGCTTAAATACAGAAAAAAACGCTGATTAAACAGAATTAGTACCAATAAATCATGCTACTTAAATTAGCTTATGAAATTATATCATACTTATAATTATTATAAGATGTAACTGAAGCAAACATAACTATAATGCAATGTTTTTGCACCTGAGTTTTGCTAAAAAACAATCATTTGTTGCATATTTAGTGATCAATTTTTTGAATCCAAATTAAGTTAAAGTGGCCACCACAGCTAATCTTAGCAAAGACTGAGCTAATACGATGTGTTATTCACTTAAAGTCATCCTCAACAGGCACTTTGAACACTTCCTGATCACGCAAAAATGTTTCTAATAACTAGTGACATCAACCTGGTCCAAGATGGCTACCACTGTTAGTTTAAGTCAATCCTGGCTGCATCTGCAGGGGTCTGTAATATAAATGAATTCCTTATGAGGTGATCTATGTTGGAATAAAGCTCTAGTGGTCCTGTTTCAGAAAGTAGACTTAGCTGGAGGAGAGGGAAGCAGAAAATGGCAGGATTTAGAATCTTACTCATTATTATTCATGATATTCGGACATCTCGCCTCTGATTGGCTAACAGCAACACAACTCTTCCACTGCCTCTTTGCTCTGCAACATTGATGTTTTATCGCGACAAATAACTCAAGCCTGAAGGAGTTCTGTAATGTTGTGGAGTTGCTAATGCTAATGTTAGCTTCTAAAAGCTAAGACGCTCTCTGCAAATAAATCCATATTCTGCGGGAAGTACAGGTGCTTGGCCAAAAATTAAAATGAATTTAATGTTTCTTATGCATTTACAAAAGTGTACTATTTTCACTATATTTTCTATGGATTTATTGTAGATAACAGGAGAATCAGACCCCTACAAAGAGGTGAAAGTCAGACCTCGGTGTTGGTATTCCCATGAGCTGCTCTTTCACAACCCAAACCTGATCATTTCTGGCATGGTCACAGTGGAAAATACTCAAGCCACCAGGGAAGGAAAACAGAAAAACTCTGCTGATTGAGAGCGTCCAGGAAGTCATCTGACCCCAGTCCTCTGGCTTGTGACATCACTGAACCTGACCAAATCAGCCTCAGGTCTTCACACGGTTACGGACGAATCGCTTCATCTGAGCCTTTTCTTCCCCTCATAGGCTCGCCACCCTGGCGCAAAGGAAATCTGGAATCATCTGACCACATGACAGCTTTCAAATCTGCAAGAGCCCAATATTCATGCTCCAAAGCAAACTAGGTTTACGGATAAGTGATAGTCCCAAGGCAAAAAACGGTTAGGTTCAAATAATGCGAGCTCTCGTCAGAAAAGCAACTTTTTTTCTAATCTGAAACTCTAATCTGAGTTTTGCTGTTGATTTTTTTTACTTGATCTCTCCTAATACCTAAGTGATCTCTGCATATGATCAATAATTTTTCATTGCCTTTTGTCATTTTATCAGGTTTTAATAAACAGTAACCAGATTTCATTGTTTTAGCTTTTTTTAGCCTCCTGACATTGGGGTGTGTTTCTGACATTTGTGCCTGTTTAGTTCTTTTCCTTATCTACTTGCTTAGTTAAATCCAGGTGGTGCCATTTCTTAAAATTTGTCCAGACAGTTTAAGAACCCTACAGCCAGTTTTAGGTAAAAAGTTCTCCCGCTGTGTGAAAATGAAATAAAACATTTGAGTTAACACTGATAGTCTGGATCTCTAATAGATAATCTGGCGTATGTGTCTCTCCATGGCATGACGACAAGACTCTTTTTGTTTCTTTGGATGACCCACCACATTGAAAACTGATGCTGAGGAATCCTCGTGAGCTGACTTCTGTGGTTAGGGGCACTTTCCTCAGGTTTAGAGGCATGCAAAGCAACAGTTTTCCATAACTGCTTGCAAACACAACAATTGATCCAGCTTGGCTACTTACTGCCAGTCAAGCACGAGCTGAAAGCAGCTCTGTTTCCTCATAACACAACTCCATTTGTTTTCCACTGACAGGTGATCACACCATGTTAATTAACCATAAAGATGATGTCACTTATCTTTTTTATCAGTCACGCGTGAGACGGAGAGCTGCGCTGCAGAGTAACGTGATCAGAGCAATAACAAGCAGAACGTGGTGTTAAAGCAGAGCGCATTGTGTTGGTATCCACAATTATAATGACCAAAATTACTTTGAAATTCTTCATTTTAAAAGCAGATTTGAGGTTTCTTCCTGCATAATTTAGGGTTAAATAACTCATTGCCAGCTGAAACCTATTTGTCACTGCGGTATTTTTCTAGTTGGCGGTCCTTTCAAAGTTTTCTCTGATTTATCTTTTATTTTTAGCTGGAAACCGATTTAAATTAAAGGCCTCAAGATCCTTGAAGGGATGCGTGTCGCCTTTCATGCCTGAATTTTAAAGAGACATGTTCAGAAATTATAGAATTATAGCCATTTTGGTTAAACCTTCAAATAAAAATAATGCTTAATCTCACGCAGTTTAGTAAGATTTAATGCGATCTGTTTGCACTCAGCAGAGTTGCTGCCACACCACTTATTATCGGAATATGTGATGAGTGAGTTATGGGTATTTTTGTGTTTTTAGGGTCATCTTTAACCCTCCCACTGTCTTTATGGGTGACCCCGCGAGGAAAGCTGGCCATTGAGCAGGATTGGTGGTTTATTGCTTGAGGTCCACTTGGCAGAGGTGAGGTGGTGCTCACTCCTCACCCCTGCCACATCAACCCAAGGGATAAACCATCAACCCTGCTCAATGGCCAACTTTCCTCGTGGGGTCTCACCCATTAGGACAGTGGGAGGGCAGGTTGACTCCAAAAGGCAGCCAGTCGTTGACATGTTGGACATATGGTGATTCTTCTCTGAAAGTTATGTTTAAATCTTCCTGGTGATTAATGAGATGTTTGACAAACAAACACAAAACTAACAGAGGCCTAAAACAGTGGTTCCCAATCTTTGTTTCCTTGAGGACCACCTTGCCTGTGTCCAAGAGAAGCCAAGGAACCCCAACCAGTGGTGCCCCTAGATACTTTTCATAGGGGTGGCCAGATGGGGCCAGAGAAAATTTTGGGGGTGGCACACCAGATTGGTCGGTGTGGTAATTCTACGAGAGTTTAGCCTGTGGTGATGCATTGCATGCTCCTTTGTTATTTCATT